TTTTTTATGTAACCTAACTCATTATGAATCGATAATAATCGATAAGTTGGTTCAATTATTTTTAATTGGCGCTTTCGTTAATAGCCTGTTTGAATAATTTGGACTACCTAGAGACTAATACATTATGGATTATTTGTGTACCTTTTTAAAATACAACTACACGTTTAAGTAGAAGTAGTATCTATCTTTCTTAATCTATGTAATATTGATCCAATCAAGATATTGTTAATCACGACTTAGTTCCTAAGAAATTGTACTCGTATCACGTCGTTCATAAAAATAGGAAATTAATCTGTGATAAGGTTGGTATTAATTTAGTAAGGCAATGATAAGATTAAAGTTAATAAAAAAATTAGTACTGTCTGTTGTATTTATCAAAGAAAAACAATTTTGCAATATAAGTAAATACCTATAGGTATAATAATGTATTATAACATTAATAATTGGGCGTACCTATAAGATGAAAAAGGGGTCTTAAAGCAGTCTATAATACAAACGTAATTGTAATGAATCATTTCTAGAAAACCATTCTAAATAACCATTGAAAGGAAGGTCGGTAAAATGCAAACGATAATAAATTTATACCGAGTGTAAAGTATTAATATTTTTCTAACTGCTGTCCTCAACAATGTTCTACAATTTAATTACGGTACAGGTACTGGAGACCTCCAATACTTGAGCGCGTAAGCATAACTTAGGAGGTTTCTAATGCATTAATCGCATTATGTAACATGCTAATACCTGCTTTCCAATGTCGATTGTATTGCGAATGTTGCAGGAAGATTCCGCATTTAGGGCAAATACAAGAAATTTCAGTATTTGCACTTTTAATGTGGAACAAAATTAAATTCCATGAAAATATTATCAGCACTATCACTATGTATGAAATGGGTTCTGCTTAGTTGTTGACTTTTAAAAATTATTTACTACTTATTTAAAAAAATATTTACTACCTGTTGTATAGTAAAATAATACAAGGCGAGCACATATACGATATAATTGTGTTTATGTTTAAAAAACTTATATGAAAGTTATTCCTCTATAACGCATCAAAGGATAGAAATCATGATTTTTTTTGAAATATCAATAGAATTTTTTTATCAACACGTACAGAATATAAAAGGGAACTTTTTCTATTCACACGCGGGCGTGAAAATAACAAATTTTCTAAAACTCGAAACGTAGCAAAATCGATGTTTCCCATTAGCATAGTAATAAAATTTCTCCACATACACAAAACCGCCAATGGCACTTCAATTACCCACCTCTCTATGTTTATGTATTTCTTTTACCGATAGCGGGATTCATAATAAGACAGGTAATACCGTGAATTCCGCGGAATATTGAATATTCGATCGAACAGCATCTATCATTTATGCACAAACGCCAAGATCTACGTCTCATCGCTTGTCCCGTTAATTTCGATAAATAAGATAAATCGGACTCGCGACAGAACATTAACTTTTCCAACCTTATTCGACGGCAGTTCGTTGCACTTGCTCCGCAATTATTATTATTCTTCGTACTAGATTAAACGATTTACATGCTGAGGAAGCGCTTTGAGCCGCACCGCATCTAAAACCAATTAACTTCGGATGCAATTCAAGGCTAGATGCTCGTATATGATTACGTTTCATACAAATTGCGAATTAGCGCATAGTACAAGAATGTGGAAAACTAATAAATAATCTTATTACATGGCTAAGGAGTTTCCTCTCTTAGCTGCAAAGAATACATATCGATGATAGTTTGCCTTTGAACTGTGAATAATCAATTAATTTTATTAACGTTTTATAATATATTCGTTAATTATAGAATGGTGGGTATAATTGACTCTCTTGGATAGACAATTTACTCATTATTAATGGTAAAATTAAGAAAACTCTTAAAAGATTAAAATTTAGATATAAAATTAAAGAGATTGTTCTATTTTCTATTTTATTAAGTGGCTCTTGGCTTATCTTAGGTATACAAATAGCAGTCTTGAATTCAAAATAGATCACTTTTACATGTCATTTTACATGTAAACTAGCGGTAATATAGCGTTCAATTGAACACCAATAAGACAATTTCGTCGTGACATATCAATTTAATTCAAGGTTAATTTATCAATCAATTAGGTTTGTTTCTAATAAACATTTCACTAGTACACAAACTAATTGTAACAACAATAGAAAATTTTCGGTACAAAAACATCTACCACACAACTTGATTAGATACTTATGTGCTACTGGTGAATTATTTATGAAAAAAAGAAGAATCAGAAGAAACTTAATTAACGTCTCGATTTAATCCCGGTTATTGTCAGTACAATCAAGCCAAATTCACGTTAACTTTAAATCAAAATCACCAGTAGGATTGTAGCTTTGTAGGCGATAAATACGATGGATAGGGGCGCCACAGTGACTTTAATTCACCATATAACGCCTCCGCGATGCCCGACGCTCTCGCGTTTAGATAACAGCTGCCAGGCTTGCCCGGACTCGCTAAAATCTGAGAAGTGCCTGCAATTGGATCATCCACATTGCTCGTCTGTTCAAATTACCTCCGATTGCGGCGAAATCGTGCAAATTTGCCTGTATTCGACCTACCTGTGCACCTACGTCGTGTTATTTATCGTCGCACTCGCTATAGGAATTTTGTTCGGTATGTTAGCAGAATATTCCATAACGCCCGACGATGAAAATTGCTCGTTAATCGATTTTGTAACTGTTATTTTATTTGCAGTGCTAACGTATTTTAAATTAGTGGACATCGATGTTAACGATGTGCTCGACGGTTTGAAAAATTTGTATAAGAAGTATTTTTGAGTTTCTCTGCGAGAATGCGTTGGATGGAAACCGATCGAAATATGGATTTTGCTGGGTTGTTGTAAATGGAATTATATTCACGCGAAATGTAGGGGAATTAAGAAATTTGCAAGCAGAAAAATGCCTGACTCGACTTTTAAGTTAATACCTAATAATCTTTAAGGCTCAAATTCTGTAAGTTTATCAGATAAAGTGGCTTTGCCTTTAAATAATGAATAAAACAATACCAGAATTGACTAGTATTTACATGCACAAAAACTTCCGTTACATTTCTAAAATATATCTTTAATCAAGTATCAAATACTCCAGAAAAATAAGCAATTGCACCGGCTACGACACAGAAAGCCATTACACACAATATTATTATAATAAGAGTCTTTATTAGCGTCAAAATGGAGCACCATATTTCACAACAAGTTGGACATTGAAAGCACATCTAAAAAAAAGTAAAACATCTATTTACCACGCTGAAAATTACTCGGAAATTCGTGAATAAATGAACGAGGAAATATGCATGTCAGTAAGTGCATACCAGAAAGTTGTTTCGATGTTCTCCTGCTCGTCGACGGTGCTCTGTGGGTGAAAATAGTTTCTTGTCTCTAGGTCAGGTTGTCTTTTGACCTCAACGATTACTCCGTTGTACCATTAAACTCTTAAATGAGTGCGGTAACATTTATACTCCTACTTTACCGTGTTAATTTAAATGAAACACAACAACAAACATTACTTGCTTTTAAAATGACGAAATATCATTGAAGACAGATTGTAACAGAATATAATTGAGTGTTTTTTTTCACTGACGGTTCACAGGATTTGAATGTCTTCTTCTGGTTTATATTAGGTTTGTTCCCAATAAGCTTTCGATTAATAGAATTTCAATACAAAATTGTCTATTACATAATTGTTGACTAGTGCATGAATTGGAACAAAGCTAATTGTTTGTCAGTCAGAATTTGTTCAGGGATCAATGCAGCCAACTATAGAAGGAAATTTCTCATTATTCCGGGGAAATGGTGAGAAATTTAAAATGTCAATTGGAATTATTTGAGGTTCATTTTATTTAATAAAATATCTAGAATGAAATGATCTATGGGGTGGATTATTTTGGAATAATTTTTATAATTCATTTTATTTCTTTATGTACATAAGCTATCTTTATAATGTATTTCAAAATTGTTTACTGAGGCGTAATAAAATTCATATATCCACTTATGGCGCAACATAATCGGTTGAATCATCCATATTACATCCATAAAAAAATCACTATTCTGCGCGCATCTTCATATTTTCCGCCACGTTACGGACATATTAAATCGTCAATTAAACGATAATGCATTATTAATGTGTCACGTCGACGGAGGATGCGAACCAAAATAAATTTCATTCTACTCCGGAGTCGTGACCAAATTTTCGAGTACCACCCGTCCGAAGCGCGTCCAATTAGAAATTCAAATGTCGCATATGTGCATCGCGCCAGTCCTGACCTGGCCCCGTACATCCTCCAGCCAGGTATACCCGACCTGCAAGGCCGTTACAGCGTTCCGAGCCGGTGAAGATGACGTCCACGTCGTCAGCACACTTTAGACCCACCGGAGTCGGCTGCGAACTGGGCCCGACCGAGCGAAGAAGATATGTAAATATCGCTCTGGGTTCTGGGTCAACGTTGCGCGAAAAAAAAATTGCCGTTCACGAACCAGGTCAGGACGGGCCGATTTTTTTCGAGAGTTAAGCCGTTGCGCATAATAGGGTGTTCCAATATACCTCGGTAATCTTTAATACAATACCATAATTATACCTTGTACCTTACACCTTGTTCCTTTTCTACTACACCTCTCCACTTATATGGATAGTAAAGGAGCGAGAGTTCGGAGTGAGCGATAGGTCCGCCGACCATCATACCCAATTATGATAGGTGTCTTAATATGGGGTGAAATAAGATATTAACCTTATAAAATACTTATCAGATAACATATTCGGTGGGTAATGGATAAGCTAGAAGTTATAGATATATCATGGAGGTTTCATATTTAAGGTGCTTGTCAAGAGTTCGCTTATTCTGTACATTTTTACATGTTAATTTTTAGCATTAAGAAGGTTGGTTGCTATTTCTTCTCCAGTTAAACTTCGATGACCCATGATCCACGGTCCCAAATAATCCAGGTTTTTACAACATATTTTTTATATTTGCAGATCCGACGGTGGGGCTACTGTGAATATGCTGCAGATCACTGAGGACACACCACCGGACATGTTGGCAGGCGCTATGGACCTCACCGTGCATCTTCCCACCGGAAGAATAGCAAAAATGTCGGTGGAAAGAAGGTAATACAAACCAATAATTTAGTTCTGATTTCATAATCAAATTTAAATCATGTTAGCTGATTGCACTTGGTTTTGAAATTGTTCTTAATACATCATAAGGGTGAACTGTAAAACGGTCCAATTGTTTCCATTGTTGGATTTTAACAAACCATAGAGATAAATAGATTCCTATCAAACCTGGTCTAAACCCAAAAACACCCATTAAGAAAGCAAACCTTTTATCACAAACTGGGTCCTATTTGATCTCTTTTTAAACCAAATTAACACAACAAACTTATGAAATACACTGAGCAGTCTTTAAGAAGAAATCTCTCTCCGATAGCACCCCGATGATGGACCTGCTGGTGCAAATCACCACCGCCCATCACCTCCAGCTGTCGAACTACTCGCTGCAAGCCTTGGGCACGGCGCCGTCGTCGGATCACCGCGACAAAATCCTGCCGTACAAGCCGAACACGCCGATCGGGACGCTCGACACGCAGCACGTCAAAGTCGTGCCGAAAATGAGGAGCATACCGGCGACGAAGAACGCGCCGCCGGGACACCAGCCGTTCGAGAGCACCTTCAGGTTGAAGGTGCACCTGCCGAGGAACCAGCTGTACGTGACTAGGGTCAGCAGGAACGTGAAACTGGAGGATATCATGAATAAAGTGTGCGAGGAGAAGATTTTGGATCCGGTCAAGTACGAGTTTAAGCATCCAGGTGGGTTTTAAATCGCTATAAGAATATAGCAAGTTTGTGCACTGTACTCGTATGTATAATAATTAACTACTGGTTTCGAGTCATCTACCTATTATCTCGTGATTTTATGTGTACTTACGTACACCGTTAGGTGCTGTTTATATTAATAATGAACGTAATAAATTTCTCTAATACGATGTTCTCTTATCTCGACTGATAATATAGTCCTATATTCTATTAAGTACAATATAATTTTCTTAATCTCGGCACCGGTGTTGACTTTTATCGCCATTTGTCTCTAACATTAGGTTGAAATACCCGGAAAGAAACCAATGGAGACTCCTTTTAAGTGTACGTGCAGTTTTGTTAGATTATTGTTATTGAAATGGTGAAATGGAGTTTGAGAACGATCGTTTGATTCGATGTAATTAGTTATTATTTCATTAGTTGCGTAGCTGCCGTTACAAGGACGAAGATATAAATAGGCCATTTTTTTGTACGTACTGTTTGCTCGATTTAAATCGGCATTCAACTCTCTTCACTACTTGTATTTGCGGTACTTATTTTATTAAAAGCCTTTGTCATGATTTGTGTTCTTAAATTTAAAATTGGTTGCAGTTATATCGTACTTTTACTTGCGTATAAAATTTAAAATTTACTTATGTAAGTAGTATAAAAATATGAAAAATTATTTAGTAATTCTTTGTGCTTAGCATTTGATTCTTCAAACATATCAGTTTCATCAATAATTTTTGTAGCTCTTTTTTCGAACTTATTGAAGATTTTAGTAGACTTTCCAAAGCACCAAAGAAATTTTTAACGGTTCTAATATTTTATTTATTAGCTATTAGGATTATAATAAAAGCAGTGCAATCAATTTTATTGCAGAAATGTTTCGCTTTTCTTTCCGAAATCAATAAATTAAATATTAATTACTACCTAAAAATTCAAATAGCATGCATTATGAATAACTGAATAAATCCATATAAAGCGTTCGCCTTTCTAAATTCTAGGAAACCTTGACGAAACGTTGGATCCGAAATTAACGCTGAGCGATTATCAGATAACGGAAATCTACGTTGTAGCTAAAGGAACAGTCAGCCTGAGCCAGGCATTTTCCAGCAGCGACATCATGGCGCTCAGAAAGGAAGAGGAACGGAAACAGATGCACAACAAAACCGGCGGCGGCGTTTTCAATTTGATTTTTAGGCGGGGAAAATCGGTTAGTTCCTTCTCCAATTTAATTATCAACATTCTCTCATCTTTACATACTTCTAGTGGTTCTATGCGACAACTCATTATCATCGTTATTTCGCTATTTTGGGTTTTTTATAAGCGCAATTTTCTAGAGCATGGGTTCAGGATCGGTATCCAGCGACACCAGGTCGATTTCTCCCACCCACAGCGACGATTCGCGATCGGTCACCCCGCCGGCGGTCATCCAGAAGACCATGCTGCCTCCGCCGAAACAGGACCCGCCGGCGGAGAGGCCGAAGCCGCCGCAGAGGAAGCGCCGGCCGGCGCCGAAGCCGCCCCAACAGCAGCCGCCCAAAGAAGCGGGAGCCGAAGAGCTGTCGCGGAAGGCCGAGGAGAAGCTGCCGGAGGAGAACGGCGAGGCGCAGCTGAGGAGATGCGAGGGCGGCACGATGATTTCCCATTCGAGGACGAGCTCGGATAGTTCCGGCTACCACGAGGCTTCCGTGCTGAGCGAAAACGGGAACATGTCGCTGCCCAGGCGGCCGAAATCCGCCTTCGTCGGCAGCGGGGACGTGGAGAAGCTGTCCAAGATGCATAGTCAAAGTACCAGTAATTTGTCGAAAATGGCGTCGCATTCCAAGAGCACCATGAGCCTAGGAGTGACAGGTGAGCCAATTTAAATTTACAGATATCGATGCTGTAGCTCATTAGCTTGCACGTTTCTCATCTTCGATCGATAAAAAAAACTACATAATAAACAATAACAAAAATACCATCCACACAATCACATACCTGCTATTATGATGTAACGCACGTTATTTTGATTTACGATTAATGCGAATGCTGCATAGCGAATTAACGTATGTATATCAATTTATAGACAGCAGAACGGACGGCTACGATGGAAGGTTAAGTTATTTACGCAACTGGTTTTTATTTGTAATTTACAATAAAAACCTGTTGCTGCAATGGTTTTTTAAAATTAATACCGCTATTACGAATTCGCTTCGGTAGTCGATGTGGCGGATTCATTCGGTACGTTAAAAACCATCATCGATTGTCTTAATGCGCAGTAATTCGTCCGTCGATTGCGAAAATTAATCGCAGGATCTTTTATAAGTAATAATTATAGTTGATGACTTGTTAGGGAGGTAATTGCTTTGCTAATTGATTTAATTTAATCCAAACATCTCTTACTAGCAAAGTTGCTAGTGTAAGTAAATTTGTTTTTAAAGTATAACTTATCTTACAACACTTTAGGTTTGTGGCTGTTTGAAGAGAAGTGTGTAATAGAAATAATGAAAATTGCATAATTTCTATCATTAAAGTATTCCCAAATAAGTACATTTTCATAAGGAAAATAATGTTTTCTGCATGGAGTCTTATTAAGTTTTTATCGCGTAAGATCTTTAAAAAATGTCTTACAACACTTTAACTTTAACACAACTAAAGTTGATTGCTGTTTGATGAAAAATTTGTAATGGAACTAGTGGCAATTGTATAATGACTATCATCAAAATAAGCCATAAGGAAAATAATGTTTATTAAATTTGTAACGGTTTAAAATTAATTTTAAACCATCAAAATATTCCAAAATAAGTAGGTACATTTTTAAAACGAAAATAGTGTTTTCTACCTGGTACCAATCCAGTTCTTTCGTAAGATTGACTTCATTGTCTGCTCAGTACTATCAATTTCATGCACCAACATAAACCTAGATCTTCACAACCCAATTTACATATTTTCCACAAATCTTTGTACTACTGTAACCCTTCTATTTACTAAAACTAATCATTTTATTAACTCCTTACTCAATCATCAACATTAGTCACTACAACACGCCTACCCCACATTAAATAAACGCACAATATCCAGTACATCAGCAACTTGGTAACGTGCAAGTCTTAATCTGCGCCTCCTTCTCGCCCTGAGCGCATCCGCTCGAAATGCAATGCCTCCACCTGGTCATCTTCCCCACGCCGCAGGAGACGCTGCACGTCGACCATTTGCCCCAATGGTCCCAAACCTTGGTCTCCTTCTTGCTTCTGGCGCTCTTGTCCGCCTCGTCGGCGTACACCACGTCGTCCAGGGAATCGTACTCATCGCCGTCCGTCTTGAAATCCACCGGCACCGGTTTTAGTTTGAATATCAGCGGCGAGTACGAGTTGGATTCTTCTTCGGTGAGCAATATCAATGGGAATAGCAGGATGATTATGTGCTGTAGGATCATGATTTGTTACATTTTATGGGGGTTTGTTTACAGTTTAGTTACATTGACAGATGTGCATAGGGTGGTTGTGGTAGGCGTGTTTTAATAAGGGTGGTTTTGGAAAGGTTTAATGTTGAAAAAATTGATTTTTTTTTGGAGAAGTTCTCTTTAATATTTTCGGCCAAAAAAGGGTGTTTACGATGTTTAAGAGTTTTCTACTATGCACTTTATTTCTACTGTATATTCTACTTTGAGTCTGCTCTTAAACTGATCTACTCCGAAAATGTAATCTATAACTAATCTACTCAGGATCTACTCCGAATTTACTCTGAATCTACTTTAAATTTTCTCTGAAACTACTCTACTCTGGATTTTCTCTGAATCTACTCTGAACCTACTCAAAATTATTCTACTCTTGATCTTCTCTGAATTTACTCTAAAACCACTCTACTCTATTCTACATCTACTCTGAAACTACTCTACTCTGAATCTACTCTAAATCTACTTTATTCTTCACATTCTTCACAAGAAATTTATTTATTCTTTTGATAGGATAAATAAAATAATATTTTACTAAACAAATGTACTATATTCTTTGAAAAGGAATACATATTAATGTATCAGCGAATCCATGGAAATTATCCTTTTGCTGCCATTAATCCACCCAACTCTAAATAGCGCGTAGTAGTCCTATAAGTGGAGTAACGAATTCAATATCCCAATAAATTTGAAATTTTAATTCCAATTTGTTGGTACCCACGTACGATCTTACGCAATGGTATAGAGATAGAAAAAAAATGGCAATTGATCGTCCGGACGAAATTTAAAAACCGTTGACCTCTAAAACCTTTCGATTTCCACAAATTTTACGCCAATTAATTCGGTCGTTTTGTCGTAAATATCGAAAATGGCGAACGTACGTGGTCGTACCTATCGCAATTATTATTAAGAAAAACAGCATGGGAATGTCGATTGTGGGCAGCTAATACGTAGGATTTGGATAGTTTACAAGATCTGGTTCAGAATGAGATCTTTGTAGTGTTTGAACAGGTTTCGCAGTGACACGTTTTTTGGGTGCTTTGTAAGTTTTCATTTCGATTTCATTATTATTAAGTGGAGTTTAGGTAATTTTGTTATTGCTTATTATATTAAAGAATTTCATCAATTTATAATCCATTTCGAATCAATTACGCTGTTATTGGAAATTAATTACTGAACAACAATTTTGTAGATATAACAATGAACTTGATTTAGACAATGGTGGTTTTATATTTTATTTGAGATAGTCGAGACTAATAGAACTTAACTGAAATTTCAATTTTTCCTATCATTTAAGTGAGTTTAGATAATTTTGTAATTGTTTTATAAAATTACACTTGCTTATAAGCGATTTCTAATTTATGCACTTGCACTTTGCCTATATGTTGTTAGCAACTAATTATTGATTTTAATAATAATTACATTTTATAGAAACAATTTTATCGATTTAAAATTTGCTTGGAGATGGAATAAATCATTTCAACAGATTTTCTAATTTAATTTGAATTAAGCTGACATCAAGGGAAATTCATGGAGTAAACTGTAGAAATTATTCTAAAATAATTGATAAAATTTGAGTAACATTTAATTTTTCTATCCCTGATTAAATTTCATACACTAATTAAAAAACCAAAATTTTCGCTGTTTTTGTAAAAGTATTTTACAATTTACTTCTTTTTGTTTCAGCGAAGTATCAACTTTTCGCTGTACTTACATACTTGAAAATTGTAACCAATTGTATTTCTATTTACAGTGTCTATTTTTCACAAAAAATAAATGTTTCCTTTGTTACAGGTCGTAAAAAGAAGGCCGCGCCGGCGCCTCCGCCTCCGATCAGAAGCTCCAACCCTCACATAGAAATAGAAACCGCTAGTCCAGTAGTTGCTAGTCAAAACGCTAACGATCCCGGTAAGTTAACGAGCAAAGACCCATGTCTTCTTTCTACCTCTACCAACCGCTTTACTGACATATTTAAAACGACCAAGCCGAAAAAAGTGGGAAGCACGAACGACGCCAAATTTAGTTTATTTAAAAGGTTTTTCCCCATAACATGCAACGCCACGAAGGACGTCGTCGAAGAGGAACAGTACATGCCCACCACTTTGGGCCGAATTTACGCGAATAATACAGATGATGATGGTAATGATGATAATTCTGATGAGATTTTCATTTACCACGTTAATAACGATGATGATAATAACAATATTTCTAGTGAAACTATTGATGAAATTCATCCTAATGATTACAGTGTTACCAGAAATGATTCTATAGATTCTTCAGATTTAGATTCTGTGGATTCTGTAGATACTATAACCGATGTAATTAACGTGGCGGATATTTACGATAACAATTCTTCAACAGGAAGCAGTGTTTGTAGTGTAATTTGCAGAAATAATAACATATCCCCAATAACTCGACTTGATAATACCGCTGGTATAAAAACCTTTGTTTTAGATAACAAAGACGACGGTAACTGGAAACAATTCATCAATAAACTCGACAATATTATAATTAATAAATCTTCAGAATTTATTTAAGCTTCTCCAAATTGCATTCCCTAAACAACTAGAATAGTTTCCCTAAACCTTTTCCCAAACCCTTTCCTTCACAAACTAAATTCGGCGTACCTCGTGCTCTCCAATCTGTAACTTTTGTACATAAACACGCCGCATAATATTAAACTGGTGGAAGGTAAACTAACCCGTTTTTAATACCGCTTTGTATTTTGCATGGTAGCTACTCATAGTACACCGCTGGATACCTTAGTTGCACACACTGCCCCCAAACCTCTTCCTAGAAGTAAAAATAGGGCTCCGCAGATCCCAGCGGCGAAGCCGATCCCGCGGCCGCGGAGCGACATCCTCCACGCCAACCGCATCGAAACTATCGTGGAATCGGGCGAGGAGCGGAGCCCCAAAGGCGAGCTCGTCCTGCCCGATAAAGTCCGAAACGAGGCAGTTATCGAGGAGATTATCAAAGAAGTGATATCGGAAAGGCAGCTGGACGATAATAATAACGATAATAGCGTTGAATCGAAGGATTCTACGGCGAGGAGTTACCAGAAAATCGTTGAGTTGCAGAAAGTGGCTCATCTTAGTATATTTGCTTCTCCTCAGTTTCGTTCTAACGTGGAAAATAAATCGAAAACTTCTAGTGACAATGAACAATTGGAAAATGCAGGAGCTAGTAAAGATATTAATAAGAGTAAACCAATTGAAAACGATGATTCAGAAGGCAATAGTAATAATAATAAGGCAATAGAAATTGGTGAATTAGGAAACGATGTTAATGATTATAAACCAATAGAAAATAGTGATTCAGGAAGTGATAATAAGCCAATAGAAGATAGTGATAAGGGAAGCAACAAAATTGCTAAGCCAATAGAAAATGATAATTCGGGAAGTAATGGTAAGAAGTCGATACAAAGTGGTGATTCGGAAAGTAGTAACGAATGCAAAAACGTCGCATTAAATGGAGTAGAGATTGCAGGAGAAGAAGCTGTTAATGAACCACAACAATCCAAAACTCCTTCCACCATCGACAATACAGTGGTCTCGCCAGAAAAGAAACCACCTGAAATAGTGGGAGTGATACCAAAAACGCCCAAAGACAACAAATCCACCAGCAACAAGTACGACAGCTTCGGCAAGAGGAGATTCCAAAGCTCCCCCATAGCCGGCTCGTTCGATGGCGAAGACAATTCCTCCCCCTTCGGTACGAGAGACTCATCGATAGCCTCGGCTCTGAACACGTTCGGCTTCATCGACGAATTCTCCGACGTCGACGAGAAGGTGTTCTCGGGCTCGCTGTCCTCGATGCGGAACCTCTCGCTCAAAGAGAACATGTTCAGCGAGCTGTACGGCATGCACGAGCTCGAGAGCACTCCGATCGGGAAGAACCAGTCGGTGAGCAGCCTTAGGAGCTTGAGGAACCTGCCGGGCTTCATGAGCGGCGACGGCGGGATGAAGAAGTGGCACAACGTGGAGGAGTTGAACGGCGCTTTGTTGAGTTCCCCTGAGGACGGGTGTAGATGGGTGATTGGGGAATCTGGATCAGGCATGTTTTATTTAACTTTTAGTTAGATGTTCGTTGTTCCGTCTGTTCGTTTAGTCTATGAAACGGTCACTATTTAATTGGTAATTGTTTCTTCTTATATTACGTACAGTTTTAATGTTGTGCTAATGATTCAGGTTGAGGTTCTTGTAGTTAGGTTATGATGATGAATTTATAGACTACAGTAAATCTGTTTGTATTAAAAACTGTAGGCAATTTTCAACATTTTCTTTTAAATTATTTTCAAATACAGGGTGGCACATTAGTAAATAAGCTTAATATATCTGTTATTGTAGAATATATCAAAAAGTATTAACTTTAGGTATAGGGAATGGTTAATAAGAATGAAAGTGCTTCAAAAATACTTTATGGTAACGATATAAAATATAGTTGTACATTTTCAGGATATTTGCAAGTTGTCAAACCTGAAATTTGTTTTCAAGTCAATCCATTTAGTTTCTACAGAGTGGTAAACTTAGTACGATTTTCGTTTAAAAGTGGTCTTAACTTTTAAACCACTCAGTATAACATAATACAATATTATATTTTTGAAAATCTGAAAACGAGCTAATTTCAATTTTTAAATAAAAAACAAGCTGTTCCATTTAAAAAAGTTTGGTCTACCACGGAAAGACTCTGCATAAATATAACTAATTTTAAAAAGTGCAGCTTAAAAAGATCTACACCTTTTGTAATGAAGTTTTTTTGATATCTTCTATAATAACAGATATATTGAGCTTTTTCATACCAATGTGCCTCCCTGTATATATAAAAATTGTCACATCTAATTAAAGGTATAATATTTGAAAGGGAGGTTCTCAATTTTTTTACAAATTAGTGTTTCTTTGTTTTCAAAAAATACATTTTACAGTGTACATCAAGTGATATGAAATTCTCAACGAATAAAGTTTAGAAACTCACTCTAAAATAGAGCAATTTTGGTACTTGTTTGTTTACTCATGCGTTGTGTTGAATAGATATTTCCTTTGAATAATGAAAATTCACAGGAAATCTGAGAATCTTGATATTACACGGTATGAACTTTTCTTTATAAAATTACTAAATGAATTTCACGCTTTGAAATTTTAGCACGACATAAAGAAACACCTTTTATAACTTATAGAATAAGTCCTTACCATAAACGAGGTTATATTTTTAAATAATATCGAAATATGTTCTTGTTCGCTACTTAATTAATACTACAAATTAATTTCCTTAATTTTGATGTGAATTAAGAGTGATTCGCCTCGGATAAATCTCATCTTTTTTCTTGTGATATGATATTATACAAGTAGATAAATAATTATTAACCAAAAACCGATCCCTATTGAAAAATGTAAAGTATTTAAAAAAACATTAATATTTACTCTACTGGGCGAGAATTCCATTAAAATAACGAAGATAACGATAAATAGTTACGTTTCATAGAATTTGTTTTATTAGCTTTAGTAAGTACCTTTTTTTGGATTATTTAGGTGGTGTTTTGTCGAAACGCATCCGTAGTTAGATCAGTTATAAGTAACACGTATTCTTCGTAACAGTAATTTGTGTCTAAAAAAATTGTGTGTAGAATTGGATACAAAAGTTCTTCATTAAAGAGATATATCGTAGGGCGAAAAATTCGACGAGAAGGCCAAAAGCGCGGTTATTTATTCTGAAAATTTACTTTTTCAGAGTCCCTAGCCTCCCATCAAACTTTAGATAGTTTAGATAGCTCTAATCGAATACTGTCGATTAGCGCGGAGCAACCCAAACCCTTCGGTTCCACCGACAGCGGCATCGCCCAGGAAACCAACGAAAAACTCTCCGAACCCGAAGACACCCGACCGCCGACGCCTCCGCCGCCCCCGCTGTTCGTCGACGACCCGCCCCGCGCCGCCGACGAGCCCGTCAAAGACGCCCCCAAGGAAGCGGACCCGGACATCTGTGATATAGACTGGCAGTACCAGCTCCCCTCTCCGCCGCAAGCCTTCAGGGACTCCAGCCCCGTGACGGTCGCGGACTTCAAAGACTCCGTGGTGACGTCTCCGGAGCTGTTCGAAAAACGCGCCGCGCCGTCGATAAGCTCCTTCGACGCCCGATCGGCGAGCACGTTCGCGCCCGACGAGCCGCCGCTGAGCACGCTCTCGCTGGAGGTGCTGGAGAAGCGGAAGTCGCTGGTGTACAACAGGGAGCTGTCGACCAGTCTGAAGGACGACATGGACCCGTACGCGCGCTCGCTCAGCCGCTTCGAGACCGCCTTCGTCGAGGTGCAGAAATCTAGTCATAGAAATAGCGAAGGCAGGTACGCCAGGAGGCCGCCATCGGCGACGAACACGCTGCCGAACTTCAAGATATCGACCTACGACAGGCCTAAGGAGAGGATCAAGGTGTTCGAAGACGATACGATCAGGAGCAGCGAGGGCGGGTACAGGCAGAGCCAGCGTTACATGGCTGCTTCTATGGAGAGCATATCCGTTAGAAAGGGAACTTTAGACGCGAAGCCAGCTGAGAAGGAATATGTTTTTTACAAAGATGATGCTGCTAGTACGAATTACGGGTCGGCGTATGGTGATGGCTGGTCTCCCAGCAAGGCGGTGAGCCGATCAAAGTCGTATTTAACGCTCAACGGTAATAGCAAGTATAAAGCGGAGAAGAATAATAGCGCCAGTAAGGGTATCGAAAGAAGTAACAGCTTGTACGACGTGTCTGGTCTGCAAAGTTTAGGGGTAAGTGATTTTTTTTTTTGGTTGCTGCATTTGCAGGTGTGAGTGAATACTAACTATTAACATATTTATTACTAATACTGGAAATATTAAACTTATTTTTGGTATTCGTCATTGATTCTAAATGTTGGAGACTAGAGTTTATTGTTACCGACGACAAATTTAAACTCTCTTTTAAAACACCTTGTATAACGATTAATTTGGCTGTAAAAAAATTGAAACGATATCGAACTAATGAGTATTTTTATGCCAATTATATTTAGTATTTTACGCAAACTACATTCGTATGGAATATTTACCCTACAGCAATAGCTTATTGTTATTTTAATGTTAGTTCTATTCATCTTATTATTCATCCAATTGAAACAGGTACGACTTACCTCGCATTAATAATAATTATCCACCATCCCATTTCAAACGATCATCCTCAACAATTCCTAATTTTGTTTGCAGGTGATGCGACTTATCCAAAGTAAGTTACACACGCCAACCTCGTCTTTAGAGAATTTGTCCGCCGACCAAGCAAAGCCCGAGCAGCAGGCTCGCCGAGAAGACGCCGCAGCCGAAGAACCCGCCAGCAGCAAACCTGAAAAAATTTACAAGTACCAAGGCCCGCCGTCCATCAACATGAGCACGTGGTCGGAGAGGCCCAAAGTACCGGTGGCGGTCAAAGAGGACGCGGACTACAAATTAGGAAATAGCGTTTCATCCAAGTTAATAGTCAACACAACCAACAACAGCGTGACGAGCAGCAACACGTTCGAAGTCAAAAACAACGACGCCGAGCAATCGGCGCCGTCTAGCGTCAGCATTAAAGTAAACGGTACGGAAGTACCGGCTGAAAATAAACCAGGCAACCTCGTTATCAAAATAGACAGCGCTCAATCGCAACCGAAAGCTATGGACAACCAAAGGTTTTTCAATCACATGACGGCCGTCGGGTATCGAAAGCCTTTTACGGACGTCAACAAAAACGAAAGGCCGCATTCGGTAGCCTTGGGCTCGGACATCGACATTTCCAGAGTACCGGTGGTGCGGTCGGTGGAATTGAAGAAGCCGTTTAGGGAATTCGGTAACACAACAATCACCCAAATAGGCCAGCCTGAAGACGAGAAAAGCTCGTTTTTGCGATTCGGAAAGCTCAAGCCCACCGTCGCGCCCGTTGTTAGAGGGTTCAGAACGATTTCCAAAGAAAAAGAAGCGTTCGTTCCGAACTCTCAGGTTCCGTTCTCGCAAAATACGCTGCGAAGAACGGCTTCCAGCGCGATTCACGATGAACGTAAGGCTCAGAGTCAAGATGGGAACGTAACAGAAAGCGGAAGCAATGTTAGTGCGCCTCCTCCGCCACCCATGATGCCCAAAGTCAACCTGAAGAAGCCCAATGTAAGGCAATTTGAGCCGGTCGTCGATCAGAGGGATCAATTATTGCAAGCGATTAGAGATTTTGGCGGTAAGAAAGGCCTGAAAACTGTAAACGTTTAGAATTTTAAAACTTTTACCTTATCAATTTTGAATTAAAAAAATATATTAGGTAGGTATTATAATATGCAAATTTATTCCAATGTACTTTACCAAACATTTGCATTAATTTCTTTTACAAATTTGATAAGGTTTAAATTAGTATTAATAAAAGATATACTTTAATGTAATTATCGTGTACATGTATCCCATGAAGTAGTCATTTTTTAAAGCTCAATATGTTTAATCGAATGTATATTTAATTATGTATAAAATGATTTTTACCAGTATCCCTTTTTCAAAAGTACTATTTTAATGTAAAACCTCTTGCTGTACCTATCCCAATATGTAAGACTTTATAGGGACCAAAGGTTTTGTGGATTATTTTTATTTATTTGTTATATACATAATATAAAATTAATAAATTATTTAGTAACTATTATTGTACATTATTGAATTAAATATCGTAAAAGAAACCAGTGCACTTTTGTTTACTCATGCAATATTACGACCACAAGAGGAGAAAAAAACACCAGAATGCAACGCATTTGCGCACTCTCTAAAGACCTTACTAAATGGTAATACTCGTAGTTTTATAAGTAGAAAATTCCCTAAACCAAAGAAGCTTCTCGTTTGTACCCAAAGAATAGAGCTACACCCTCTTGTAAGCTTAGACAGTACACTAAAGGCTGACAGAAAAGAAAAAATTTGACAGAACAGCATTTATTTCCCAAATAGATTATACAAAAAAATAAAACTTTAATGATAAGTACATCTGTGATATTTAAAGCAAGATTATAGACACAATTGTCAAAAAAAAATACACCAATACATGACTAGCACCCAAAGAGCAAATTTATTTAACCAATGAGATTGCAATCACAAATGCATTGAAAAATAAATCCCACAAAAATAAATCGAATTAACCAAAGGAAAATAAACTGTCCTAGTTTCGATTTTTACGAATTTTTTTTTGCATTTTTAAATTTTTGTTTCTTTTCCTTTGTTCAAGAATGGAAAAGATGTTTTTTGTCAAGTTAGATGTTGCAATCATTTTATATTTTTTTGGTACAACCCCCGTCCCCTTTTGCGGTAGACAAGCGTTGAATTTTATTTAATTTTTTATTTTTTAATTGTTACGAAGGAAAAATTGCAGCTAGACATAAGGTCTTAAGACATTTCATGTTGCGAACCTCAAGTAAAAAAGTTTGTCGCCATTTTCAATGGAGCCATTTTTTATATCTACATTTTACAAATTATCAAGTATACAAACATCAAAGAGGATATAAAAAGTATCAAAATTTTTTTTCAATTTTTGTCGACTCCCATTGAAAATGTTGGCGCCAAAGTGTTACATTTGTCAAACATTCTTTTATCTAGAAATGCAACGAGAAAAAATTAACTGCTTAAAAAAATCAATCGCCATGAAATGCCTTTTGTCTGCTTTTAAGTTTTACAAACTCACGCGCTAAACGTTGTTAAATTATTATAAATATAGAGTGATGGACTTGAGCGCGATAACGCTTAAGCATTGCTCTCTGTAGTTGTATTCTGCACTGGTTGACTCTCCTGTAACAATAAAAATATTTATTTTAAATACCTTAATAAAAGTTTATAATAGAAGAACGACACAAACAAGCGGTAACAAAGACTTGCGATATTGAACAAAAAGCAAGAAACAAACATTTAAAGCGTAAGAAATATCAAACTACTACTCACTTCAGCGCTAGCTGGTGCAGGATTTTCCTGAGCCTAGAATAATAAAATGATCTAGATAAAGACATGCATAGCATTTCTACAGAAAACGATAGATACGATAAAATATTGATACTATTATATAAAATCGTATATTTTTATAAAATCAATGTAACAAGGTTACTATCAAACTCCATTCTTCGAATCGTTACACGATTCTCATGGTGTTAGCGAATCCTCGTCGATTTTATGTAGCACAGCCGAACACTTCAGTGTAAAGGTATTTTTAACACTGCCGTTGCCTTGGATGCGCAATTAATTATTTTCAAAAATTATTTCGAATATAGTAACTGATACAAAAGGTAAAATGTACTTTGCACTGCAAGTTTTTTTTATAATTCAGTTTTCATAGTAGCTATTTGAGCTTTTTTATTTATTTAAGAATGAAGTGTTGCTAAGCAAATATTTCGAGTTTTACAACTAAGAAGACTATATCATAAGAAAACTTCCAATGAGTACATTCAAAGGGATTAATTTTTGAAAAAAATTTGTACAAAATTTTAAAACTACCATATTCAATAATCCAATTTTCAATGGAGAGGAGTACGATATGAGATATAAGGTTTTTAGCCAAATATATGAAAAGATATAACTCATTAGAACCCAAATCAGTTTTCAGTTGCTAAAAATATTCAATATTTTAGAAAATACTTAACCAAGAGCTTTGTTGTATTGAATCATTAGTGGCTTAAGAATCCGAACAAACTGTTCGGAAGAATAGAAGAAACAAACAAAAGTGAAATGTAACATCAAATGACAGACGACATATCTAGGGTTAGGTTATTGTAATTTCTTTGTTTCAAGTTTATTGAGCCAAAAATAAACACTTTTTTTAGAATACAATGAAGAATTTTCACAAAACGGCATGAAACAAGGTTTAACTACCTTCATATGCGACATTTTAAAATTGTATAGGTTGATTTTGTTGGAGATTAAGTTTTTGTTTATTATTTGAGAAGTTTAAAAAGTCAAAAGTATACATTCGATGATGCCACATTGTCATTTTTACTAAACAATAATTTAGCATTTTAGATATTTACAGTAATTCATAAATATAGGTGTATTTAACAATTGTAAGTATACTATATTTTTCGAATAAATGATAACTGTATCAGGAAATATAAAAAATAAATTTAAGTATTGACATACAAACACCTTTTTTTCAGAGTAATAAGATAGTTAACAACGTCGCTAAAAACGATCTTTACCACCAATTCTTAATGTGATTGGTTAATGACTTGTGACGTATTTCAAACTTTAAAAATTAATTGTGGCCTTAATAGGAAACGGAGAAAATTAAAAATTTCACCAAAGACTTCATAAGAATACGTAGTTTATAAAAAAAATACAAAAAAAAAATCGTACTCCTCTCGATTAGCCATTCCCGAAAAAAAGATTAAATAGTATACAACAAAATGATCAAACAAATTAAAAAAAAATATATTCATAATACCTTATTTTGATTTCCTCCTGCAGCAGACTCCGACTGAGAGTTACCGCCTCGTGGACGTGGCGGGCCACGCCTGCGGTAGCGTGGACGCGGCGGCCCGCGCGGTCCATCCTGACCGTTCTGCTCTCCAGCCTGGCCCTGGCTGTCCTGGGAACGCGGCCTGCCTCTGCCGCCGTTCCCGCGGAAGTTCCTGCGGAAGAACCGACGCGGCGGCGCTCGGCCGCGGGGTGCATCGCCATTCTGGTCCGGATCGCCCGGCGGCCCGCGGTACGGTCCCCTGTAGTAACCGCCGCCGCCGCCGATGCCGCCGCGGCCCCGCCTCGGCGCGAACCGACGCGGCGGTCCACCTTGGCCTTTGCCTATTTGACCACCTTCGCCTCCGGATTGCGCTCCGTCCTAAAACACATTCATCACGTACCATTAATTTCAGTCATTTTTATTAACAACCCACTTCGAGAATCTAGAAGAAACGTATAAATTCAGAGCAAAACCAGCAAACCGTCTACGACTATCAATATATACTTCGACAAATAATAATTTAAAGCTTATCAATAGTTACGAATTCTTAAAATCCCTTATTACAAAGATGTAATATTTCGGAGCATTGCAGAAATTGCAGTAAATGCAATGAAAAAAAAAAGTACTGGGAATCCTTAAAAAAATGTGTACAAGATTTGTATAAACCTACGGTACTTTCGTAAGGTATTATTTTATTTGTTTCAGAAATGAGAAGTATAGTTATAAAATTCGAATTCATACTTATTGGATACAATGTAAATATGACTCTTATGTTAGGGTTACCTTTCCATGTACGTCCTGAAATAATAAAGGGTTTGAAATCAATAAAAAGTAAGAGAATCCATAAGAACAGAATTGCTAGTAGAACAACTGGTCTTATATCAATGGACGAAGAAATACTACAGATCATAGAACTCGGGCCTCTCTGGCAAGCCTTTCTGCAACATATATGATGGATAGTTGCAATTATACCATTTTCAAATCAAATACACAAGCATCTGGCTGCAAGATGGAGCAATATTTCGAAAGACGAAACTACCGATAAACAAAACAAAAAATCACGATTTGCCAAAGTACAATCGGCATGTACATTGCTCCGAACAGTAACAAATCGTACCTTTACCTCGCCTTCGCTTTGACTTTCTCTGGGCGGTCCGCCGCCTCTGCTACCGCCGCGACGGCCCCGTCGGCCGCCTCTCGGATAGAACCATTGTCGGTGGTAACCTCTTCTGCGGTCGGCAGCGTACGGTGATCCCCTCACCGGTTCACCGTTCGGGCCGGTCACGTTGGCCGCTTCGTTGCCTTTTTCTCCAATAACTACGCTAAATTCTACCAGTTCTCCATCGCCCACTGATCGGACGGCCTTCTTCGGGTTGTTCTTTATTATGGCTGACTGTAACGTTCAATTAAACACGCGTTAATTATCGTTCAAACAGCTGTTGCATATTTTTATGCCACAAAAAAAAAACCATGCTTATTTATAGAGTTGAACGAATAGTAAATGAGTAAATTTATTATTTTATTTACAACAAAAATACTATAAATAATATTGAATAACTAGCAAAAACAAAGTATATTGAATTCCTATGTTCCGAATGTTTCATTCATCGAATCTAATAAAATATTCAAATATTATTTACTCCAAGACATTCAAATTAACGCCCAATTAATATTGATGAGATGCAATTTATAACGGATAATGAAATTGAACAAGAGTTAATGTTCTCCACAAGGTGACTACCGATGCAAAATAATAAAATTGCATGAAATAAAACAGTCACCCCATGGCGGTACTTTTATTTAGCACATGTATGACTCAGTCATCACTTAGAATTACAGAGATGAACCTAAGGAATGTGCATGTGGGTTTTAAATGCATTTGAAATATTTAAATCAGTAATGTCGAGTTGTAGAATTTTGTTCTGTTGTTATCAGTTGATGTATTTCATTTTAAAAATATTCGACAAATACATAATACCTAATTCAATCATAATATTATGACAAAAACAATCATGAATATTCTAAATGGAAAGGATTACCTAGTTAGTAATGGAATCTACCTAATAAAATTACATCATCTTCTATTGCTTAGTTTCGATCGTAAAATGCAATTTTGCAATACATCTTCTAGCAAAATGGATACATTTCAATTTCTAATTTTTGTCTTAGTCAACAATCATTCACAAGTAACGATCTGAACCTTGACCTTTACTTGTTTTTCAATTTATTTGCATACTGTTGGCACAAGTAAAATTTTTTGATAAGAGAACAAACTTTGTTTTAAGATAAACAATATACAGGGTGTTCAGCGGAGCAGGAGAATATAGAGAGAGCCTAAGACGACAAAGAATTTTACAAAAATGAAGTAAAGAATAAAAAGTTTTAAAATGAAATAACCTATGAAATGAACTATTTTCAATCATTCATCAGGTAAAAAATTTTTGTAACATTATAAGAAAGCATCCCTGATGAATCCTTTAAATTAGATCAAATTGATTTCTTCTAACCATTCATTAATGCTCTTACTATACTCATCTCATAATGTATACCAAATTTAGAACTTTTAAGTTTAAGAATTACTAAGATATTTTTTTTTAATTTGTAACTCCTTTGAAAGCCTATAACTACTCAGGAATGTAACTTATTAACGTAATTTGGGCTAAACAACATATTTTGGGCTCCTTGCAAGCGCTATGTGTCGGTTCTTATACGGGACACCTTGTATACAAAATTGCGATATAATAGTTTTACGAACGAAAACTCGTAAAATATTTATAATTTCGATAAAAAAATACTTACTTGGTGCACAAAAACGTCCTCCTTGGTATCGTTTCTATTGATGAATCCATACCCACTTTTGACGTTAAACCATTTAACTGTGCCAGTTACCTTTGTAGCTAAATAAAAAAATAAAATAATTACCTTCCGTTGTTAAAATAGATAAGGAAATAAACTACGCAAAATTGGTTACTTCCTAGGGCTTACGCCCAATGGAAATGTACGCAGCATACAGGTTGTCCAGAAAACAGATGTCAATAATTCGGGAGCGTACCGATGACGTCAAAATAAGGGTATAACTTCGTATAAATTTTGTTCATTTGAGCCCAAATTTTTGAGCTAGAGGCCTTTAAAGTTAAAAATTTTAAACTTATTTTTAAAATTATTTTCAAATTCTATACATGGCAACAATATAGAATTTATAGTTTTTTCCAACGCCCGTATTAAATTTTGGTGATAAAATGAATCCTACACTACTCCCAGGAAGACACTGGCGGCGTATTCCCAGTGATTAATAATTCGTAACTTTTATTGGGACAATCTGTATAAGGCAAACGCATCGTAAATACATTATTTTTTTCGATAAACTAACAAACATGTTCGCTTGTTTGCAGTCGATATAATTAATGATAGAAAATTTTTAATTTTTAGAATGAGAAGACAGGTACGATGCTTAAAAATGAGGGATAAAAAATGGGAGTTCAAATGAACTAAGTTTATATGAAGTGTTACCCTTATTGACATCTATTTTCTGGACACCCTGTATACTTACTTCAAAACTCCATTTAATTATTACACTTCCTCATTTATTATTGTGGAATAAAACCCACGCTTAAAATAAATAAATACTCGAATTTTAATACCTATTATTATAAAAAATATAAAAAAAGTTATTTTTACACAAAATAAACAGGTTTATCACCTAATCCTTTGTTAAAGTACTTGCCAACTTTGAAACTGAATTAGAAAACAGAATTTTCATTTCAGAATTTCAACAAGCCGAAAGAGAAAATGAAATGCATCTCTGAGATGCCTTCCAATTAGTCGGCTTTCCCAAACCGATAAAGAACGTACCGTTACAAAATGCAAGAAGCTCGCACGCATTGAATTTTAATTAAACAGGTGCATTTGCGATGTAATTGAACTTCAAAGCGCAGTCAAAAGCGAAAGAGGCGAATTTAAAAATCATCCGGCCATGTGCTCGCCGCATTACAAACATGGACGCCGCATCGCGACAACTAACGCACGCCAAATTAAAATTGTCAAAAAAATTCGATTTCGGGCTTCTTACCAACTACTTCCTTCTGTTTTGGGACTGCCTTAGGTTGTTCTGGCGTTGCTTGCTGTTGCTCCGCTTCAGCCATGATGGTCGGGCCGGTGGAAGATGTTATACCGCTACCTCACAAAGATGTTATTTCCTTCCTATCAAATTCAGTTGTTCAAAGATCTTGTGCAATTTGTGATTGCTCGCCTTTAAATAACCTCGGTTTTCGTTAGTACGGACAGACGCCGCTACGTTTGTCTTTGTCGGGTGCATGAAATATTCGACGGACGATTGTCGATGCTTGCTTCGGTTCGAGCGTGCGTCGTTATGCTTTCAACACACTGTTGCCAGCTTCCGTTACAGATTGTCGCGAACCGGTAATATAAAAATTCCCTAAAATTTTTTTGTTAGTTCGAAAATATTAAATTAATGGTAATTCTAAAAGAATAATTAACAGACCCATTTAATAGAATGTAATTATATAGTTTTAATAATACATACTAAACGTATTGAAGTATTCAAAAAATATTCAAATAAAGTATTCGCTGACTGAATAATCTATTATGCCAAGGCATCTATTTAAAAACAGAAGAAAACAAATTTTAAAAATAATTTTGATTTTAAATTGGAATTTATTAGTGAATTACTTTTGTAGAATTAATTAGCTTTAATCATAGAGGAAGAAAGAGACTTATGTTTTGTCTATGGCTTTAATTTTCAGACAAAAATGAGGAAAGGTTTTAAAAATCAAGAAAAAAAAACCAATAAAGAATACTAAAAACTTTAACAAAATTTATTTATACACTTTTGCATCGATCTCTTTATATAAAATGGCAATATTGGCAGCTATTACCCATTAACAATATTTTAAAACAATCTATATGTATAAATATCAAAATTAACAAAAAAGTATTTCTCAAGAAAACTAAAATAAAAATCTAGTTAGGATACTGAAAAGTAGAAAAGCAATTAATCGTTTTTATTGGAATCAATAATCTCTCTGGCACCAATTGAACACAATTATAAATTTTCTTAAAAATCGCGAAAGATATGAAATATATAATCCAAAACGACTATTCGAATATCGAATCGAAAGAAAAAATTACACCATTTAACATTTTAGTTTCATATTAAACGACATTTAACATAGGACATATAGAGGTACACATTTTGTTAAGCTGCCCCTTAATATAATTCCACGTCTTAATACTAAAAGGAAACTGTACAATTCTCTTTATAACCCCTAGCACATTAATTTACATTAAAAATTATCGTGCACTAAAATTGAAAAAAAATTGCGTCCTGCACAAAATACAATCACATCTACCGTCAACTAACCGTGTTAGTCCGTTTTTTGCTCTGCTCCTTCACGCTCTCTACATCGGCTTTCTTGCCTTTGGCCTGCGCCAGCATCGTGACCAGTTTCTTCGGAGAGTCCCCTACTATCCACCCGTGCTGCACAGGCCTGTCTTCGTCCTCTTCCAAGCCTTCCCGCAATGGTTTCACTTCGATCAAATCACTGGCCTCGTCCTCGCTCGAACTGGACCAATGATACAAAGGATTCACAGCTGCTCGTTTACGTCTATTAGAGTTATTCGCTTCCGCCGTTTGATTATCTACGGTTTTCTTTTTGTTCGGTTTCTTTTTTTCTATTATCGGTTTTTTAATTTCGGCGGGCGGTTGCGATTCGATTTCTTTTATAATCTGTTTCTCCAGCATGGCTTCGAACTGGGAGTCATCGGAGCTCCAGTATTCTACTAGAACGTTCTGTTTGCCGGAGGTGCATTTCCTCTGGCTCTTCCTGCTGGCCACCCCTATGCATTCTTTCAATTCCTGCTCCAAATTGATGCAATTGTCCTCCTCTTTGCCGTTCTTTCTGTTCGTTTTCCTCTTGTTGGTTTTGTTCAATTTGAATTCGTCGTCGGTGGAATCGGAGGTGGTTCGTACTCGCTTTTTGCCTTTGTGTTTGTTGAGTTTCTTCTTTTCTTGCTTCTTCGGTAGCTTCACTTGTTGTTTGGTTTTCTCGTCCGGTTCGCTTTTGCATTCGTCTGTTATTACTTTGTTACATTCGGCTACGTAGTTTTCGACTAATTCTTCGTTATCTATAGCGGGGATGTTGCGTATTTCCTCGTCTATGTCTTCGACTTTAGATTTGGCGGCGTTTTTGAAGATCCTGCCCATTATCATGCACTTGTTTTTGGTTATGATTTCCTGGGCTTTGGATTTTTTGGTAGCACTCGAAAGGATCGGTTCGGTTTCGGCGGGTTCGCTTTCGCTTTCGTTGCCGTTTTCTTCGGTTTTGTTCGTCCTGAAAGCGCGATAATTCGGTTTCGTATACACGTCAGTGTTGTCTTGAGTTTCCTCGAAATCGTACACGTCGTAGCCTTTGTCGTCCCGTTCGTGGGGCTGTAAACACGGAGACGGGAGTTTCTTTTTGTTAACCTTGAAGAGCAGGTTACTGCCGATTTGCGCCTTCTTTATCGGCTTCGATTTTCTCTTCGATGTCGGGGAACACATTACTTTATCTTCTTCGTCGAACTTATCAGATTTTTGCAGTTTCGGACTGTTGTTCAGTACTTCGTCCATATTCAGTTCTTCTGTTGGTATGGATACTTTGAGCCCCTCGAAGACCTTCCTCGCGCCTTTGGTGATTATTTTTCGGTTGTTAGAGGAACTGTCGTGGATGTCATCGCTGCTGGATTCGGTTCTAAAATAATAGCATTAAATATTAGTTTTTTTTGATTAGATACAATTGCATTAAAGCTTACCTTTTAGGGTATAAAATCCCTTTGAATCCAACGTCGCTATCTTCTTGTTCTTCGGTTTTCTCTAAGCTATCGAAAGAGAAACCGCTGGGAGTTGGAGTAGCATTATCAACATCATAGTTATTTTCATCATCAGTCGAAATATCCACAGCCCAATTAGAGGAAATAGTGTTAGAGTTAGACGCGTCATCATCGTAACTATTACCCAATGGCGTGGGGATTCTGGAATTATCCGAATAATCGTTCGAATGTATCTTTTCCAGGTAATCCTCCTTTTCCGTCCAATTGGACCTCGGCGCATCGGCGACTTTCCTGCTGGAGTAGCTGTTGGACACTTCCGAGCCGCTTTTGAGGAGACTGCAGCACTCCAGGAACAATTCCTCGTCTCTGTTTAGAGTTTTCCTCAGTTTCGGATCGTCGTAGGTGCGCAAATTCGCGCTGTCCTCGGATATTTCCTCGTACTGCGTGGGTTTGGCGAAGCTGGCGATGGTCTTGGGTTGCGGAGGAAGAGGCGAAGGAGAGCCGGGTTCGGTGGGAGTGTCCGAGGAAATGTCGTCGATGTAGTTGTTAGTGGCCTGGTTCTCGATGATATTCTCCAGCAAGCTGATTTGTTTTTCTAAGATGGTTTCCGTGGGTTCGGCCAGTTGCACGTTTTCCGAATCGAAGCTCTTGCGCTCGCCCAGGCTCTTGTATCTCTTAGTTTCGTTCTGGACTAAGATATCGGGGAATTGGTTGGGTTCTTCCTTGCCGATAACGTCGCTGATTATGTCGGCTAGTTTGAACGAGTGGTTCGATTGGACGGGCGGTGCCAATTCGATTACGGATTCCCTGCTGGTTTCTTCTTCGCGAGCGCAGAGGATTTTCGATTTTTCCGCTTCCTTCGCCTCGATTTCGGAGAGCTTCTGGATGTGGGTCAGAGTGCGCCTGTGCTTGATCAGGTTGTCCAGTTTGACGAAGCGCTTGTTGCATATATCGCAGAAATTCGAGTCGTTGAGCGGCTCGGCTGGTTCGGAGGACTCGGTGAACTCGAATTTGTCGAGAGAGTCTTTCTTTTGGACCAAGAACGCGCCTTTTTCTAGGATGTTTTTGAACATACTGTCGAAATTTTCGTCGGTGATGGACTTGAAGTTGTCGAAGTGGTTCAGGTCTTGCTTGGGCGTCGGAGCGTTGTCGTTGGAAGAAGCTTTGAGCATATCGAATAGCTGCTCGCTGTTTAGTTTTTTCTTTTTAGCATCCACTGTGAGCTTGTCGTCTTTCTTTTTGGCTGTTCTTTTAGTTTCCATTGCGTCTATAAGAGGATCTATCAGATCGTTTTCGTTGTACGAGGCTACTTTTCGCGACCCGCGTCTGCTTCTTCTTAGTTCTTGGTTATCTTCGGTGGACGGATCTTTAAGGTCGTTTGTGGGTGCTTGTTCTTCGTCCTTTTTGTCTGAGGTTTTGTCGGCGCTGAGTTCTCTTTCGATGCTGTTTTCTAGTTCTTCTAAACCGTCGAGCTCGGCTACTAGGTCTTGTAAAAGCGGCCCCTCGCTGTCGAACACTGCTTTGGGGAATGTGAATGTGTCGGTGATTTGCATTATATTTTCCATTTTATTTGGTTTGTTTTCGGTGATGCTATCAAGCGTGTTCTGTGCGAATTCTTTGTCTGCGTTCTTTTCAATTTTCTTCGTTTTTTTGATGGATTTTTTATTACATTGTTCTATTAAATCGATGTCTGCTAATTCCGACAAGGCCTCGTCGTGGATGCTTTCTAGGGCTTTCATTTTAGCGCTCCTGACGCCTTTCTTCTCTTCGATTTCCACGGGAGTAATCGATTTTTGTTCGATGCTTTCATCGAGCTTTTCCTGCGCCGACGCAGTTTCGGCGGGTTTTTCGAAATTGTCGAACTTTCGCGGTAACCTCTTCGGCAGTTCTATCGGTTTCTCCAATTCGAAATCTTCGGTTTCCGAGAAGTCGTAGAGTTTATCGATATCTTCCTTGCGCAATTCATCGGCCGATTTCTTTAGCCTCGAATCATCTCTTTCTTCTTCGGTGAATGCAGCTTTAATTTTCTTGCTGTTTTTGCATTTTTTCGGCAATTTACCAACCCTATTCGATTGCTTGTCGTCGGTTACTAAATCTTCGCTTTCCGAGGATTGAGCATCCTCTTTTCCGGTAAAAATATCGGCTTTCTTCAGCACGAGAGGTTTTACGGTGTCCGTATTCTCTATCAATCTATTGAATAAAGTTTCCGCGTCTGCGGAAGGCTGTTTGGGCGCGTCGTCTTCGAAAATGATGGAATCTTCGAAGGAATTGTCCACGTCGAAATCGTCGCTCGAGAAATCGTCTTCGTTTAAAGCGAAATTCGCTGTAAATTCGGAATTGAAATTGCTGGTGACGTCTTGAAATTGAATTTGTTCTTCGGATTTTTCTCTAGGCTTCTTCGATTTCCCTTTTTTCTTGGTTTTAGTACACCGCTCTTCGATCGGGTTTGTTGTATCTTTAGGTGTTTCTGTTAGGGGTAGGTCTACTTTGGGCGTTTCGATTATAGTGGATTTTATCGGTATTTCCTCGAGTTCCATGTCCATTTCTTCGATAGAATCGTCCAGTTTATCCTCTGCGTAATCGTCGTCTTTAAAAAAAGCGTTAGGCGGGGAGAAAGTTAAGATGGGCGTTCTACTTTTCTTCTTGATGACTAAAGCGAAGTCTTCGAATAAATTATTCTGGCCTTTAAGTCCTACTTTCTTAATGCTTTTGGACTTTCTGCGCGCTTTGTTCTTGTTGATTACTATCTTAATAGGCGGTTCTTTCGCCGAGTTGGTTTCATTACGCACTGATTCGATGTCATCGAGTGCCAGCACGCTGCTTGAAATGTCTTGTATCGGATCTTCGGGTTGAATGTGAGCGGATTTCCGGGCTCTTATTAAACGTTTTTTGCCTTTTCTCGCTTTTAATTTCACCCTTCTTTTATCGGCGTTGTTCTTGGGAAGGTTTTCTTTAAGCACCTTCGAATTTTCTTTGCTCTTATCTGAAGTGAATGAGATGGAATCGGGTTTTTCTGGTTTAGATTCTTCAGTTATGTCAGCGTATTGAGATATTACATCGACAGTAGGTTCTAATGCGTCTGATAATTTGTTTTCGATTAAATTGTTCCCGTTTGAATTGCTTTCCATGGTTAACAAGCTCTTTCGGATGGCGTTTCTTATTTTTTCTTCTAATATCTTGAATGTAATGTCTTCTGTTGAGCTGTCTTCGGATTTTTCTTGATAAGAATCTTCTAAATCAGGATTTTCTTTTGATATAAGGGTAATTTCTGGAACTGTTGTTTGATCTTTTAATTCGTTATCTTGATTCGAGAGGTTTTCATTATTCATTAATCCTGTATCAGTTTGATTATTTGGGAATAAATCTTCCTGAATTTCCGAATTATTATTTTTTCTTTTAGTAGTGTGTTTGTTTTTAGGTTTTTTATTGTTTGTTCGGATTTTCTCAGGCGAATCGTTACTAATTTCAGTAATATTAACAGATGAATCTTCTGATAAATATGAACTTTCTAAGCAATTTTTTATTTGACTTTCCAAACTAACCGTTTCCGAGTTATCAAATTCGTTTTCAATTACTTCTCTATTTTTGCAACTGATGTTTGATTTGACCGATTTTTTCGATTTCGGTTTCTTACAACGTTTATTGGATTTTTGAGTTAGTTCCTCTTGAGGTGAAGGATTTATAGGAATGTAAGTTTCAGATGATGCTAAATATTCAATGAGACCATTCGATGTTTGCGCTTCTTGCGCTAGCCCTTTCTCGAATTTCTGGATCAAATCTGGATCAGCGTCAAGAATTGAGGAATTTTCATCGAGTAGATTCAACGAGTTATTTTGATTTCTGGCCGTTTCGGAATCAGTCGAAGATACGAGGTTGTCTTGAACAATGTTCGATTTTTTGGAGTTTCTTCTCGATTTCGCTGGCAAACAGTCCGGTTCACTAGTAGTAGTGCCTACTAGTCTTCCAGAAGATGAATTTGATGCTTCCGAGTTTAATGCAGATATTGAATTCTTCGATTTAGATTTTTTGTTTTGCTTGAAATCTTCCTTGGATGTATCAGTAATTTCCGAAATACTGTTATCGTTATATTCTATTGAATTTGTAGTTCTGGATATCTGAGCCTCTGGATTGCTTAAACCACGGAAAGAAGATTCAGCAAACTCCATTATTTCGCAGACTTCGATATCCGAAGGATCGTTTGCTTGTTTACTCAATTCCTCACTTCCTATTTTTTCCAAACTTTCCGTGTTGTCAAGTTTTCCCAGAATACCCTCTGAAGCTACCAAAGTGACGCTATTCTCACGATCTTCCTGAACGTTTTTAGTACTATTTATATCTTCAGGTTCGCTACAAGGCCTTTCTGTAATTTCCCGGATAGCTGCATTAGAACTTCGCGTTCTCGGTTTGTTTGTATTTTCATTGGAATTCTCTTCGGAGTAACCCGTAGAAGAATCTTCTTGCTGTGATGTAACTGAATTATTTGATTTCCTAATCGCTTCTCGTATCTTGTTTTCTTGAGAAAGCAAATCATCATCGCCTGCAGGAGATGATGTGGATTCTTCTACTTCTCTAGTCGCAGATTCGTTTAAAGAACTTACAGGTAATTGTTCTAATGATGTTGATTTCGACAACTGTTTAAAGGTTTGGGTTTTATTTTTAGATTTTGCGGCGGGTAAGGCAGATTTGGGTCTTTCAGCTTCGGATTTCGCACGTCTCGTTAATATTTTTGATGTTTCAAGAGTGTTTAATTGTTTATTAGGCATTTCAATTGACGACTCTTTGCTAGAAGTATCAAGAGTTGAAATATCTGTACTTGCTTCATCGATTTTGGTGGTAGCTTCTGAATTTTTACAATCGTTTTCCTCGTTAATATTTGAGGCTTCCATAGGATGTTTAGCGAAGTTTGAATCATCTTGTAAATTAGGCGATTGTTGATCAATCGTTGTTTCATTAGATTTACGTTTATTTGTATTTTTTATAGACTTTTTCACTTTAATATGATCTGTAAGTTTGGTAGATATTTTATCATCAATATCTTTATTATCGGTTTCTTCAATGCAAGTATTGATTTCAGAAATGGGGGAAATCTTATTGGTTAATGGGATGAATTCGAACTTTTTCTTTTTCGATTTGGTAACTTTCTTTTTAATTTTCAGCTTAGAGAGTTTGTCGTCGATTTTGAATTCCTCGGGTTCTTTTATTTCAGTATTTTCATTCGATTCGATAGTTTGGTCTTGGTTCTGTTTCGTTCCTTCTTGATTCAGAATGCTGATTATCGAAAGTACAGCTGGTTTAATTAAAGTACTCGCTGGTTTTAATTTGGATACTTCACAACTCGTTTCTGCTGGTTCTTGAACTGTTAATTTATCTTCAACGGGATCTTCTGTTGGAGTGTCTTTTTCAAGTATTAATGTTCCGCAATTTTCGGGTATTTCTTGATTTTCTGTTAGCGTTTTCGTTAATTTTTTCGATTTAGCTTTAGTGAATCGGAATTTCCTCATTTTCTTTTTCTTCTTCTTGTTGGTTTTGTTTGAAGCTGTTTCACCTTCTTCATTCGAAATATGAGCACTGCTTAGCGTATTTTCTTCCTTTATTTCACCAGTTTCAACAGTGTTTACTGAACAAACTTCGTTAGTTTTAGATTCATTCACTTTGTTTGTATCTTCTTCAATACTTATAAAATCGAATTGGTTTTGAAACGGCGTGGTTTTGAGTTTACTATTTTGTTTCCTGAAGTTTCGAAGATTTAAAACGGACTTTTCGTGTTTATTTTGATTAATTTCAGCACTTTTGACTAGATCGGGCAGAGGAAGCACAGTCTTATTTTCTACATTACGCGGCTTAAATTCTTCCTCGACATCGTAACATTGACTAGTTGGCACTTGGATTTCATCAGTTTCAATTTTCTTTTTAGGCTTACTCATCAGAATGAATTTCTTCGTTGCTTCGAATAATCTTTCAATTGCTGGAGCCTTCGAAGTGTCTTCAGTTAATTTAGGCAAGGGAAGTTTCTCCATCTCTTCGAACCGATTTAAATTATTGTTATCTATCAGCGAACCGTTAATGTTAATGACGTAATCGATGATATCATCTACTGTTGTTCTATGCGGGGCTTTTTGTTGCATCGAATGACTATCTATGACGTTTTGGATGGTTCGATCGATCGAACAAATCGAATCGAATTTTTGTTTGTTATCGATGATACTTTCTACCGATCTAAAGTCCACGACAGGCCTGGTGAAGGCTTTTTTATTAGGGAGAGCTTCGTTAAATTCTTGATGCTGTTTGGTTCTGGATTTAGTGCTCAAGTCTAGCGCCACGTCTAAGGATTCGCTTTGAGTTTTGAAAGAAGGAATTTTTAAAATGCACTCTGCGACTTGGGGCGTTGGATTCGTCACTATTTTCGGACTCGAACTGCTCGGTTTGGCGACCACTTCTTCCACTACGCTGGTTTTTTGTTGTAGCTTCGAGGTCAGCATGGCTATGCAGTCGTTTAAGCCTCTAGCGGGTTTTCTAATTTTGCCTTTACCATTAGCTGCGTTCGTAGAATTGGTTGGTTTAGCGGACGTTTCTAGTGAAGTAGATTCCAATTTGTCGTTTTCTTCAATAACAGTTTTGTCTTGGTGACTCTCGACGCCCTTGGCTTGCAAGTTCTTCTCGTTACTCGGATCTAATTTGAAGATATTTTCGGGGACTGGAGAATCTTCGTTGCTTCCGTTAAAAGGTATCACAGTATGGGCAGTTTCTGATATGTCAGCTATGTTTTCTTTTGCTTCCATATTGGAAGGTATGACGATCTTCACTGACACTTCTTTTTCTTTTCTTTCGTCTAAAAAAGGATTCTTGGTGGCGGTTTGCGGTTTTTCTGTTAGTTGAGTTTGTACAGGTTCAGGCTTGGGAGCTGCGTCGATTTTCAGTCTTTTTACTCTGTTTATGACATTCCTGAAACTCTGCTTGAGTTTTCTCTTCCTGTTGCTCAAGTCCTGGTCTTCTTCGCTAGACACTTTCTTGGGGTCGTCTTCGACTTGAGTTGGTTTTTCTTTCTTCGAGTTCTTTTTATTGGTAATTTTTTCATTCTTCGATTCGAATCCTACTTCAATTGATTTTTTTCTACTTCGCGTTTGTATGTCGGTGTTCTCCGCTGCTTTCAATTTTCGCTTCTTAACGGGAAAGTACGATTTAATGTTCGAGTTTCCAGTAAAATGTTTTAAAGTCCTAACGAGTTTTGTACTTCTAGGTGATGTCCTTTTGGGCGCAGAGGAATTCGAGTTCAAATCATTGGCCTCTTTCGTTTTGATGCCAGCATCATTCTCGCCTTCTTTTTCCATCATCAACGAATTTCTGGTTTTCCGTCTGTCATTCAACGCTTTTAGCTTTCTTTTAACGTTTAGATTGGCAGAAGTGTCCAAAATTCGGCTCGATAACACTCTGTTTAAGCTCCTCATCGATCTGGCGTTGGATGATTTGTTGTTCATTTTAGATTTCGCTCGAGGCATCGCGGCATTTATCGTTTTCTCGGTCGTCTCTTTAATGTTACTGCACTTATCGTATATAACTTTACCGCATTTAACTTTTTTCTGTTTAACGTTGTCTAATTTCGTCGTCTGCCTTCGTCTGACCCCGTCGTACAGCGAAATCAACTTCCGAGTGGAACGTTTCGCGGGTAAATTCGCCAACATCCTTTGAATCGTTTCAGCTGCAACAAAAAAAATAGTGTTATGATGCTACTAGGAGTTATTTTTGATTGTTTACCGTCACTAGGCCGTTGCCGAGGGCCGTTATATGTGCACTTTTTCTTCTCCGTTGAATCATCAGTCTTTCTTTTCGTATGAACTTTCACTACTGTACCTGAAACAATTTAAGTTTATGATAATTCGCTATGCACTTTGCACTGCAAAAAATAACCTACCTCTTCGTTTTTTCCTAGATTTAGCACCGTATCTGTATTTGCACTTTTTCCTAACCAACATCCAAGTCCAATCGCCGCCGCACTCTAAGATATGCCGGTGCAATTCGCCTAAAGTGTTGCAGTTTTTCGAGCATTTGGAGCAGGTCCTGGCGTCGCTGCGCCTCCACAATTTGCACGTGGTAGTGTCCTCGATAAACCCGACTTTGCCAAGGGTCGGTATGCTCAAATGCCTGTACAATTCACTTTGGTTTCCGACAAATTCGTAATGCTGCACCCAAACGTTCTGGTGGTAGATGGTTTTGTGGTCCAGGAGGTATTTCATATTTGGTAGTTTCGCACCGCAAGCGGCGCAAATGTACATTCGACAGCGGGCCCATTCGCCTACAAACATTGTTTATTAAAAAAATGTTGCTTTTGTTGCGATAAGAGAATGATTTTATTTACCAGACAATTCGGCAAGTTCGTTCTTGCCTCGAGTCGTGTTACTAGGATGCTCGAAATTTTCGGTATCTTGCGACGAACAAATCAAGGTAATAGCATCGGATCGATCAATTTCGTCGTCAAAGTGAAGAGAAGACGCTCTTCTGAGATTTAAAAAACTGGGAATTTCCCTGAGATCTGATTTCGAACTAGTCTATAAAATTCATGATAAAAATCTGGTGCATCGATAGAACGAGAGTTTACGTACCTGAGCGCTTGTCGCCTGCTTAAAAGCTTCCGCAGGTTGTTCGGTGACAGCGAAAACTCTGTTTAAAATTCCATTGAGAACTTCCCTGACTTCGGAGAAGCTCTCTTGACTAATACTATCCTCTGATACAGAGTTTAGTTTATCTAACGCGGCTTTCTTGTTAGCCTCCTCCCGTAAATCTTCGAATGGCCCCCTTTAAAAGCAATTATTTTTATTTATAGGCAATGTTGGTGGTGATTGCAGCTAATTTACCTTCTATCTAATATTCTGTTTAATTCCTCCTTCTTCATTTTATTTTTATACTCATCGCAGGCAGTGTACTCGAGAATTTCTTTGGCGGTTTTCTTGTCATCGATGATCTTCTGCTGGCGTTTCTTGATCACAAGTTGAGTCCAAATGTCGAGTTTGCTGAGATCGCGGTTTTCCTTGTGTTCTAAAATACTGGCCTAAAAATATACAAGAAATATTTTTATTAATAATCTCAAGTGATCTGTTTAGATAGATATCAATTTCTAATATAAACATTCAATATTTCCTTAGATAAGAAAGGTCTTTATCATGCCATTGAGATGATTATGTAATTAATTTGTAATATTTTAAACTGCTTGGAAGCTCACCTGAAATTTGCGTCTAGTGAAATACTTATAATGCACCTCGTCCTTTTTAGTTTGAGTCTTCTTCTTCGAGGGCTTCGAACCGTATTCGATTTGAGATTCGAAATCCTCTCCGAACTGCGAGTTCAACGAGAGAGCTGCTATGGGGGCGACGGCGTTCAGCGACAATTCGCAGCCGAAATTATCGGAGGCGGCATTTTGAATTTCGGGCTGCGCGGTGGAGATTTTCTCGAAATTGGAAATTCGACTTTCGGACTCTTCGTTTTCGAACAGCTTCCCATCGATGTGATGCAGCAAGTTCTCCTCTATATTGCACTTGATTCGATTGAAGAAGGCCTTGTCGAAGACGTCGTCGAACGTCAGCGAGCTGATCTTCAGGTTGTCTATGGAATGATCGGTGATTTTCTTGACGCGAAAGAAACTGTCGAATTCGGGATAGGGATTCACGCAAATGGAAGCGGGCTTGTTCAGTTTCATCGTTTCCGATTTGTTCGCGTTGTTCTGCTTGCGCTCCGCTGGCTTCTGTCGCTTCTTCTTCTTCTGAGTGTCGCTTAGTTTCGCTAAAGCTTGTAGTCTTTTCGATTCTCTCCTGTTCAACGCTATTCGGGAACTCTTCACGGTGAGCTTCTTGTTGCGCAGATCCTTCAGCTTGGCCTTTCTGCTCGTCGCCGGCGGATTCTCCTTCGGAGGCTTCATCCGGCTGCGCGTCACCTTCACGCCGAAATCTTCCAGCTGCGCCGCTTCGACGATGGTCTTCGACAGCTCGACGGTGGGATGCAACACCGCTATGTGATCGCTGAGCAGCGCGTTGGTGAGGAATCGCTCTTCGCAACAGAGACACCCGAAATACCTGTCGGAGTGCTCGGTGACGAGGTGGTGGAAGAGCTCTTTCAACGTGTTCTCGCCGCTGGTTATTTTCTCGCAGTAAATGCACGGCGTGACGTTGAGTTGCTGTTTCCTCGAACTCAACCGCCTGTTCTTTTTAACGGAATGGACGCGTTCGACGTGCTTCGATCGCAAGTTCGAGCCGGCGAAGGATCTCTCGCAGTACAAGCAAAGCAATTTACGCGTGGATTTAGGCTCATCGCATTTAGGGTGATTAATGGTGATCAAAACGCCTTGGACCTTATCTAACGGCACGCTGCAACAGAGCGTGTTGTCGTCCTCCGAGTTTTTGCTCTCTTCGGATTTCACCGCGTCCGATGGGTCGTTCTTTTGGCGAGGAGAGGACCGACATCGCGTCGGGATCTCCGCCGGTGCATTTTGATTTTGGTGGGCGCAAATTTTCGTGGCATTTCGATCCTCTTTTCCGACTGAAGAAGCGCTTGCGTCGATCGTCGCGCTGTTCACCATGCTGCACTTCTATGCACCTATGCTATTTCCTGCAAATAAATTAAATCAATGTGAATTTTAGAACTGTCTAGAACAATCTAGAATGCTCCATAACCATTTAGAACAGTCTAGTACCGTTTAAAATGCTCCAGGACCATTTAGAACGCTTCAGAACCATTTAGAACGCTCCGGAATCATTTAAAACTATCTAGAACCGTTTAGAACGACCCAGAATCATTTAGAACTGTCTGGTACCATTTTAAAATGCTTCAGAACCATTTAGAACGCTTCAGAATCATTTAGAACGCTCCAGAATCATTTAGAACTGTCTAGAACCATTTGAAACGCTCCAGAATCATTTAGAACTGTCTAGAACCATTTGGAACGCTCCAGAATCATTAAGAACTGTCTAGAACCATTTAGAACGCTCCGGAATCATTTAGAACTGTCTCGAAATAAAGATTTCGACTTAATAAGTAGATTAATGTAATTTTTCAATAGAAAATTGCGGGGTTTCATTGTCAGGTCGAAAACATTTCACATTACCCTTGTATGTTAAAATAAACATAACCAACCCTCTTACAAGGACGCCATTTATAAGCAAAAATGTAAAGTCATTTAATAAACAATCTTTCATGAAGCAGTAGGGCTATAAGCATCTTTAAGGTAACTCCTTTAGGCATTTATCTCAATCAGTTTTTCTTTCTCGTCGATTGATCTGTTGGCGGTTTAGATAAAAATTGCACTTTTTCGAAAATGTGCATCGCTTTTTTTTTCAATCTGGACTCGTCCCGACCCGACCAAGTTACCAAATAACAGTGTGAATGTCAAATATAGGCCATTGACCCTCAAACGTGTAGCTCGGCTCGGAGTTGCGTCGAATTGTCCTATTACTTACACACGGTGGGAGATGCACGATTATTTAAGATTCAAACGCATTCTAGAGAAGTCCCGAAACCGGGCTTCATCCCAAATTTCTAATGACCTACTGCGTATACCTGGCCAGGTTTATTATTTGTACGTCTTGCAGTCGTTTAATGGCTTGAAGATATAAGAGTCTAGTCGCCCGTTTAAGGTTACATTAGGTATTTCTAGCAATGCAAAACAAACAATAATGGTAATAGATATATAATTTGAATTTAATACTTGTATTTTTTTTCTTATAGAGACAATTTAAATGTTATTTGAGGGTTCAAGTAGGTAAATTGTTTTGGATTAGACCTAAGGTGTACATTTGTAAAAAGTCTATACTTTAAACGACATTAATATTAGCCAAGTTAGTAGAGTTACTAATTTAGGTACAATGTTGATTCATTTTAGGTTGCAATATAGGTTGTACAGGCTATGGATGCGATAAAAACAACTTCCATTAGACACATGAAGAAAAAAGAAAGAATGATATTGTATCATTGCAACAAAATTTAGTAACCTTTTTGTTCAACTTTTTTGTATATGGGCGATGTGCAGGTTTGGTTGAAATATGATCAATTCTATGAGTTGAACAAAGAAAGATTAACAGTGGGTTACAGTGAGAAAGTTGCAACCCCAGAGTATCACCCTTTCTTTTTCCTTTATGAGACTAAAGGAAGTTATCTTTGTTGCACATATAACCCATATTGCTTATAAATTTGCACATATACAGGGTGGTCCAAAACTCGCAGTGGTCCGACAATCCCAGTAATAGTTCGAATTCACGAAAATAATGCGAATGAGCTATAACAATTAATGAAGTCTCGATACTCGTATGTATACAGCCACCGAATACATGGAAATGGTTGAGGTAGAGTTATCCTGAACATCCTTTTTTTTTACAAGCAAATCTTTGATTATCTAATAGTCGTGGCTGATTTTGACAATTTTTGTTAACCTTGAGGGTGAAAAAGACAGAATCTTTCAATAATGTCAAATTTTGAAAAGCATATTTACGTAATTTTCGTGGATTTGAACTCTGACTGGGATGGTCGATTTTAAACCTCTTTAAACTCTCTTTAAATCATTTTTAAACTCAAATTACAATATTTTTTCATTTTTTTCATTTCCTGAACAAACTTTATGACAATAAGACATTTCAAAAATCCAGTATTGCATATTTTCTTCTGATTCATTGACTGGACATCTAATGTCTGCTATGATGTACTTTTTTATTAATTTGACTTCCTTCTAAAATGGACACAACAAAGACGAATAATTACTTTTCTTAATTAGAACTTTTGAAATATGTTATCAAAAAAATACTCGCAAAAGTAATATAAATTAATTTTACTGCATTTTGTTGGGAAATTTCAACCTTATTTTTGACAAGCAGGATTTTCATGAATCACCCTGTACACAAGAGTCTAATTGGAACCGGAAAACTGGTCCATGGCTTAAATGCAATAATCTTTTGGGAAGTCCAAACACCTTAATTCTGAGAATGCAGAGTATTTATTTTCTCTCCAAAAATTTACCTGTTTTGCACTACCGCTGAATATCAGACTACTTAAGTCATTTGTAGTATTTTGTAGTGTAGTCATTCAAATATTCCAATGAATCAAGGTCACAAATTCAATGTGCCTTCTTTATTTGAATTTAATGTTATTTAACAAATGCAATATTTAATGTAATGTTTTTTAGTTAACAAACAGTAGAAATTTCAGTACGTCAATAAATTAATGTCTAGTAAAATTTAAAAAAAATCTTTTGACGTTTAGAAAGCATGTTCAATCGAAAACTTCAATTTAATTTCCTACAACAAATCTAGATTCCTTTGTCAACAGAATAAACTTCCCTAATCAAGAAGGTTAGGAAACTCGGAAAGACTGAAAAGAGGGAGAGCAGGGTCGATATTTCGAAACCATATCGCCCATACCATACTGATAACACCACACAAACATTAAAAGAAAGATAATAAAATAGATTATAGAAACATCAAACGAGATACATGCAGTTTAATTAACAAAACAACCAAGTCTAATCGCCCCTTTCATTTACAGCCGAAAATAAGTAAACTGAGAAATTAACGTCTAAGTGACAGCTCAAACTATAATCAAGAGGAGCTCTTTGTTTTCGCTCTATCTGACGAACAAATCGAAGAATGCGCTGCTTGATTTCAATTTTAAATCAAGATAGATTTTCGCGTGGAGTCATCGTTATCAGTACGAGTGCATACAAATCCAACTGTATTCATTACACCCTTTCCATCAAGGACATACATTTCATACACATAAACTGTCATCGAATCCACTTACCTAAATGAGGTTAATCTCGCCTTTTTCGCCAACGGATCATTTTCCGGACATGCCCCAGGCCACTAACGACACTCTGCACATCCATTTCGCACTAAATTATCCAACCTTATATTAAAATCTACAAACAAATAAACCATTCATTTATATTACGCATAGGGCGAAGCCACCGCTTAGAGCACGTACGCGCACTGTCCGTGGAAATCGGACTTTAGGCGATGCGCATGCTCTTTCCCAGCTGATATGCACTTGACGTTGCCAAATGTTCCAGATAATCCGATATAATGGATACCAGTTTTGAAATATTACTTTATTAATCACGTAAAAAACGCAATATATGAATGATTTATTATTGATCTGTTATTACTTGTAGAATCTAATTTGTGGCAAATAAATTGGTCATTGGTCAAGCTTAGTGCGTTAATTTTGTAGTTTAATTAGATTCTTGTTAAAATGAAAGGAGTAAAGACGGCAACAGTGCGTAACGCCATCATTGAACATTGACTCGACTTGCCTAAATGCATGTGTATTTTTTCCGTGCATACGTGCAATTTAGAGTCTGTACTATTTTGCTGGTCGAAATTTGAATTTTACCAGGTTTTTTTAATGGTTCTAAATATTTGGAGTCGAACGCTCGTTCGATTCTCCGTTAAAATGGACACTTTCGCTGCTAACGAAATATGTATTCTTACGAAATCTGATATTTTTAATAGATCATTGACTGCATTCGACAGATCAGAGCTGTACCGGAAAATTTTAAAGCTCGATTGGAAATTGAAAAAAATCACCCATGCAGATTTGGAGCTTTGATAAATGAAAATTTATTTAATACAGTGTGGTCAAACATCAAACGGCGACTCGAGTGTTTGATCACCCTGTATAAAATAATTTTCCATACTATTGCAGAGAATTTGAAAAATTAAGGAAGGGATATAAAATATATTTCTTTTCGAATCGAAATTTCTCAATAAAACACCTGAACACAATTTTTTTAGATTTCGATATCCAGAAATGAGACACTCTGTATATGTATTCAGCTTGTTTTGAGTTTTAAGACAACCTGTAAAACAAAATCAAAGTGATTTAAGAACAGCTGGATTTTGAAAAAAAATAGTTATATTTAATAATTAACGTGCTATTAAAATTACCATAATCACAATTAAAATTTCACTTTGCATCCCTCAATTGTTAAACTTTTTGATACACTTTAAATGCATTCCTAAAGCTCCCTTTATATTTCAACTCGTTGAACAAAAAGACCAAATAATAGAATAGAATATTTAATTTCGAAAATTAACAATAAACGCTAACATCTAATAAGTACTAAAATTTGAATAATGAATAGTTAAATCTGGCCATGTGAATAAAATTATTGATTTCGACATGACCAAAAATCGATACATTTTAGAATACATCTCAATACATAGGTATTTTTAGTACACACAAACAATTACCTACACTTTGATTAATTGATTTTTTTTGGCGAATACATATTATTTTTACTTTATACTGCTGTAATTTCGTTGAAAAAGACGGAATAAAGTTATAGTAACAATAAATATCTACTACTAATTTTTGGCACAAACTATTTGGTAAGCAAAGTATTAGATTTGAAGATAACAAGATTGAAATTGAAGAAAAACAGATTCTTAAACGCAATACAAAGATATAGCGAGTGTCCCTTAAATAAAAGGCCAAAACTTCAAAATGATTATGGTATAGAAAAATTGACCCTGGAAATCCTCCAAATTTTGGTCTAGAATTTAAGGAACCACTTGTATAAATAAAATCAGGAAAATTAAAGCTAAATGGAAAGCATGATAGAATTAGTAAAATTCTCAATACATTTTGTATAAGATCCTTTATAGTTACGATGAGCAAATTCGAATATATTTTAATCAGTTTTAATATATTTCATCACATTTATAGTATTATATCAAACACAAAGTACGTTTAATAAAAACACGGTCTAGTGCTATAAGTTGAATACATGTGTAAAACACTTAACTATACAATATGTAAATATTTTTATACATATAACGGTTAGACAAATATTATAGTCTTGTACCAGTACTAGTTAACAATTTGAAAAGTTCAACATTATTGGCAATTACATTTTGTACCCTTCTAAGGACTTTGCCTATTCAAAATAATGAATCGAAGAAAAATTGTATTAGAACAATGTAAACGAAATATTACTTGGGGAAATCCGATTTTAAAATCTACTTAGAAATATGTATAGTTAAAGCAACACATTTTTATATCTAGAACAACAATATTGTAACATTTTATAAGAGCAATTAATTGAACTTCATACTTAATTTCTGAAGAATCATAAATGCTCCAAAATAACCATTTTTGTAATATAAGTACCTGGACATTTTTTTGTCAAAAACACTACTTTTAAATACCCCTGCAGTTTATTCATAATACTATTGTCTTTTGATTTAAAAGTATGCAATATTTGAAAAAAACCTAATGAGTGGCTTTTTGAGTTCAATTACGTTCAATTGAAACAATAAATTTGAGTAATATCCATTCAAAAAGTCACAAGTAAAAAAACAATTAAATCAAAAAAATAAAACTGTGCAAAATCAGTCTTTTTAAAGTAAAACAATTTTAATCTTTGCGTAAAACATAAATATTCTCTGAACCCCAACATAAATCACAAAATCATATCACAATAAATATTTTTAAAATGCCACTTTATATGTAGCATAAAACTACATTTTAGTCTTTAAACAGCATAATACAATTTATTAACCATTTAATGACTAGCATGATAGGTTTTATGCTATAGCAAATTTTTAAGCTTAATGCTTAACATATCATCAACATAAAATACATATTATAGGTAAACATTTCCTATACTAAAGTAACCAAAATAATGCAAACCCATATTATCTTATATTTGCACTAATTGGTTCAATTTCTGCCTTGGAAATTCAAGCAAACCCATCATTTGACATAACAAATCGGTTACAGTGCTTTGAATATTGGCAATTCTTTAAATGAGCCTTGCACAGCAAAAAGAGCCCCACTAGCATAATAGGTAAACCCAAAATTGCACAAATGAGCTCACCTGTCAGAGACGGCGACCATATTAAAAGGCCTTGAAACAGAAAAAAATATTTATAATAAAACTAGGCTTGATTAGTAAGTTTCTTACCAATTGTATTGGGTGAGGCATGGAACAAAGACCACCAAATGTTTGCCAAAGGAAGTGATGTGGACATGACAGCTATTGTAAAAACAGCCGATTGAGTTAGAATTAAAAACTTCATCGACATTACAACGAACAGTATGTAGCAACACATGAATATCCAAGAATACATAAAGACGTTTCCGCATGGAAATTGGCCCATGGTAGGTGGTTGTGGTTTCTGGAAATGGCAAAGTATACCATTCGAAGTATAATTCCAAAACTGTTGGATATCATTGCCCTGCAATACAACAAATTAATAATCGCATCATTTCAAAATCCAAATTTAAATACTCACTTTACCAATGTCTGGTAAAATATCAAACCAAAACATCAATACAGCGAAAACCAAACCAAAAATATGTAACCACATCGCAAGATGTACCACAGATTGTATCTTGGTCGATTGAGAATTGTTATTCAAATTTTGTCCGATAATTTGCGGTTGCGAATTTGAATTAGGGAACGAGACAGATCTTGAAACTGTACTTAACAACGTGGAAGGCATGGTAATATTTTGAGTTTCCTAAAACAAATTCGTACATTACTTGCACTTGATTTGTAATCACCCTACTTACGACTTCATTAGCAGTCAAAAGGTATCGATCGAGCAGTGTGAAGTAAGCAGCAAATGTAGCAAATCCTGCGATGTAGACTGTAGTCCATAAAGCGTGGTTCTCGCCACTCCAAGGTCCCGAATCTTCGCTGATTTTCTCCCTCTCGTACCCCCTGCATCTGAATTCGTCACATAAACCGTAATCGACAGTGATAAATATCCCGACGACAATTGTTGTAGCAGAGAAAATTCTTTGCAAACCCATTACTAAAACGTATGTAGTTAATAATGAAATTAAATAATGTGTTCATTGGGGCTTACTTTTTCTGCAAAAAAAGAAGTAGTACAACAGGGAGAATACCAAGACGATTCCTTTGATGGGATCCTGTAAATGGCATACGACTCGTTTCCTATCTAAAGCGTAGATAATCATGAAAGCCGACGAGAAATACACAAGAGATAACTGGAGTAGATTCCAAGATTTGACTGGTAAACTAAAAACGTTGACGTTCCTGTACTTTTCGAAAAATACTTTCGCTATTCCCATTGTAACGACAAGCATCACAGTCGAAATGAAAGTATTAGTCAAAATCAAGGAATAAGCGTTTCCTTCGACGTTTATGGTATCAATATACAGTGGTAGTAGGATTAATATAACAGTAGTAGCAAAAACCAAAGTAATTTTGGTTGTTATAAACTCCAATTTCGTATGGTTGAAGTAAGATGGACCGTTTGTATAATTTTCAGCCGGTTTATCGATAGGAAGACATTGATCTTCGGTTTCGGACAAAGAATCGTCGTCGGTAACTTGCAATAGCTCATCGTGATCGTCTTCATCCATCTAAAAAAATCAATCAATGATTGAATTGCAAAAAAAATCCGTAAAAGTAGAATGAATTAAAAATTTAGTGCCGTATAGGTTATTGACAGTAGTTACTTACCCTAAATAATTATTTCAAAAATAGGGAATTGATTGATTACTTGCAAATTAGTAAATTTGTTATTTTGAAGCGTAAATTTAATTTCTTATCAAATTGTCACTACTGTCACTAGTGTCAGTGTCACTTCAGTTATATGTACCTCACTTCACTATTGTGGTCTTACACAAGTCAGAACAAAAGTTACTCGAAAGGTAGACTTGATAATGACATATGTGAAATTTACAGAAAAAGAAGAATAATTAAGGGACTCCCATAAATCAAAATACGTATTTTCATTTTCAAAATACAATAATCTGGGGTTTTAAATTTAAATTACCAAGTTTTTAGAAAATGCTATAGTGAATAGTGTATGCGCTTGAGTATGTTAAAAATTAGAATCTTTCGTTGATAAACATTTTAAAAAGTACTAATCGTTTAATCATCAAAAATCATCATTTTATGATTGATCGATTCATTAATAAAAATAAAAATTAAATAAAAATGTAGGTAAGATACTAAAAAGTAGGTACTTATGAAATAGATCTATTAGATATTTTAGATTAAAATAGATAATTAAAACAGCAAATATAATCCATAATATCACAACAGCAAATATTAAAACACAGCAAAACTTTCAGAAACTGCTATATTATTAAAAATATCTACTTATAATTACAAAAACTAAAGAAGTAATTACAATTTGAAGTTGGTTAAAACTACTATTAGCTCTATTACTTTGACTTACAAATTCTTTCATGTGAGCCACTAGATCTTTGTTGATGATTTCGTTTACATCTTTCGCCCAGATGAAATCAAGATGGTTAAACTTTTTATCTTCAATTAGCCGTTTCTTGACTACGTTTGGTAATTCTTCAGCCAACCTTTCGACATCCTAAAAGAATAACCATTATAAAACGGTTTTAACAGTTATACTATTTTGATAAAAAATACCCGGAAATACTCGTAAAACGCTAAATTCTTAATCATCAATAATATTTCTTGAGTGTTCTTCAAACCATGCTCCTTTTAAAGCGATACAAATGGTCAGACGCCTTTTTTCAATGATCGAAGCATTTTATAGGCCCTATTTTGAAAAGGATTTTTTTCTCTTTCTGCGCATTTTCATTGATGGCATTTATGGAGTCAAAACAGAATCCACGAAGTGGCAATTTGAGTTTGGGAAACAAAAAAAATGTCGCACAAGTTTATAGTAACAGATTCGTGGATAGTAACAGATTTTCGGGTACTTTTTTGCCAGAAGGTATCGTATAGTAATTGTAATAGTAACTTTAAGTAGGAATATTCAAATTTATACCTTAATAGCAGCGAAATAATCATTTTGTCCATAATACAACGCCACCGGCGCTCTAATGGCAGAAATATCGAACAAAGGAGGCTCCAGCGATTTATAGTGTTTTATATTCAATATACCATAATCATATCTTCTAAAGTAGCCTTAAAAAAGTAATTTGAGTTTACTACACAACTTTACATCTTAATGCAGAACCTACCGGAATGGATTTCTTGTCCGTAATGGAGTAACATTTTCACGGACATTCCTGCCGGTGCATTGGAAGCCATGACGGGTATGGCAGTCTAAAGATAATACTTGAAAGACAACTTGCATAAACTTGTATAGTACAACTTACTCGGTCGAGTTGCGGTGAATTGTAACCGCAGAGTTCAAACAAAACTTGCGCGCAGAATTCTTGTAATTTCGAACCGTCCGAGCACAATGCAATAGCAGCGTCCGTTATTAATTGAGAATGGGCAGTAACTCGTGGATATTCAACAAACCCGTCAATATCTGGAATAAAGACACGGTTAATGAAAGAAAAAACCGCAAATACTAGAGTGTACAAACTTGCAAGAGATCCATGTATTTAGCCATCAATCTCGGTATGGGGGAAGCCATGTGCTGCATATAAGCAACCGGCGCTAGAGCGGACATCAAGGCTATTTTATCGTTGTACTCCGGCCTCAGAGCTGCCATGGCGAAAAACTGCGAAGTGCCCTGCGAATGGCCCACGTAAAATATTTTTTCCTGGCCCGTTTGCTCGATAATGTAATCGATCTTCGCCGGCAAATCGTAGTAACCGCAGGTTTCGAAGCTGTAATCCCAGAAGGCCGCGTCGGTGTCCGGGTCCAGGGTGACGTGTTGCCTCGACCAAGTGGTTCCTCGGTTGTTCCCCAGCCAAACGTCGAAACCGGCATCGGCTAGAGCTAGAGCGAGGGACCTGTCGGGGCCCATGTTCACGTAATCCGCAGCGCTGCTGAGCAGCCCGTGCATCAGCAGCACGGCCGGTTTGCCGCGGCTCTCAGAGAGCGTTCCGTACCTTCGGGCGACATGTTGCATGCGCAGGACGTAGTTGTCTTCGGTTTGAACCCAGTGGGTTTCCACGGAGTAGTTGTAATTTCTCAGAAGTCGGTACTAAAATTGCCTGTGTAGCGATTGGTTAGGTTGAATAAGTAGTACTTACGATGTCTAATCCATAATTTTCGGTTAGGTTTGTAGCGGAAATTTCTTTATGTACGAAAGAAAGGAATAAAATTAATAACGGGCCAATCATGGTCTTCGATTCGACTGATTTTGTATTAAGATGTAAAATAATGTAGACATTATAATATTGTTTGTTGAATTTGAAGTGGGTTAGGTACCGATATTTGATAAGGTAATAGGTAAGGTATCGAATTTTTTTAATTGATAAAATTTATCATTTAAAATAATAGCGGTATGGGTAAGTGCAAATTTGTTTGCAATATGGTGATATGATTTAATGTAACCGAAACGACAGGGGTACATTCGGAGAAATTCCTACCATTTAGAACTATCTAGGATCATTTAGAACTGTACTTTAGAACCGTATAGAATAATTTAGAGCATTCCGGAGTCAAAACTATTTATAACCCTTCAAGACTATTCAAAACAGTTCAGAACCGATTTAGAGTACATACAGGTTAATGCATCTTAGTTTTTTAATATGGATACAACAAAGACACCTTCCATTAGACACTTATAAAAATAAAGGGTGATATTGTGGGATTACAGCTTTCTTACTCTAACCACTGTTATTTTAATAATCTTTCTTTTATACACATGTGTATGTTTATTGCATAAAAATTTACACTTATGTGTATACGATTTTTTTTTGTCAAAATTAGGTTCCAATTTGGTCTAAAAGAAATGAAAGGTTCAACCAGAAAACGGTACTCAATTTTCCTTTAAAAATCCATAAAATATCCGGAAATTGATCAAAAAAAGATGGTAACTATGTAACTAGGCAATTCACTGTCCAAGGTGAAAGGCATTTTTTTTACTATCTAATTTAATAGATCTAACATTTAATACCAGGATTTAAGAGTACTCGTCAATATTTCATTAAAACACACTCGATTGAACTTTAATACATTTGTAGATAAAAACTGATAAAATCGGATATAATAAAGTGCGATATGTCCAAAATGCACATTATTATTAGCAACTCAATTTATCTTGCACCTTTCAATAATGTTATTAATCCTTAATTTAATCATCGCCGTTTGTTTAATACAACTAAGGTAGGTAAACGAGCTCTACAGAAACAGTTAAACGTAAGAAAAACATAATTTTAGCTCGCAAGATGATTACGCTATAAATAATAAGAAATTCCCGGATTCCTTCCTCTTCGGAGCTTCTACTGCTGCTTACCAAATAGAAGGTAGTACGCGAACTATAATTTAGCTGCACGTACATTGAACAAAAAATTTTAGGTGGCTGGAACGAAGACGGTAAAGGACCAAGCATATGGGACACCTTCACCCACAACCACCCAGAATTAATCAGCGACAGAAGTAACGCCGACGTGACCTGCGACTCCTATCACAAATACAAAGAAGATGTTTTACTGCTGAAAAATCTAGGCGTGAATATCTACCGATTTTCGATATCATGGAGTAGAATTCTACCAACCGGTAAGTTCCTGGTACGCCTACAAAAAGCACAATCTCTATACTTTCTTACTGTTTGTAGGACTCCCCGATGAAATCAACGAAAATGGAATACAGTACTACAGGAACCTAATCGACGAGCTCAAAGCGAACGGCATAGAGCCGTTGGTGACGCTCTATCACTGGGACCTGCCTCAAGGTCTGTCGGACCGCGGCGGCTTCCTCAGCGACGAGTTTCCCAAATGGTTCGCGGATTACAGCAGGATCGTTTTTCAAAACTTCGCGAACGACGTGAACTACTGGGTGACGTTCAACGAGCCGATATACGGTTGCAGTGGCTACGGGAACGATCGAGCTGCTCCTGCGGTGAACCAATCCGGCGTGGGGGAGTACATTTGCGCTCACAACCTCCTTAAAGCCCACGCGGCCGCTTATCACCTCTATAGGAAAGAATTTCCCCAGAATGAAGGTGGGTAGAAAATGGGGAATTCAGCTTTAAGATGGGGGGTTTGACCCTTAAGATGTTGTTAAAGCACCTTGTGGAAGCTTACTAATAGGTTTTTAAAAATTCTATTTGCAGGAAAATTTTCAATGGCTATACCCGTGGAATATGCAGTGCCGAATTCTACCAAGGCTGAAGATGTAGCAGCCGCTGAACAAAAAATGCAATTTACTGTAAGCCGGTTTTGATCAAATCCTATAAAAAAACGTCGATAAAAGTAAATTGTGCTTTAGGTAGGTTGGTATGCTAGGCCTCTGTATGCCGGCGATTACCCGGAGATCATGAAAACCCGCATAGCCAAGCGAAGCGCGGCCGAGGGTTTCAAAAAGTCTCGATTGCCAGAATTCACTGATGAAGAGAAGAGAAACATCAAGAATACAATGGATTATTTCGCTTTGAATTCCTACACTCTCAACTACATATATGCCATTGCGGAGCCCCCCATAACTTCACCTCCGACCGTTAGTAACGATGTGGGAGTTGGAGTAATTTGGCCTACAACTGGGGTGAAAGCACCTGCTTGATGTTTAAATTAGTGGTTCTTATTTGAGTTTTTTAGGATGGTACTCTTGGCATGACAGATTTAGCTCGTTGGATATCGAAGGAATATAATAATCCGGATATAATTCTTACGGAAAACGGATACGGTGGAAGTTCAAAAGACTTGGAGGACCCAGAAAGGATCAGTAAAATTCAGGTGAATCAATTGTGATCTAAAGTAATCAATTTTATCTTTCTAAATGTGTATTATTATCGTTATTAGAATTCTTTGAGCCGTTTTAAAGATGCATTGGATGAAGGTGTTAAATTGTTCGGATACTGCGTTTGGAGTTTGATGGATAATTACGAATGGAATCAAGGATATACGTAAGTGTGAGAAATGAGACTATTGTAGAAAGAAGTTTTGTAGTTTCATTTGAATGTATTTTTGAATATTTTTTTCTTAATATTAGGGTGAAGTATGGAATTCATCAAGTGGATTTTAGTGATAAAAATAGAACCAGAACTGCGAAAAAATCGGCTAAATGGTACAAAAACGTTATAAAAACAAGATGTTTGGTAGATAACTGTATCGAGTAAAATTATGATTAAAAATGGAAGTAATACCGAATTTTGTTGTATTTAACCCCCCCAAAAATGTTGTATTATTCATAGAAAGCGGATAAACAAGCTGCTGTGAGGCATATCAATAAAGAAACAGTTTAAATTATAACAAAATTTATTTAAATTATTTAAAAAACAAAATTTCATTAAAAGGACTTTTAAATTTCCTTTAACGTGCTAGATTCTAGCAACTTTTTGAGCGTTTGTTCTTTGATCTCCTTTTCGATTTTATGCGTTTGCAAAATTACTTCGGCAGTCGCCAATTCTATGTTCAATTTCTTCAACTTGATCTCATCCTCCTGTTTTTTGTAATCGATTTCAGACTGAATGACCTTTTTTTGAAGTTCTATCAACTCGATTTTCTTAGAAGCCAACAACTTTTGGGTTTCTATATGCGCTGCCTGATTTTTTCTTCGTTTCCTAGCTGAAATATATCGATTACAAAATTAATTCTTATATTATTTTAGTAGTATCTAATACTAATACTTGTGTAGATTGTACTATGCTAAGCTTACATGCATGCCACTTTGACCAATTAGAATCCACAGTATCATCTTTAAATAGATCTTTGTGGTTGTTTTCAAATACAACAGCGCCTTGTGGTTCTTCGTCGAGTTCATAATTTGAAGGCATGCTATCACTTTCGTTTTCGTACAATTCTACAACTTGCATTTCTGGGCCTAATGCATCTTCTGGAGTATTGACTTCCTTTGAAAAAATTATAATAAGGGATCTTACCTTTATTACAATTTATAATCACTTACTGCTTTTGGTTCAACCATATCGCCTGGGGATGTATCATATAACTCTAGAATAAAATAAAATTATTTTTTTATATTAAAATACATATAAACAAAATTCTTACTGTAATCATCATCGTTTAGAGGCGGCAAACCGTCTACAGATGATTGCATTAAAGCGTAGACTTTCTCTTCGACTGGACTCAATCCGTTACCAACATCCTCTCCACTTTCAGCTGGTAGGGATACAAAGTTCCTTTGTTGCATTTTTTTCTTGATATTCTTCTTCAGCGACTCGTATTTGGTTTTCAGGCATTTCGCAGTCCTCGAAGGTCCGCGGGTTTTTTTGTTGTATTCCGCTGCTAAATTGTTCCAAGCTGTTTCTTTTTGCTTCCACGTCGAGGCATCGGGCTTTTTACTTTCTATTACCCTGCTGTATTCTATCACTAGGGCAACTAATAAATTCGTCTCGCAGTTTGTGAAATTCTGGGATCTATCTCTTTTCGATTTTTCCATAGCACGATTGTTCTTCGCAACGAAGCCCTACGAGTTGTATACCTCTTGTACTGATAGGTTCGGGTATTTTATCTGACAGGTTAAATATATCTCTCTGATATCTACTATCTAGTGAATTTTATCAGCTTGGTAATACGGCACTTAATATGTTGATAGCTTTATAAATTAAAAAGCATTACCAACACAAACTATATAATACAATAGTTAATTTTCTTTTAAATGGGTTATTATAGGAAGCTCTTTATTATTATTAACATAAATAAAAAATAGAGCTTCTTATATGATTTTTGTATGATTTCAATCTAAAAAAAGTTTATTACCTATGTAAAATTAAATATTACTCTTGCGATATTAAAAATTAAAAATTGCACTTTACATAAACTTTATGTATTATAAATGTCTAAAAAATAATTTAACATCACTGCAACAATTATTAAAATATACAGCCATTATTTAATTTCTAAATTTTTACTCGTTATTGTAATTTGTAAATTTAATGTAAACCCAAACAGGTAAAGATAAACAAATAAAACTTATAAACATAACCTTAAAAATCACTCATTATTAACCTCTTGCTTTTTTTGCATACAGCCAGTTAAAGAGAAAAATAAAATAAAATTTGTGAGGTTAAGTAACTGTTATTTTCAAAAATTAAACTCGCTATTTATCTATCGCAAACTTTTTAATAGAGAGTATAACAGTGTAAATCAGTAAATTTAAGGATTTGTCTATGTAATAAATCAGAAGAAACAAAAACACAATGGGTAACAGTTTATCATCAAATGCCCAAAATGAAGAACAACTATCCCTAGAAGATGCTTACAAAATATTAGCAATTGATGAAGAAAAGAAAAGTAAGGAAGAAAAAATTAAAATTAACAATCCCGACAACTTTGTATCAAATAAAGTCGGTGTAATAACGAATGCTTTGAAAGACGGTTACATTATAGACGATCAGTATGTTGTCCAAAACACCGAACTGGACTTATCCGTAGGTGCCAGAGTTAGATTTGATTTGTTCAGTTCAGACGACATGTTTAAAGTGACCAACGTAGAATTGATCGATAACGAATGGGATGTGCCCGAAAGTTCAAATTCCTTGTGGAGCACCCGAGTGATAATTTGCCAAGTTGATCGTCGAATAGAGAGGAAACTTTACCTAACTCAATGCGATATCATGCTAAATTTAGACGATGTTCCTTTGGAATTTTTACCAATGGTCGGAGACTGGCTGGAGTTGCAAGTTAAATGCACTGTCAATGAAAACAAACTCGATTTAAGCGGTAAGATTATCGAGATTGATAGGATATCGCCTGTAAGGCTGCATTTGGAAACAGGGAAAGTTACTAATTGGAAATCAAACGAAGGGGTATGTTTAATTATCAACATAAAATAAACCATTAATATTTTTATTTTGTAGGAAGGAACTATTAATAACAAAATATTCTTCAACAAAGCATCTCTATCAATCGGTCACGTTCCTATGTTAGGTGACAAGGTAGTTTGCGAAGTCATCGAAAGTAGTCAAAATCGATTTCTATGGAGAGCCATAAAAGTTTTGCCTGAAACTGTTATGTCACATAATCGCAGCAAATTATCGAGCCCTACAACAGACACCTCCAATTACGAAGAAAATCATCCAGGATTAGAAATAAACGATATCAACTTGAGCTTCGATAAGTTGGGTATCAAACAAAACTTTTCCATAAACATCTCAAACAATGCAGATCATGATGTTTTATTAAAAACTGTTAAATTTACAGACATAAATGCATCATGTAAAGTAATCAATAATCGCAGTAATGTCACAATCAAGCCTAACGATACCTTAAATATTACATGCGAATGCATTTCTAAAAATATAGGACACAGTAAAGACATGTTTACATTAACATTCGATAAGTTTACTTTAAGAAAATGGGTAAACATATCGACAGTTATCAATTCAAGCAATCTGAAAATTCCGTATGAATATAAACCCAACCTGAAGCTTCATGATGAATCGGAAAACGAATTAATCAGAGGAGAAAAATCCAGCAATGTTCGATTCACTGTTGCCAAAATTCCGAATTATTTAGTACCGCAAAAACTCGCCGATATCATGAGAACATACAATCGCAAAGACACCGAATTATTCGAGCAATTAAAATCGATCAAGCCATCACTAACCGCGAATCTTACACTAATCAATTACGAGGATAAATTCCACACGCTCATACATCTCGATGAAATCATGAATTTAATAAGCGTACAAGTCTACGACCAAGACAGAGCTTGTTTCGTTAAGAACGGGGAATTTCTAATGCTGGAAATCGATAACCTAGCCGAGAAAAGACCTTCTTTGATAATAGGCGATAGAATCATAGCGACAGATCCGATGAATAAAAACAAATTAGATTACGAAGGCTTCATAAACAAAGTGGGATCTAAACACGTTTACCTAAAATTCAATCGGCTGTTCCACGACTCTTACAACGGCGAGGATTACTCTATAAAAGTCGTACCCGGCAGAGCATCGTACAAGAGGCTTCATCACGCCGTGAGTTTGGCCGTGCGAAATTTAGGCCAAGAATTGCTATTTCCTACTCGCATAACAGAAAGGGAACCTCAGGTGGATTTCACCTGCAACAGCGATTCGAATAAACTAAAGTTAGAATGGTACAATAAGCGCTTGAACGCGACGCAGCAGAACGCCGTGAAGCACATACTTTGGGGCAAGGCCAGGCCTCTTCCGTACATTATATTCGGTCCACCTGGTACGGGAAAAACCGTGACTATTATCGAAACTATATTGCAGTTGGTGAGATTATTACCTTCGTCTAGATTGCTAGTTACAGCGCCTTCTAACAGCGCGGCGGATCTGGTCGCTTTGCGATTGATAGATTCCGGAGTTTTGATGCCTGGCGATTTGATCAGAATCGTTTCCTATAACTACGCCCTGAGCGACGCGATTCCTGCTAAACTTGTGCCTTATTGTGCTACTGCAAGCAGCGCCAAAGAAGATACTATCCAAACCGATTTATTCACCGACGGAGGGATCAAATTGGGTAGGTATTAACTGGCGATTATATCGAATATAAAGTCCCAATTGGAACAATAAAATTAGGACTAATGGATATTTTATTTGCAGATTGCAGTCAATCGATTCTAGGGAGGCACAGAATAACTGTAGCGACATGCGGAGCTGCAGGTCAATTTTTCACCATGGGATTAACCAAAGGGCACTTCAGCCACATTATTGTAGACGAAGCAGCCCAAGCTGCGGAACCCGAGGTCTTGATATCCATGGCTTTACTGGATAAAACATCAGGACAAATGATTCTTGCAGGTATTCCAAACAAACTGTAAATACGTATTAAATGTTATCTAATTTTTTTTAATTTTCAGGCGATCCCATGCAACTGGGGCCGGTAGTACTTTGCAAAATAGCAGAGGAATGCGGTTTGGGAGAATCTTACTTGGAAAGACTGATTAACAGGTTTCCGTACATCAAAGATCCTGCTGGTTTTTCGGACACTTGCGGATACGATCCGAGACTCGTTACTAAGCTATTGTACAACTACAGAGCCCTGCCTGACATTCTCAACTTGTACAGCAATTTATTTTATAGCGACGAATTGATACCGACAGTAGGTTAAACATACATGCATTAAAATACATTTTTAAGCATCGCCTATTTTCCAGATTGACGAAGAAAGTAGTTCGGAAGCTCAGCTGTTGAATACACTCGCGGAAATTATACCTCGAAGATCCGACGGACGACTCTCTCAAGTTATTTTTCACGGTGTAAACGGGGAAAATTACCAAACGGAAGATTCTCCGTCGTGGTTCAATCCCCACGAGGCAGCGCAAGTGTTCCATTACATCAACGAATTATACAGATTGGGGTTGAAGTCCAATAATATCGGCATAATTAGTCCATATGTTAAACAGGTAATTCGTATACCCATGTTGTTGTTATGTTACTTACTATTCTTAACTTAATTTTAGGTGAGGGAAATTCGCTCGCTCCTAATTGAAGCTGAATTCGATCTTCCGCGTATAGGCACGGTGGAAGATTTCCAAGGGCAAGAATTCGATGTAATTATTCTGTCAACTGTGCGTTCATCGGAGCAGTATGTTAGTTCGGACGTTCTTCATTGCTTGGGCTTCGTTGCTAATCCGAAACGTTTAAATGTAGCCATTTCTCGATCTAAAACTCTATTAATTATTGTTGGAAATCCGAAGTTACTGTGTTGTGATATTTACTGGAGATCTGTTGTTAAGTATTGCTTGGATAAGGGCTGTTATGTCGGCTGTGAGTTTTAGTGAATAAGTCGATTTCTTTCTATTAAACAGATATTTTATTATGAGCGTCTTTCGATTGTTCATTAAATTTAAACCAAAAAAGGGTTTTCTGTAGAAAATAATATACGATTTTAATAAAGCATTTACCTTAAATTAATATATAGAAAAAAACTTATCGATAGATCGGTATTCAAAAAGTAAATTTGCTGTGTTCCTTCTGAATTTGAGTTAATTGTTCTGCAGCTTCGATTAAATCGGGTTTGAGATCTGAATACTGTTTGAGTTCTTTATCCAAATTCTCTTTAGTTTTCTTCAATTTTTGTAACTTCTTGCATTCTTCGTCTAAGTTCTGCATGTCAAACAATGGATCCTTAAGCCAGGGGTACTTTTTCTAAAAAATGGTAATTTAATTATGCATTAAAATTAGGGTTTTTACGAGACTTACCTCATAATTCGAGTTGGTTAAATCATATTGAGTTACTTTTGCACGTAATTGATTGGTGTTGCTCGAATGGAAATTGAGTTCCTTTAATTTTTCCCTACCTAATTTTAATTCCCTGAAATGTTATGATTTGATTAAGTTACTTATCATTTAAGCAAAAGGCTTCTACTAACATTTCTGCTGTATTTATATCCTCGGAAAGCTTTTTGTTCATGTGTTTGTACATTTTCAGACTAGTCGTTAATCTCGAGAAATAATTATGTGGTTTCGTGGAAACTTTGGAATTTTTTTCATCGTATTGAATTTCCAATACATCGATTAGTTTATCGATGTTTTCGTCAATGGTTACATCGAATTTGGAATCTTCGGAGAGTAACTTCATTTTTTTCAAATATTCATCTTGACGAGCATCTGAGAAATCGAGCAAAACTTTAAAACTAGACTAAATAAGAAAAAACGTTTAACTTACTTTCTTCTTTATAAAATTCTATCATAGATTTAATGGAAATTAAATTAAGATCGGCTCCCCATTCGGTTGACATTTTTGAAAGAATAAAAGTCGTTAATAAATAATTTTTTAGGTTAGGTAACGATTTCTTCATTTATGTGAAAAATTGGCCTTTACTTCAGAGGCTATTTAGCAAAAATATGTTGCATACAGAAATTCAAACGTAAAAAAACACTATATTCTTGAAATTTAGTTAATTCACAATTTAAATTTAAACATGTAATATTGAAACCTCCTGTAAAAGGCTTTTAGAAACTACAAAAATCAAATTTGAAAATTTCGACTTTCATAACAATGCCGTTACATTCGATAAAAAGTCCGTGCAAAAAAGCAGCCATTACACTTCTCCGAAGTTGGTGTGCCCCGTAGTTTTTGCGTGCTGTTGAGCAGCCGTTTGCCCCTTCAAATAAACGTTGCACACCATGCACTTCAACGTGAATTTATCCACGTCCGTAAACTGTCGGCTGGACTTCGCCTCTTGGGCCAACTGCTGCGCTTGCTTGAGGAGCCCCTCGTCTGTCACGGGGAATATTGTCTGAATCTTGCTACCCTAGAAATAACGTTAAAATAAAAATTAGATGTACATAAAGATTATTATGATGTGCTTACATCGAAAGGTTCCAAGAACAACGGGTCGTAGTGAATTCCATCGAATAACAGGTACACTCTGTGAGGATAATGCTGGTCTTCGCCGAATTTGTTAATTATTGCATTAATAGTATCCACCACGGCGATTTCGACGCCGTAATGGTTAGATAAAATGGACAATTCGATGGCTCCACCCCAGGATTTATCGTCTTGAATCCACGAGCAATAGGACTCGACCGATTTGCCTAGGATGGCGTCGTTGTACAAGTCTCTGTCATTACTAATTGTTTCGGCTACTAATTGCCTGAGGTAGGAGTTTATAGTGGAGTCTATTTTACCATTTAAAACGAACTGAACACTGGTGAATAAACAAGAATTATCCGAAGGCACAATGTGTTTCATTAATATACCTTGCGAGAGGGGTTCGAATGGAACTTCGGCTTCGTTTCCGGACATAGCGACGTCAGTTGTGCTATCACTAGTCGGATTCGAGGGTTTCTCTTGAGATTTCTCTTCCAGAATCAAAGTGTCCCCTGAGGAGATTCCGGCGTTTCCGATGCCCTCTTCGTCTTGACTAATGTCGATTATTTTGGGCGGAAATCCCGTTAATATCTGAAGCCTATTGGCTGGTATACTCGACATATTCGATAACATTTCTTTTAGTTCCTTCATTGTGCTGTCTTTAGTCAGACTGTTAATTATTTGATGTCCGGATTTTGTTTTGATCCTCAAGGCAAATCCAGCCATTTTTCACTTGGGTGTTTTGTTACAATGGCTTTGTGAAGGATTAAATAAATGCGAAATAACCGTTGTAAGTTGTAAATAAGTAAAATAATTTTAAAACTCGGCCAAAGAAAACAATTATTCAACAATATCTGACTGAAGTTATCGTCAAGTTGAATGTCATTTAATGTCAAATGATAAGTCTACGACCGCTGACAGATCGGCGTTGCCAGTCGTTGTTTCTTAATTTGTATGATTTTTTGAATATAAAAAGAATGTAAGAAAGGTTTTTATAAGAAGTACGGGTAAAGTTTGATTTTAGGCTCCATATTTCTGCGCATGCGCCAATTTCGTGAGATTTCTCGGCTAACAGCGTCAAAATCTGTACATCGTTGCCAGATTGTGCAAATGGAAATATTGGTAAAATAAAATTAAAATTTTATTCAAAATATAATTAATATAATATAATAAAATAGTTACATGATATACAGGGTGTCCCAATAGTAGGTGTGGTAGGTGTGGCTAGTGGAGGGTAGAAAAAATTAATTAAAAATAGTTGTTTTTGAAATATTTACCTTTACCTAACTCTTTTTGTATTAACTACATACAGGGTGTCCCAATAGTGCGGTAAAGCCCATTTACTCAGTGATTATAATAGATACGAAAAAATGGGAAATAGGAAAAATGTTAAGGACCTTTAGGCGCACAATTTAAAATTATTTCTAAATATACAGGGTGGCCCATAAATCGAAGCCATACCAAACATACCTTTTTTTAAAGGCAATGATATATTTTTTATTTTATATTCGATTTCAGCTCGTATTCACGAGTTTCTTAATATAAGATTTCATATGACTATACTGAGTATTTAAAAAGTTATGGCCATTTTTATGTTCAAATCGACATGATTTCAAGGCCCTGTATATCAGAATCTGTATCAGATAATGTGAATTTTTCTGTGTCAGCACTTTTTGAAAATGGTCTATTTTCACAAAAAATAGTTACATTCTGACAAAATTGCAATTTGTATACAGGGTGAGTCAAAACGCAAACATAATAATTACTCGCTTAATTTAAATGGAACACCCTATATTAATAATATCCAATGGGAAGTCTATTTCTTACTGAATCTTTTTTCATAACATTTCCCTATACCTAACTGTCCCCATTTCTGAGATATTTTCAGTTTTATTCGAAATGTCCAGTTTTTGATATTATAATTTCATTTTAATCTAATGACATCTTAGAACTTTTTTTGCTAAATAATAGTAGAAAATTAAATATCGATTAATGTTTAATCAAATATCATTAGCAGGTACCCTAAATTTCTAGTTATTCTGCAATTTAAAGTGACACGAGTTCAATAAGTAAAATTCCCATAGTTCGTAGATGATGACGTCATAGAGGTAACTAGTTTAAATTAAAATTATAATAATTTAAAGTTTAATTTAAAAATTACCAAATATTTCGGGTAGTTAATGATCGTTAATGGGCTCATTCGATAAAATTTAGAATTTGTTCAAACTTTACATACATAAAGAAGAGGTTAAAAAAAATTAATACTGAAAGTTTCAAGTTGATCCGATCAGCGGTTCTTTAATTATTCGAGTTTAAAAATGCGATTATTTGGCTCCGCGATAATACGATGATGACGTCACTGCATGCGATCTCTTCGCTGTCCGCTTCGCATTCACTTAACTTGCATTGCATTCGCGATCGTCTCGTCTTTTTAACTGTGGTAACTGTCCCGAACGGGTCAAATCACACCGAGTTTTATATGTTTATATAAACTTGAATTTGTTTATGACAGGCCCTGTTTGTAATAGTGTTGTTTAAATTTTTATCCATTGTCAAATTCACATCATCCATATCATGGTTCTGTTCATTCCGAGTACTTTTAGAACAACTAGGTTGATAAATCCTCGATAGTAGTTTACCGCTGTCTTTTTAAAAATATTGTTCTTGCTTACACAACGCTTTGAACTTTTTAGCAATCGAAGATATTAGGTACAACATCTTGCTTCATTTTTATTGGGAATTAGCCATTGTTTTAAAATACATGTAATTTTCCATATCGTTTTCAAACTAAAAAAATTAAATATTTTTACTAAGCAAACTAATTATTATAATTAGTGTGTTACAAAATGCGACAAATATGACAAAATGTGTTGACTTAGTACTAACCAGCATACTTCTTTTCATTGATTTTTGTCACAATTTGTTTTTTCTTAAATCGCGCGGAAGACTAATAAATATTTTATTAGGCTTCTTAAAACTAGTGCTTCGACATTTGGGAACAATGCAATATTTGTAACTATTTTTTTATTTATTGTCCGTCATTATTTAAAACTTCCTAAGCCTATTTAAAACCCTAAGAGCGCGTTCAATCGACAGCCTACATTACAAATCTGTTCTCACAACGCATGCAGTAACGTCACAGTCAATTCGAGCGAAGGCTCGTCGCGACGGTTTTTAAGGCCTTTTTAAGTGACTTCTACATGGAATTTAATTCTGATTTTTATTAATTAGATTAAAATGTAATTTTAAAAGGTAATTAGATTAAAATGAAATTATAATATCAAAAACTGGACATTTTGACTGAAAATATCTCAGAAATGGGGACAGTTAGGTATAGGGAAATGTTATGAAAAAAGATTCAGTAAGAAATAGACTTCCCATTGGATATTATTAATTTAGGGTGTTCCATTTAAATTAAGCGAGTAATGATTATGTTTGCGTTTTGACTCACCCTGTATACAAATTGCAATTTTGTCAAAATATACCTAATTTTTGTGAAAATCGAATATAAAAATAAAAAATATATCATTGCCTTTAAAAAAAGGTATGTTTGGTATGGCTTCGATTTATGGGCCACCCTGTATATTTAGAATAATTTTAAATTGTGCGCCTAAAGGTCCTTAACATTTTTCCTATTTCCCATTTTTTCGTATCTATTATAATCACTGAGTAAATGGGCTTTACCGCACTTATGGGACACCCTGTATGTAGTTAATACAAAAAGAGTTAGGTAAAGGTAAATATTTCAAAACTATTAAACATTTAATTAAATTTTTCTACCCTCCACTAGCCACACCTACCCCTCGCTAACCTTCTCCTAACATCCGCTACTCCCTTCTACGCTACTCTACCCTCCGCAACCCTTTTCTGCCCTCCACTACCGTCTTCTACCCTCCGATACCCTCTACCTATTCCCCGCTACCCTACGCAACGCTACCTTCCGCTACCCTAAGCTCCGCTCCCCTACCTTACGCTACACCCTTCTACCCTATTCTACTTCTCCCTACCTCCTCCTACCCTCTTTTACTCTCGACTACCCTCCTATACCTATACCTACCAAGCATCTACATTTTTTAGCCGAATATTTATTATCTAACTGAACATGTTGGAAACATGTTTGGAACTAACAGACGGATATAATTTTAATCAACTTCATTAAACTTTTAATTATAATCATTATAATTACTAATTTCTTACTATTCTAATAATTTCGCTCTATTCGATGAAATTAAGTGCACATTGGCAACGATGTACACATTTTGACGCTGTCAGCTGTGAAATCTCACGAAATTGGCGCATGCGCAGAAATATGGAGCCTAAAATCTATACTTTACCGAAGTACGTGCGTTTTCGTAATTGTATTAACTTTTTCGGTGTCGGTCTAATATAGGTATGCAGTACGGTATGCAGTCTACCATAGAGAAAGAAAGATGTCTTTTATTTTTTCCATGCAGTCTACTTCACCGCATCTGGTTTGCGTTCTACCCAAATTTATTTATACAAAATATTTATTAAAAGTATTACATATAGCAACATTTAACTGTAACTGATATCTTGTTATGCAACCATTTTTGGGACTTTTTAATTTGAAATACCATTAACGAAATTTAATCAACTTAAGCCACTTTTAATTAAAAACCGATGTTGCTTTATACAGCCTTATAGACGCCTAATAGAATAAATGAAAAATAATGAATTGATGTATTTTGACTTTGGAAGCACTATATCCACTACCCGAAAGTCCGAATAAGAAAAGACTTTCAACCTAAACCTAAAATTGACAGTTGATTCGTTCCATTTTGACACATCTAAGTTTACAGGTTATGTTAGGTTATTATTATTTTAAATTATTTTTATTTATACATATTTTATTTTGTAACTTGTAACAGTTATTTCTAATTTCCATTATAAGATATAATTAACTGATATAACGTTGAGTCTCGTCTGCTGAGTTTACAGTACTCCTATGATCTAATTTGACTAACAGTAAGTTATTTATTAGTTATTAATTTATATTTAACAGGTACCCATTTTTCTAATTCTCGAAATTTAGAACGCAAAATATATCAAAACCACGTCTTAACATAAAATAGGAACAATAATACACTTTAAAAATCAAAATTTCATGTACAATGTACAAGTACTAGGCTAATTTTAAAACTAACTGTCTTATTAGCAATGGCAAAATTGGTTAATGACATAATATAAAGCCGAACACCCAAGTTTGAGTAAGCCATTTGTTTGACAAATAAAATTTAAGAAACACAAAATTTCAATAAATAATCACACAGTCCAATTGGATGCTTTGTAACTTCGTGGGAATAATCAGAATTATCTCCAAAAAATTGTTAACGAAAACAGTGCATTATAGTATATTGAATTGTCAATCTGATGAAGAGCATGGAAAATAACAATTCTAGTTAATTTTAAAATTATTTTTAATTAATGGCACATCGTCCGCATGCAGCTGCAAGTGTAAGTTTACCAAACTGGTCCTTGCATTTTTAGCTCTTTCGTGCTTGTGTAATTGTAAATTTGAATATGAGGTTAAGAAGATTCCTTAGCGTATAAGATGCTATGATTTTTTTAAAACGCACATTTATTTTATTTTATATTTTGTGTTTTTAGGCGACTAGAGCAGTCTCCCATCATACGGGTCTAACTGCAGGCCAAGCTTCCGCACCGGTCGTATTAAATTTGCCCGAGAAACGCGAAAATAGAAAATTTACCGACGTTTTCTTCCTAAATTGTTGGATTATCGCTGTAATTATATTAGTAAGTGCATGATCTCCATTTGGCCCGGCGATTTGTTTAATGCCCGTCCATCCTGTTGCAGATTTCCTTCATTATTTATTGTTCTGTATTATCGGATTTCGCTAGGCTAAAGGGTTACGATGAATGCGGTAATATTTGTGGCCGATCGAATAAAATTCTTAATGGAATACCTTGCTCAGGTCAAGATTTTACTCATTCTCCGTGAGTTATTACTTATGTATAAAAATAGTTAATAAGAGGAGTGAGTTTGTTGTTTGAAAATTTGGTTGCAATTTGTATGGATGTGATTCTTAAAAATATTTCTTCTTTAGTTTATACAAGATGTAAATTTTTGATCTATTGTTCCCTTCATTTTTTAGACTGTTACAAGTTGAAGAAACGGAAGAAAAAAGATGGAAGTTCCATTCATATTCACGAAAGTGTGTCGCAAGTTGTGAAGAAGGATAGTGAGTATATTTTAATTATCATATATTTGTTAAAAGTTTTTCCATACAATCTAATTAAATCTAATTTTAGTGTAAAGAGAGGTTCATTTTGTTTTAAAAAACCAGAAAATGCAAAACCCGAAGATCTCGAAGAACAAGATTTTGAAGCTTTTATGACTGAATATGGGATTACTTTCATATTGGCCTCTTTAGTCTCTCTATGTACGTTTCTGTTAACTAATTTTTATTCGATTAAATAATACAACATCTTAATATTTTTAGGTTTAACACTCACGCTGTTCTTTATGTTGAAAATCATTACACCCATTATAGTATGGACTGTACTTTTACTATCCGGTGCCATTATTGTCGGCGTAATTTGGTTAGTTTTTCAAATATGTACTTATAATTTGAATATTTACTGGTTCATTATAGGTACGAATACTATCGAATCAAAACAGCCGAAAAACCTTCCAACGATGGTTTAATTGTCATGATTTGTGGAGTAATTATAACGTTTCTCTGGATATTTCTGCTTGTGTACCTTTTCCTCGTGATCAGAAAGATTAAAGTGGTCACGAACATATTGAAAGCAGCCACTGATATAATTTTCGATGTGCCAGCAGTTTTATTCGTTACTTTAGCAGTGAGTAGATTGCGGAATAATAACAGTACATTTTTATGAATTTATCGTTTGCAGGTTATCTTAATGGAACTCATTATTTTGGTGCTGTTCTTTTATACGAGCCTCATACTTTATTCATCGGGCGTATTAAGCGAATACAACGAAACGACTTACTACTTCCGTTACAACGCTGCTATGCTATTTACAATTGTTTTTAACATTGTAGTTACCGTGTGGACGTTAATAATCTTATTCAAGCTCCAATACACTATCATATCTGGTGTTATAGTCAAATGGTACTTCGCCAAGTATGTAAATTATACTAATAGTAGCAAATGAAACATAGTGCGATGTTTTTTTTTTGTTAGAGATAAATACAACTTGCACAGTCCGATAATGAACAATTCGATAGTGGTGCTGAAATACCACTTTGGCAACGTCGTTTTTGGTTCCCTATTTGTGCATATTGTCGCTGTACTCAAAGGTGTGTTAACGGCTTGTACCAAACGAAATATGAGCGATAAAAATCGGTGCGGTAGATGCATGAAGAGGGTCAAATTTTGCCTTCTGGCTTCATCCCAATACGCCTTTATTGAGACTGGTAAATTTTGATTTAATTGTCTTCCTAGGTGTGTCCAGAAAGTTTGTTTCTATTTGGTAATTTAAAAAAAATGATGTAGAAACATACAAAAAAATGTTTATTGTACAAGCTTCTACGATTCTTATGCTACATTTCTACATATCCTGAAATTTCCCCGGTATTTTTCAGAGCGTGGTGCAATTTTTTCTATACTGTCCTCGTAGAAAGTTACTGTTTTTTCAAGTATCCACGGTGTAAATGTTTTGGTTCAGTTGAAGTTAAAATTAAGGAAAATCGTAAGTTTAAATTTCCTGATCTTTCTATGGAATTTCCAGATATCACTAGTTCATACAATTGTAATTGAAAAATTTCATATCAAAAACTTGTGCAGGAAAAACACAGGCGGTCACTTTCTATGAGGAGGACATACAAAATCTTGTGCAATGGTTCAGAAATGTAACTTAGGAATCGTAGAAGCTTGTGCAATAAATAATTTTCCAATATCTGTACACGATTTTTTGAAATTACCAAACATAACTTACTTTCTGGACACACCTAGAAATCGTAGAACCTTTTATAACGGCTTTCATTGCGCTAGCATTGGAACACTCTGTATAAACTATTTAAATTTTTCAGCAATGCGCGGCAAGCAGTTTCGTCCGTCAGGCAAGAAAGCAGCCGATGTGATCTTGCGTAACCACATGGACATCATCTCCATGAATTACATCAGCGATTGGATTATCATAACGGCTCAATTTTTAATCGCAGTCGTTTCTTGGTCCTTAATTATCGCCTATCGTACTATGCACGTACGTATTCCACTTTTTCTCCGGTAGATAAATTAATTCAACGCTTTTACTTACACGTTTTAGATCAGTACTCACATACCGAGCGGCACAACAGTGTTTATCGTCGTTTTCGTCATTACCCTATGCATACCATCGTCCTTATTTTCTGTACTCGAAGTAAGCACTATTGAAATTATCAGTAAGGGTAGATCTGTTAGGGTATCATTATGGGTAGATCTATTGAGGATTAGGGTATCAGTGTGGGTCCTATTAGGATATCAGTGTGGGTGTATCTGTAAGGGTATCAGTGTGGATAGATCTATTAGGGTATCATTATGAGTAGATCTATTGAGGTATCATTATGAGTAGATCTATGAAGGATTAGGGTAGACTTATAAGACCCACGTTGGTCGAAACTCTGCGGATAAATTTAGGTAAAAATAATTTTGTTGTAGGTAGTAGTTGATTCAATTCTGCTTTGTTTCTGCGAAGATGCAACTGCTAATGACGGTAAGTCGCGTCCGTACATTATGGACCCCAAACTTGTGGCGTCGCTTAAAACGTATGACAAGGTAAAGAAGTAGAATGGTAGAAAACGGTACTGTAGTACAAATTTAATTGTAGCAATTTAGTGCGGTTGTACATTTTGGTAGTGTTTTATGTGAAATTAAAATTTTTGAAGTGGTCATGGTTGTTTACTGTCGAACATTAAAAAAATCATTTTTAACCATTTGTAAATGAGGTCGCTTCTACTACATGAAATTTTATTTAGTTATACAGGGTGTTCCTAAACATCGTGTACATCCGGAAGGGGGTGATTCCTTGGCTTATTTTGGAACACGACTTTTGAATTTGCGGGCGTGCTTTGGCGGCCTTAACTTTGAATTTTTGATTACATAAAACTACATAAAATTAACAATAATAGTAGAAGTTTGCATAATTTAAAAAGTGGTGAAAAAATACATAAAATCAATAAAAACCTGTCTCACAACGACAAAAAAATGCCATAAAATCTTTATCTAAAGTATAATGAAACATCATGTAACATTATCATTTAATCATATAAAATACAACCTATAAATAAAAAAAAACAAGGGACATAATATTTTTTTAATCATAAAAACATCAATTTATAAAGAAAATTTATTTACAAATAACTACACAAATCCGTGCCCGGCAATCGCCGAGGGTATGTACCCCTCGTTTCCATCTTTGTCCTTCACGTAAAACCATCCCTTGAAACTGGCATCTAACAGATACACAACATCCCCCTTTTTCACTAAAATATCGTCGTTACCCCTTCCGCAAAAGTTCGACGTTATCACCAACAACGTGTACAATTCCTTACCCGTTTTCGCGTTGGTTTTCGCCGCTCGAAGGTACAATCTACGGGACATTCGGTTTCATTTCCTTATTGCAAGGCTATTAAATACACACCTATCGATGCTCTTCTCCTCGCACACGCTCGAAGCGTGCCTGGATATTTTGTGCCTAGTTTTCGTGATTCCCTCGCAGTCTGACTTCGTGCTCAGTTTCTCGCTGTCCGTCATATTTCCCGACGGTTTGGGAAACACGTCCGTGCTCCTTTCCCAGCAGGGCGTCGAAGTGGTATCGTCTGGAGGCGGAAGGATTCCTGGAATAAAATACTTTCTAATAACACAATTAAACCATTTTAAAATTCGCAAAGGCCTTAAAAATCGTATTTTGAAAAATTTGAGGGAATATTTTGGAAATTATTAGTTAAGTTTTTAAATAACAGTTATTTTGTAACATAAGTTACGGAGTCTCTACACTGGAAAATGAGTTCCCAGCTCTATACTTAACGTCAACAATATCAATCTGTTGTTGACAGTTTTGACAGTTTTCAGATATGTATAGTCAACCTATAAATAGCGGTGTATACTCAACCTCTAAAATTCATATTTTCGATATTTTTCTCTACATTTTTGCTCACCTAAAGGTAGACAAGCTGCATAGCTAACGTAACCTTCTTCAGCGTGGGGAGTTTGCACGTACAACCAGTGCTGGTTCTTGAACACTGCATTCACCACCATCCCCAATGGCAGTTCTATTTCCACCTGGTAACCCCCGACTCTCGTCTTGTACAATAAGCTAGGAAACGCCAAAACTACCGGTATGTTGGCCGGTTTTTCGATTGTAGCCTGAAAACAAATCAGCAATTGAAGATTCCCAAGGGCGCCTCAGGGAAGCTTCAGCTCTCTCGCCAGCAAAGTAAGGGGTGTTTCGGGATTGTTATACTCGAAAAAACCGGCTAGACTTAAGAGCACGTCGGTGGAAGTAAAGCGTTCGTGTTCGTCGGCGTGAGAACTATGTCAGCCGAAGCCGATGGGACCGAGACCGAAATGGAAACAGTAAATTATGGGCCACGAACCGAAAGGAAGATTATCGAGATTACGGCGCGGATTCTCGTGAATCGCCCGCGATGGACGTTTAACACACGTAGGTATAGCCGATACGTTATTGGCCTTTTTTTTCGTACGTACGTGCGTTTTCAATTTTTAAACGAAAGGAGTTAAATGAGAAATATTTTAAACGCGACGTGCTTATTAGACGCGCTCGACGGGCACGAATCACGTGGGAATTTGTTCCGTAATTTTCGGATGTTTTTCAGTCACTTGGGATTTATCAAAGTACTTGCAATTTATTGGAAATAAGTACCTAGAAACTTGGATACAATTTAAAGGTGTTTTGAATGTCCTGTAAGACACTCTTTTTAAAGCTTTATGTTCATAATGTTCTTTAATTTGTCTAATATATCCGTATAGTTTTAGACAATTGTAAATGATTCTGGAGCGTTCTAAATGGTTCTAGACAGTTCTAAATGATTCTAGAGCGTTCTCAATAGTTCTGGACAGTATTAAATGGTTCTAGAAAGTTCTAAATTTCTAAATGATTTTGGTGCGTGAATGGTTTTAGATTGTTCTAAACAGTTAAATGATTCTGGAGCGTTCTAAATGGTTCTAGACAGTTCTAAATGATTCTAGAGCGTTCTCAATAGTTCTGGACAGTATTAAATGGTTCTAGAAAGTTCTAAATTTCTAAATGATTTTGGTGCGTGAATGGTTTTAGATTGTTCTAAACAGTTAAATGATTCTGGAGCGTTCTAAATGGTTCTATTCAGTTCTTAATGAATCTAGAGCGTTCTAAATGATTCTGAAGCGTTCTAAATGGTTCTACACAGCGTTCTAGATTGATCTAGATAGTTAAATGATTGTAGTGCGTTCTAAATGGTTCTAGACAGTTTTAAATGGTGCGCTAGGAGACCTATTATTAGACATTATTACGCGAAATTGAGCCAAAATTATACAAAAAAAAACAAAAATTTAATGCTTGACATTTCTAATTTGCAGTTTCTTTTAATGCATTGCATAGATATTAAATTCCAGTAAAACAAACGATTTTATTAGTAGGTATATTTCAGTTATGTGACGTGCTAGATATTTCTATAAATTCTTGTTCGTTAACCAAAAATACATCACTCCCATTATCCAACGTTTTTTGCACAAAATCTTATAAACTAGTGCAATTTTTCTATCAAAAATTCTAATATTAAATTCACTTTTTATGCACAAAATTTAACAAGTTTAGTATTATTTTTATTGACCGAACTCAAGCCCATAAAGCATGAGTTTCCGCATTGAATCCAACCAAACCAAACAATTTAACTAAAAAAACAAAAATCGCGAAAAATAGGTATTTTTTTCATGCGGTTTATTCGGCCCTCCTACGGAGAAGACCTTTCCAACCTATCATGCGAAACGTTGTTTAATTGCTCTCCTGACAGCCTAAATACCACCTCCGACATGAAGACTTGTGAACTATGGGTCACTCGGAATACCCAATATACCTACCATAAATACTCACTTCGTGAGTTACCCACCTAGAGAATCGCAAAAAAAAATTCAGTCAATCATTGATTCGATAAATTTACTGTTAAAACGAAAGATTTTACCAAATTATAGCGATTACATTGAATGTAGGGAGAATAATAAGTAAATATTTTTAAGTACCTTGTTTAAAAAAGTGTCTACGTCTTCGATTTCGTAACCAAATTGAGGTATATCTGAGTACCAGTCGCTATCGAGTTTTCGAATTTTAGCCCGATATTTTTTCTTTTCCCTCTCCAGCAGCAAATTGGGGGCTGATTTCGGCCTTGCGGGTGGGCGAATCCCCGAGTGCGCCTTTTCTTCATTAATCCGGTTCAATTTAAGCACGTTATTTATCTAAAAAACCGCACGTTTTTACCAATTCATCGTTCGAATACAAACCCACCTTACCTGCGAATTGCTCTCCGGCTCGACGATGTTCCCGCTGCTCCTTTTAGTTTTGAATTGGAACTTTATCGGCTGCTGAGGGTACAAGTTGCGAGTTTTGCTTTTCCAGGCGAAATACGAAAACAGTTTTCCTTTCAAGTGCCGATCTCGTTGCCGGGACGGGCTCTGCCCCATATCACATCCAATCGCCAATTGTCATGGGGAAATCCGCCGATCTACTTACATAAAAAACCCGGAAAAACTGGATGTTTTGTGAGCGCCAGTCGCGCTTTTCTGCATAATTTTAACACTTAACATCTTAATCACTACACTAACAAGACTACTATTAATTTCTCAATAATAGAATACTAATAGCAGCTAATCCCACCGCCCGGAAGGTCGCGGATATTTCACAAAAAATCCAAATCCGGGTAAAATTATTCGAACGTGCAGTAACAATCGTGCTCTCTCGTGGAAAGCGTCACGATATCTTGCCCACGACGTTCCTGGTGCTCGACTGAAATCTGAAATGTACCAAACTAATAAATTCTCCTATGTGGCGAGAATCCAAAATGCCTGGTTCATCTGTAAGGTGCCTGCATGCAAAGAAAAAGGGTAGGGAATCGGTTTCGGCGATTCAATGGATTCGCTTCGTTGCGGAATCGAGAAGAAATTGCGAAAATTCTGACGGAGAAAGTAGAAGTGATGGTTAATATTAATATGGGATAGTTGAAAAAAATGCTAAAGAATATTATTTGGGCACGGTGTTTTTGCCTCTAGATAAAATCTGTTACAATAGGATGTGTGGATTCGTTAGTATAATAAATAAGTAATATTTAAATGCTATACCGAGTGTTCCAAAATGGCATGCTAATATTTAAAGGGGCGATTCTTGGGCCCATTTTAAGAAAAAACTTCACATGAACCTATGTCCTAAACGTCTTAACTTTTGAGATATAGGCTGTTAAAGTTTTAAGAAAAAAATCAATTTTTTTTGTAATAACTGTTGCTAATAACTTATCAAGTTGCATTTTCTGATCTATAAATTATTTTATTATTTTCATCAGTGGCGTCCGTACGGGTTTTGCATTGAATATTTTTGAAGAAAAAAATGGTACGACACTGCGTGTCGTACATTAGTCGCTGTGCTAAAATTAAAAAATAATAAATTTTAGGTTTAGGGCATGTTCATGTAATGTTTTTTTCTTAAAATGGGTCCAAGAAAGGATCCCTTAAATATTAGCATATCAATATGGAACACCCTGTATACAGGGTGTTTTTTAATGATTTGTATAACAATATGCTCTAAAAATACGTCCCTAAAAACCAACAATTTTATAATTTTTATAAGGGAACATTATAGGGGTGCAAAATTGGTACGTTGTTTATAAGAAAAAGTAGGTCTAATTTTCGCCAATAAAACACCACCTTCATTTTGAAACGCCCTATACTAAATTTTTTCACTATCAGTATTATTCAGGGTTGATAAAAACTATCCTTTATGCTTATATGTATCAGATAAAAAAATTGAGTAAATTAATGTGAAGTGAGCGACACATTTGAGTGAAAGTACTGGATAAATAGTATCGAAACCTATCGATAAAAATAGTAATAGACATTTTTCGATTATTAATATTGTTTGTTCGGTACTTGAAAAAAAATAGTGCCTCTTTACATGTTTTCATCTATTATTCCAAACTACTATCATTGCATTAAAAATTTCTTTCACAATATCCATTTTAACTCACGTATTACTTCTCTCTTGGTAATTTGTGCTCGATCTGAATTTTTCACGACTAAATATGACCATTCGTAACAATTTTCCCGCAAAGTGTAGCTTATCCCACCACCCCCGCTCATCGCCGTGATTGTGCAGATAGTAGACAACATGGAAGAGTAACTGCTCAAAAAGATGCACAATCGGCGTATATAATAATTGAGGAGGCACAAAAGGGCATCGGTTTTGTTTTAAATGTAAAACTAAAAAGGCAATAAATTAGAAAGACGTCGAAAAGGAGGGTTCGGTATGCGGCGTTGGGTCGGGAGTCGAGACCTCCACGGATCGGTATGAAGAAGATAAGGCGGTTAATATGTTGGTTTCTCACCGGCCCGGGTCGAGGGTCAGTTCGGTATTGCGGAGTGCCCGCCCATATACCGCGTGCATATTTTTTACCAGCGGTTTTATTTTCGTTGAAATTATAGGCCCTCCTTTCCTCGACGACGAAATGAATGAAAACAACGTCCATTATAAATGTAATTATGTAATTGAAGACCGGTTTCTCGGCTTTCAGATAAAATCGTCGATTTTTCTTAAAAGGCAGATAAGGATTTTAAATCTCGAAATTACTTCAATTCGCTCGGCGTAATTATCGGACAGTTTGTTCGCGAACTCCACAAAAATGCGGGTCAATTAATTAAGACCACAGAAATGTTTATAAAATTACGTTTTATTTTTATTTCTAACGATTTTGATTAAACAAAAAACACGTTTTAAATCCCCTATTTTCGTAACTTGAAGTTTGTACATGGCCTTTCTTGGCTAGTTCTGAATCCACTATCTTCAACAGCGATTCCACGTCCAAGTTTCTAGAATGCTGCTGGAAAACATGGCATATAGTTTGGATGTAAATGCTTCCCTTCTTTATGTCCCTCAAAGAATAGAGACCTGAAAAACCCGCAGTTAGAGTGTGTAGAACGAGCTTTCTCAAAAAGGAAAATTTACCTGGCAGTGTGGAATACGCTACGAGCATATCAGCGTGATTTTTAGCTATTCCAAAAGGCATAGCATCCACTTGATACTCGCTTCTCGCGCCCCTGTAAAAATACATGTACAATAAGTCTATTAGCAATCGAATTTAGATAATGAATCACCTGCAACACTGGAATATGAAAATTTTGGGCTTTCCTTTCATTCCTTTACAATTTTCACCAGTAAATTCCGCTAGCACTTCGTCAACAGCCAAGCCTTTGCCGTCAGTTCCGATAACTTCTGTGTAATTTCCAGGCATAGGTAGACCGTTCTTTTTGTTAGTTCCGTGGCTCATCATAACTACTAATGAAACATTAACGTTTTGTAGGGATTTGTCTTTGCTAAAGTTTTTTATCTTCTCTTTCATTTTCTACAAGAAAAATAAAACTTAACAATGCTGGAATTGTGTGAGATAGCTTTATGTACAGATACTGTCTGATTACTGTGTGATTTAACTTCAAATCCCATCTCTTTAAGTAGATTTTTTAAGTTAATTTCGTCGAATTCGGCACCTTTACGCTCGTCTGTTTTCTTATCGAAATGAACATTGTTTATAATCAAAGCCATTCCTTTCCTTCTAGCTTTCATTTCATAAGTAGGTACAATAGTATTAATTGTGTTATTGGGTGGGGTGCTATTACGCCGTGATAAAGCAGGCACAATGGGATTATTGGATGTTCCTGTGTATCTTAAATTAGGCGTAGATTGAGCAGGTAATGCAGGTGTACTGATTGTACCTAAAAATTGAGAGTGGAATAATGTGCGTGATTAGTATTAAAAAGGTGTAATTACTTTGTATACTTCTATATGGCACGGCGTTTCTTTGGAATGCACTCTGATAATTGGGTTGAAATGGTGCAGGTGAACGCAGAGTTCCATCGATTTCGAATATTGTACGTGGTGATGAATTGGTAATTGACAGCGGACTCTTCGAAGTTGATGATTGTTTCAAAAAGCCTACAATTGAATTATAGAGGGTGTCTCACATATAAAGCGACAAAGGGCAGGGGCGTGCAGGGGAACCTAAAATATGTTGTTTATCCCCAACTTAAAACAGTCAAGTAGATAACATTGATTGTGTACATTACTTTATTTTTAGCGGTTTTCATCAAAACGACAAAGAATTTTAAAAAACAAAAATAATTAAAAAAATTAAATGAAATTGCCTATGAAATGAAGTAATAAATTTTTGAATCATCCATCATGTAAAAAAATTCTGTAACATTTTAAGAAAGCATTATCCCTAAAGAACCCTTTAAAATACATTAATCGACCTCTCCTTACTATCGCTTTAAATTTGAGTATTACTGATTGTGAGATATTATTTTTTTTTAATTTGTAACTCCTCTTAACTTCTCAGGAATATAACTTATTTGTATTAAGTTGAGTTGGATTAAACAATTAACATATTTTGAGCTCCCCTACACGCCCCTGAACTATGTCGGTTTTTATGCAGGACACCCTGTATATTGCAATATACCATCATTCGAATCTTTTATTATCAATGTATAACTTTTAAAAATTATTTGAAATTAATCAATAAAAAAAATCGTTTGTATCGTATAATCCCTACAAAAGGCTAAAAATAAATCAAATTTATCTCTTTGAATTAGTAACATATAGATAAATGCAAATGTCCTGCAATATTATACCTAGTCAATTCTAAGAGTTGAATAAAGAAATATTATTAAAATAACAGTTGTTAGAATGAGAAACTTGCAATCACACAATATCACCCTTTCTTTTTCCTTCATATGAGAATATAATGAAAGTTGTATTTGTTGCATCTAATAGATAATAGCCTATATTGCAAACAATTCTGCATCTACCTGCATATTGAAAAAGCACTGTATATTTATCAATAAGTATTAATAAGCCTTTAACTGAAGTCTTTTTTATATTATACACTAAAATCTAAAAATACTATTATACTATACATATTTTATAAATATTAAAAAAAAACTTACTTTGAGTACTTGTAGAGGTTGTGGTTGAGGATGTGTGGAAGTAGGCTGATGACTTCCTAGAACATTTATCACATTATATTAATCAAATAAAACACTAAATGTTTATTTTTTACCTTTCTTCAATTTTGTGTACAACTATGGTTTTTTGCAATGGTGTTTCATCACTGTAAAAATTTACCACATTATATTATTAACATATAAATACATTAATATTACATAAATACATGAGTATAATTATTAAATTGTTTTCTTTCTTATTACTTACCTCTTTATTTCGTCAGTTTTAGTTTTCTTTTTGAACATTTTTGATATGCACATTAATACTACATCAATTGACAAAGAAACTAGTTTATTGCAACAAAGCCAAATTTAACAATAAATATGTTATGACTAATCTATTTGTTATCTTGTGAAGATTAGATAATAGAATGGATATCCAATCCACACTTCATTTAGCACTGTAAATCACTCAAGTTTTTCTAATTGTTAAAACTTTGATAAATAAACGAAGTACTGTATTTTATTGTTTATATGAGATTAACAAAATTATAAAATATGAAAAATGAAAAGCCAAATTTGAAAACTGGAAAGAAAATTATTTTAGGTCCTAAACCTTTGTGTTATTCAGCCCCATTTATTTTATTTCCGAATAGATTTGTGGCAAGACAAATTCCCACAATGAGAAAAACACCATATATCTATAAAAATATCTATAAATATTATTATTTTTCCATTACTTCATTCAGTTACATAATTTATATTACATTATTCAAATTTCATTTCCTTGTCTCTACAAACCTCAGTTTAGTTCGTTCGCACAGCACTTTTCTTCTTATTTGTAGGTCATTCGTTTGACGTATGACGTTTGACGTTAAGAAGTTTGGTTTGGACGGTTTTTAAAGAGGGAAACGGGAAATAAAATTGTGTTTTATATTTGCTTTTTAATAGATTTTTAACCACTATATCTCATTAGAATCCCAATTTGCAAACTACGCCAATAGGCAATGGCTATGCGCTCATAAATCTATAAATTGTACAGAATGCTAAAATATAAGTAGTATATTTACAATTTACCAGGTAACCTCTCCTCATATTTTTTTTCATACTTTGTTGTATTTAATTATACCCTTATGAAACGATTGTAATGAAATACGTGTTCTAATCATTTCTGAACTATACGCGTATTCAAAACAGTTATAGAACTTAACCTAATATTGTTAAATTGTAGGTTGTAAAGAATCCTCTGTGAAAAAAGAAATGAAGCCATTCGAGAAGCGTAATACTAACAAACCCAAAAGCAAGAGAAGAAGTATTCGACTTCAGAATTTAGTTAGAGTAGAAGAATCTATTAATAAAGATAACCAACTGAATGGCGCCAATCCCACATATAACAAAAAAGTAAGTACAATTCCAGCAATAATTTTGTACTTGTAACTTAATTAATCGTTTTGAATACAGGAAGAGGAGTGTCATTTGAACAATTCCACACTAGAAAGCAGTGCTAAAATAGTTGAACCAAATGCAATCCCCAATGTTAAGCCAAAATCACCGATTAAAACCTACGTAAATCCACGTAAATATGTTGAGAAGCCAAAAACTGTGGAAAGTTTCGGTTTACCCGACAATCCGTTCATCACCGTACATCCTCTTAGCTTATCGAAACTAGATAATATTTTAGATACTAAAGTGCTGGATGCCAAAGAAATAACCCTGCAAGATTTAGAATTCATCGAGAAACCATGGCACATCATCGATTTGAAAGATGAGTTATTCCAGCTAACCGAAGCCCAAACAAAATCTAATACGAACAGTTGTGCTGTTATTCATTGCCCGTTAGACACTAACAATTTAAATTCTTCGCTTGAATCGCATGAAATTGAAATATGTAAAACCAATTCTCACAATAAGCAGTCCGTAAATATTGAAACCTACCAGTCGACTAAAACGCTCAAAAAGTCGAATTCTTTTGCGGACATGCTGGATCAGCGATCGTGTAAACCGATTTATAATTTGAGAAGATCGTCAAGCCAAACAGAAGTTCGTGGTAATCGCTCTAAGAAGCGGCTCGAGGTCAAATTGTTTCCACTTTTGATGAAGTCTAAACGTAAACAGATAGTGCAAAACGAGAATGATTCAATTCATTTACCAAGCGAAATGTTTCCGGACCATATTTCATCACCAGCTTACGCAAGCACCCCGAATAAATCGAAACGAAAAAGAAGCAATAAAAATAGGACTAATGGTGAAGATAAAAGCCCGGTGGTTAAAGAAGATTTAAACCGTTCAAGTGTTACAAGTATATCTGATCAAGATGATAATTCTCTGCTAAGCGAGGAGAGCAAAAGTTTTAAAATATTAAGAAATCGGACTGTACCCAGTAGCAGTGAACGTCGAAAACGCAGGAGAATCAATTCTAATTCGACCCAAGAAACGGATAGTTTGTTAACAGACGAAGAGAATTTCGAAAAATCTGGATCTTGTTTAAATATTCGAAAATTAAGAAGCCACTCTAAACGTCTACCAGTGAAAAATGATATTGATCAATCCTTTATAATCCAGTCAAAATCCGAAGAATCTAACCAATTACCCAGTAATTCAGAGAACCAATTAAAAGAGCTTAACCAAATGGTCACTGAAGCTTCGCCAACTGTTAATGAAAACCATATCAACATACCAGTAATTTCTGAAGACTCTTCTTTAAACAGCACATTAGATAAAACGTTAAACCATAGTACATCACAAATTATTAGTGGTTCTAAATTAAAAGAAAAACGTAAGAGAGGCAGACCAAGAAAAAATCGCCAAAAAAGATATTTTACTGATAATAATCCAACTAACAAAATTAAAGAACTTTGTCAAACCGACACAGAAACTTCATTGACTGATTATGAAGACCACACAAACGTTTCAGTTAATTACCAAAATGCATCATCTGGTAACACTCTAAATAAAAAGTTGTTAACAGAAAGTTTGAATCCAATTACTGGCGATCCTGTATTAAGAGTTCAAACCAGAAAACTCAGAGGTAGGCCAAGAAAAATCGAAAATAAAGTACATCAGATTGATACAGATGATTCAACGGTGGAAAGTGAATCTCAGAGTGATATTAAATTTGATACGTGTTTGAATAAAAACGCAAGTGAAGTTTCTAAAAAGAAAAAAAGGAGGAAAGTTATTGATAGGACACCAACAGAAGGTTCGTTAAGTACTAAAGAATCAACCAGCACAGTACTGTTAACGTCTGAAAACAAATTTTCAACAAATAACTTGGAACTGTCGCCTTCTATCGAACAACAGAGAGAATCCAGAAGCAAAATTGAAAACCTTAATGAAACTATCAGCAGAAGAAAATTGAGAAGCTCGATAACAAATAACGAAGAGACACAGTCATTGGTAACCAATTTTAGAAACAATATACAATCTAGGAAACTAAAAAAAGTGACTAACAATGTATCGAAAGGCAATTCCAACAAAACATCACCTAAACTCATTGAGAATACACCAGAAGATGTCGAAGGAATTGATGAAAATCAATTGAAAGTTTCTTTAATCAAAGAAAAAGCAATTGAAGTATCAAAACTAGGTAGTAATGCAAAAATATTAAACGAAGATCTGCTAATTAACAACAATATTTCATCAAGTGAAGTTGAAGCCAGTGAAGATGTGATGCAAATTAATAATCAACCAATAAGTCAAGGTAAAAGATTAATTGTTAAATGCACAAAAATAAATTTACAATTACTTCTTTTTTAGCTCAAAAGAATGATAAAACAGTAAACAAAGCGAATGGAATTTTGAGTTTTAAAATAAATAAGAAAAGCAATCATCAAGTCAAAAAACGAAATGCTGCAGGTACATTATTTATGATTTTAAACTCTTACAATTATTTAATGCCTTTAATTTTTTTAGCAAGCACGGCAACAAACAGTGTCGATAATTTACAAACTGATAAGGAAGTTAGAGATAAAAGTGAAGATCTTAGGAGGATTGAATCTGAACAAGATGAAGTGTTAAATAGTAGTGGAAAGTCAATAAAAGGTAATAGTAATTAAAAAATATTGAAGAAAGAAAACTCAAATAATTAATTTTTAGGAGAGGAAGGAAGCGATAATCAGAAAGTAGCAAACGCTAATCAAAACAAAACAGATAACAGTGAACACGATACTGAAATAGCAAAATTTGATAACCGCAACATAATTGAAAATACATCACAATTAACTAATGATAAAATGGAAGAACAAATATTAAAGAAGTCAAATGGAGACCTGGCTGATGCAAATCACATAAATATTGATTTAGAACTCAATGAATTGACTAAAAAAGATCAAGAATTGCAAAAAGATGTTATTAAACACAATAAAGTAGTAGATTGTCGAGGGAACAGTGCTAAAGAAGTTCAGCAAGAAAATCACCATCACAATGAAGACTTTTCTAAACTTGAAATAAATAAACAAGATAAATTCGTTGATTCGAAACCAACTATTAAAAATGGAACATTAACCAGTGTTAATCTAACGGAAACAGTCAGACAAAAATCCAAAGTTTTATTAAATAGAACACTATATACTTCACCAATCAGCAAACATATCTTTGAAAATAAACAAAAATGCAAATCATTATCTAACTTAAAGACTACTATGGTTAATGGAAATTTCAATGTAAAAGAAGATAAATGTAAATACACTAAGCAGACGCCAGTGATAAAAAATAGACAATTTCAACAAAATGGCATTAGAATTGTTAGCAAGAATCAATCGGAGGAATTAGAAAAAGATATTTCTATCAATTCATTACCTAATAAAGAAACATGTGAGAATAGTAGGGAATTAGAAAAACCTGTCATTAATGACATCAATTCATCTCACGATAAAAAATATGGAAACAATGGCAAAGAAGAGATTCATATGAAAAATCATTACCCAAAAGAAAATGGATTACTTGAAGAATGTAAACAGAATGGATATGATGATATTAATAAGAAGCGTTCTAAGCAACCTGAACTACAAACTTTAAGTTCACAAGAACCACTCCAAATCACACATAATTCGATCTTAAACAAGAGCTCTGAGAAGGAAAACGATCCTGAGTGCTCCGAACGACATTCAAATGGCGCAATAAATGGAGAAATCGGGGCTGGTGGGCCATTGCAATTACAATTCCAGTGCAATTTAAACCAAAAATTAACCAAGTCTGAATCAAAAACGACGTACAACAAGGACTCGTCATCAAAGGAAATCAGAAACACACTCAGAGAGAATGAAGAAGACGAGAGTAGTTACCTTTTAGAGTGCATCGATCAATTTCTAAACGAGAAACCAATAGCGGCAGATTTAGACGAAAAGCTTGACAAACTTAAATCTCGAGATAAGAGGCAGGATCCACCTCGCTCTCCGATTCCCACCAGAAGCAAAACAAGTAGTTCAATTGACGAAAGCAGCAAAAAACCCAACAAAACCACTGCATATAATGAATCAGTCGACAACAAAACCATCAATTCTTCAATTGCAATCAATAATGAGGCAGTTGTTGATTCACCTGCTTTAGCTTCTTCGATAACCACCAAGGAATATCAAATTAAAGCAACAGTTCCGAATGTAATCCACGAAGATGGTGTTAATGGAGAGTGTGACTCAACTTTGGTCGATAATTCACATAAAACCGACTCTCCTATTGAATCTTCATCAAATGTGGCCAATAATGCTTGCCTTACACAAGAACTAACTTCAGAGCCGGGTTCATTAGATATTACATTAACTACCGGCAACAAAGAGCTTGTTACTGACGAAGAAAACGTTGTGGATTTACTACCAATTGAGTTAAAAGAGAACAAAACGCCTCATACCGAGGAAAACCTCATTGAGACTACTTCAACATCATCTATTGAAACCAATCTTAACTCGACTATCAGCGAAAATTTATTAACATCTTCCGGCATCTCTGATAAAGTTTATCTCATAGAAGCAGAAACAGGTGATCATAGAGGTGTTGAAGATGGTGATTCGTTTATAATCAGCGATGATCCCTCTTTGATTGCTACTGGTAATGAATGCCTCGCTGAGAAAGTACCTACAAAAGTCATTGAATCTTCGAATGTTGCTATAGTTAAACAGGAAATCGAAAATATAGAGGAAAATAATGGCTTGGTAGATCAAATTGATTGTATTACCAGTCAGTATACTGATTTTTATGAACCTCTCGCTGAAGAAGTACCTTCAAACGTGATCGAATCACCGAGCGTTAAAGAAGTAAAACAAGAAATGGACGTTCAAGAGGAAAATGAAGGATTTGATTGCAACAGTCAATGCAGTGATGTGCATGAACAAGAGAAACGTTTGGACTTTTACGAAGATAGCTATCGGGATACTAGTACTGTTGGTGTAAAAGAAGAAGGTGATGATTCCTCTTGGGCAGATTTGTCGAAATTCAGTAACGGCGATGAGTTTGAAGGTAATTCTTTAAGTTTTTTTGTAGCTTAAAGTTCATGCGTTTGAAGTTGCATTGATTTTAATAGTATATCCTATTTCTATTTCATTAGATTCCAAGTATTCGTTGACACCTAGAAGAAGGAGAGCCGGTGGAAAGAAAAGACGGAAGCACAATGCACAGAATAAAAAAATAATATTAGATTATTATCAAAATTGCATAATTCGTAAGTGATTTTAGTTTAATTACATTTGCTTATTTTTGAAATATTTCCATTTTTAGCTGATCAGTATCATTTGAAAGAAGGCGATATCATTTGGGGACAACTCGCAAGATATCCGTACTGGCCTTGCATCATTACGAACGATCCAAATACGAACAGTTTCACCAAAACAGGTAATTAGATTGAAAAGACTGTCCTAATTCTAACACATTACTCAGTTTAAATTAAATTCACTAAAGTGCCTTGATAATTTAGCACTTTAATATTTTTGCTTCTTCCTTACTTATTTGATAATTTACAGTGGGATATAGATTTGGTATTAAAAGATTTTTGTTGTTCAACAGAGATTAAAGGCTTCAAAGAATATAACTCTATTCACGTGTGCTTCTTTGGCGACAGAGGAAGAAGAGCATGGATAGCTCGCGGTAAAATTATAAAATTCACCGATAAAAACGACCTGCGAAGGATTTACAACGATTTAAAAGGGGTATAAACACATACATATAATCCATTATAAATCTTTTTCTACAAGTGTAGAAAAGTATACTCTTGGTCGAGAAGATTTTGTATGGTTCTTATACGTTTTATGCTTAATATATTAAGCTAAAATGATTGATTTTTGCAGTTTCAAAGTAGTTCCGAATTGAAAGTATTCTGCATCAGCGGCGGAAGTATGTGCAAGAAGTTCACCAAAGCTATAGAGGAAGTGGAGTACGTCAAAACTCACAATTTAAATGTAGAGGAGATAATCGAATATATGGCCAATGCGAAAACGGAAGCCAATCAAGTGGAAGATGACAACAGTAGAGGAAGAAAACGAAAGTTGGACAACGCCATTGAAATTAAAATGGAATTCTCGCCGAAATTGGAACCTAACGCGGAGCCTAACGATGGAAACAACGCCAAAAAAATCAAACTGGGCAACAAAACGTCACCGCAACCAACGAGCAAGGAAAAACCGCGTAAAAAATCCACCGAAGAACCGCTTTCGATTCCGAAAGAAGAGCCGGTCGAAGAAGAAGAGGAGCCCGAAGAGGTGATCGTCACTGACGAAATCTCCGGAGAAGAATACGTTACCACCGTCGATCACATCCAGAACTTCGGCTCGTACTCGTTGAGGGAGCAAAAATCGCTGTTCAAACGCAACAACCTCTTCAGGGGCTATCCAAAGGAGAAGGCGTGCCAGTTCTGCTTCGATTTCGGGGAGGTGTACAAGTGCAAAGGCGGATGCTACGGCGTTTATCACTTATCTTGCGCCGCCGACATCGTCGCCCATAAAACTCCTAAACGCACGAAAACGAGAATGTCAAAAATGGACAATGAGGATATCTACACGAAAGAAAAACGCGAACAAGCAGGTGGGGTTTTTTCCTACTCCTGGTTTTTGCATGTTGCAATATATTGCAACTATTTATTGTTGCATTTCAGTTAAAACACAAGCGGTCAATACTGCAATGTTGTGCAATAATTATGTTCTACTGATATCACACGATAAAATATTATAACCAGCAGAAACCTTTGTAAATTGATGAAGGTTTTTACTTGAATGGGCGCCCATTGCTCTAACTTTTACAATATATTGCAGTAATGTGTATTGCAACTATTTATGGTTGCAATATTATTGCTTTGCAGTTTAAATGAGCGTAACTTTTACTTGTTTGTGATGCAATAATTCTTATTGCAGCAATAGTTCAATATTCAAAAGTCATACAATATGTTCTAAAGATTTTGTATGATAAAATATTGTGACTAGTAGAAACCCATCCCATGTAAATTGATGCAGGTTTTTACTTGATTGGGTGCTTTATTGTTCTAACTTGTCCAGTATATTGTACTTGTGTGAAAATTGTTATATATTACTTATAGTGAATCTTTTACTTCTTGCAATATATTGCACGGTGCAATAATCCTCTAATACTCGTAGGTTTTATGCTGAAATGCAACTAATTATACTCTTAAACAAAGTTCCCAATTTTTTAAATTCGTTTGCTCTGCAGGTCGATCGGAAATGGATACTCAAGTTGAGATCATCACCATACCATCGAACGTGTGCGCTACACCCCCTCGGAAAACTTTTCCTCCCGATTGCGAAAACATGGATTTGGCCCAAAGGATTGATTTTAAAATGAAAGAAATCATGAAAAAATTCGAATCTACGGCTTACATGAAAATGTGCAACGAATTGTCGCCTGTCGCCAACGGTTCTATTAGAAGGTACCAACATTGGCGAGATAATAATGTCGTCGAACAGGAATCCGGGTTAATTTCCCAATCACCGAACAATTTGAGCGAAGGCGACAAAAATATACCAACCACATCGAAACAAACTGTTTTAAATGAAGAAGGATTGTTAGGTAAGTAGGATGATGTTTCCAAAGTTTTGGAAATTGTACTCTAATTAAATTACACAGATTCAGGTATTCGACTGTCTTTTTATATATAGACAAGTTTTCATAGCATTGTTTTTGTAACCATGGAAGACGCAACAAAATCTCAAAGTGCAATAATTTTCTTTTTATGGAAAAAATGTGTGAAAACATCAGAAATTATTCAGCGTCTGCAAGGAGTATTTGGTGAATCTACAGAATCCAAAAGTACTATTTATTTATTGATGGATCGATTATTGTTTGAGATTTTGCTGGGTCTTCCATGGTTTAAAATATGTCCATGTACTACTCCTCAAGTTTCTTTAATTTATTCTGAACCATCCCTCTTTCAATAAACTCGTGATTTATCTAACAGGTGAATCGCCATATAGTCAACTACAAGAAACTGAAACCGACAAATCATCCAGCAAGAAAAAACCGTCGAACAAAATTAAAAGAACTACCGCGATTAAACACGTGACGGCCGACAGCGAACCCATCGAAGGCCCCGATTCCAACAGCAGTAAGCGAGACGTTGACGTCTTCATATGCGGTTTCTGCGCGGACGACGTCGATCCTTATTGCTTCATTTGCTGCGATAGCGTATCGAAGACGGGCTTCAAAATACGCCACAAGTGTTCGTTGCCCCACTGCTCGCGATTTTACCACCCGGAGTGTTTGAAATTGTGGCCGCAAACGCAGTGGTCGTTGATTCAAACCACCAAAAACAGGTACGATTTACTGGCTTGTATTCAACGCCCCATTTTAACCTTAAACACGACTGTAAAGTCGTGTCTCTTACTTGACAGTTGTAAATTTTTTTATGGAGTAACTAGGGACTTTGTTTACGTTAAAGTGATCCTTTAACTGTGAACTTTTTTATTTGTAATGTTACGAAAAAAGTTATTCTTTATAAAAAGTTCTGCATGGCCAATAAAGTAAAACGCAAATGTCAGATGTCAATTTTTTAAATCATATAAGACGTTTGTCAAAAAATATGAATTTGATACAAGAGTAAAGGACCTTTATTTTTTATAATATCGAAAACTTTAATTATGAAATTATGTTTTAATATGCATATTTGCTACTTCTTAAAGTACAATTACTGACGTTTTAAATTTTGGTTACATTAGTTACAATTGCATTTCAATTTCAATGCACACTAACTAGATGGAATGAATTATTTATTTTTCGAAAGCGTTTACTCACGTTCCTATATTTCTAAGGTCTGGAAACATGGGTCGAAAAAATGTCCCGGAATTATGTGGAATTAGTATTAAATTAGGTTCTATTCAAACTAAAAATAGATACAAAATATAAAAATATACTTAAATCAGCGGTGATTTTGTTGTTACCATCATGCCTCACGTATCTTCGGTTAATGTATTTCTCCATTTTCTCCTCGAAATGTCAAATAATAATTTTTGAAGTTTTGACAGGTTGAACTGTCGTTTCACACAACCGCGATTTTTATGTAGCGCGACGCTGATTGGCTGAGATAAATTGGTCCTCCGATCGTTCGCCACGGTGCGGCACAAAAGTGAAGCTCAAAAAGTTTTCAAATAACGGGACACATTCTCTAATGCATAAGCATAGAGAGTTTCCAGACTTTAGAAATATAGGGCCGTGCTTTTACTAGACTGACTTTCGGTGAGAGAAATGTCATTGTCAGAGCCACCTAGATTTTAAATTATTTCATATATTTTTGTGCTTTACCGTAGAAAATACATTATTCTGTTGGGTATTACTTATTTATTACTGATTTAAGTCCATTGCTAAAATATTTCAAAACAACTAATGAACATTTGAGGTATGTTGACTTGTTAAATAAGATAAAAGTTGACGTGTTTCACAACTAAAATTTGCAAAATTGAAGTTGAAATTAAAGTGGTCAAAATATTCCTATCAATCTTTTGCAATTTGTTGACACCCTGTACATCTAATATCAAATGGAAACACCCAAATATTATTATTTTTGAAAGCGGAGATTTTCATAAAGAATAACTTTTTTTCGTAAAACTTACAATTAAAAAGTTTCCCAAATGTTGCCAACTTTTTCAGACATACTTGTATAATTCAACAGCCTCACGGGGTTTATCGTTTGTAGGTTTTCTCAAGAGGAAGTCGACAGCTTCGTCTGCCCGCAACACGTGTGTCACACGTGCGCTTCGGACAATCCTCGCGCCTCGATGCCCCGATGTTCCGGAGATAAGATCGCCAAATGTCTGTTGTGTCCGGCCAGTTACCATTCGACGAATATGTGCGTTCCCGCCGGCACGGAAATCATCAGTTCGACGCAAATTGTTTGCCCTAGACACATTAACAAGAGTAAATAATCTAACCACTTCGCTTTAAATCATCCTATTGATTGAACTATTGGCGTTGTAGGCAACACAATCAACACTACGTGGTGTTTGATATGCAGCGAAGGCGGGAATTTGATCTGTTGCGAAAACTGCCCGACCAGCGTCCATCCGGAGTGCCTCATGGTCAATCTGGCCGACGACGAGAAGTTCATTTGCGAGGATTGCGAATGCGGACGGCTGCCGCTCTACGATGAAATCGTCTGGGTGAAGATGGGACACTACAAATGGTGGCCCGGTTTGATATTGTATCCCAATGAGGTATAATAATCACGCGAATTCTATAAATGTAGTTTTCTTAACCAAATTTCGTTTGCAGATTCCGCATAATGTGATGAACATTAAACACTCGGCCGGCGCATTCGTGGTGAAATTTTTCGGCACCTACGATTACTTTTGGGTAAACAGAGGTAGATCCTTCTTATTTCAAGATGGTGATACTATAGACATGCGTATGACTACGAAGAGTAAAAAGGTGAAGACTATGTATATTAGAGCCGTCGAGGAGGCGGTCATTGCTCACAAATTGAAAAAACGTAAGTACATCTGCAGTGTATTTGAAATGTAGGAAGGTCTACAAGCGATAAAGTGATTGGTTATATTGCTTAAGAATAAATTTGTAGCCAATGATGCAGCGTTCTATGAAAGGTATATAAGATTGTTTTCCTTACGAATACAACTATTAATATACCTTCTGACAAAAAAATACCCGGAAATTCTGATTTAATTTACCTGCACTTAATATTTTAAACTATTTCAAGTTTCTATGTGTAGGTAACACTGTTCTTAATTAGCATGCAAAAAATTGAAGAGATTTATTAATCAGTTTAGTTGTAGCAGCTGATTAAAACATTTCATCTGAGTAGTGCTTTGCAAATTTTGCAATGGGCAAAAATAATGAACAGAGTTTGTTTCATATTTTGGTTTTTGAACGGAATTTCGTGGGCAGAATGCTTTAGATGACTCTGTTTTATCGAAAACCCATATTTACGAATGGTACAAAACTTTTAAAGACAGTCGGGAGATCGCTAAAGACTTGCCTTGTTCCGGACGGTCTCCGACCTTTTCAACCAATGATAACAGCGAGAAAATGAGTAGGAAATTAAGTTCGAAAATCATCATGCTTGTATTAGAGAAGTAGTACTTGACTTCAACATCTCTCGTGAAACCGCTCGTCTGAAACCACTCGTTTTATTCCAATTTTCCAGTTACTTTTTGGTCAATGTGTATGCAGAAAAAATCATGTAATTCGTATGATAGCAAAATGTTAGGAAGTTACGATTAATTACATATCTAATACATCTACTTTTGTTGGAACAGAATTCAAATCTATCCTCACCACAGCGACCCAAAGCTGCCAAAAACCACCGCCTTACATCAAAATAAAAGTGAGCAAACCCGTTGGAAACGTAAAACTATCCGACATGGATTTAAGTAACATCACTGCCTGCGAATGCGATCCCACTCTACCGAATCCCTGTGGACCGGACAGTAATTGCCTCAACAGGTAAACAACCACGGCTTGTTCGGTGCGAAAATTTTATTTTACTCCACGATTTTGTAGATTATTGTGGACCGAGTGCAACCCGGAGGTATGTTCGGCCGGCGAATCGTGCAAAAACCAATTGTTCGAGAAACGCGAGTACCCGCCGTTGGTACCGTGCAAAACCGAGGCGAGAGGATGGGGCCTCAAGACGTTGGCACCGATTAGCAAGGGCCAATTCATCATTGAATACGTAGGCGAGCTCATCGACGCCGAGGAGTACCAAAGGAGGATACAAAAGATGCACGAACAGAAAGATGAAAACTACTATTTTCTTATCATCACTCCCAATAGGTTGGTAATTTTGTAATGATATTACGGTGTATAGTCTTTGGATGTAAATGGTATTGTGCAATATTCTGTAGTTGTAATTATGTACAGTGCTTCTCACGGTAGCCGTTCTTGAAAACTTTTAGGAGTTTCTGAAGAGTTACGAATCTAAAAATTTAGGAGTAAGGTTTAGTCAATGTCGTGAGTTTAACTAAACTTTTATAACGGCACCATCATAGACCAAACAATATAGATGCTTAACTCATTGGCATAATTTTAAAGCTATAAAGCGACATCTACAAATTCGAAGGAACTAAACACAACGTTGCCACATTCCCAATGATTACTTTTTTATTTGTCTTGTTTGTTTAAGTGCAGGGAGTAATCAAATGGTTGAGAAATAATTTAATGGGTTAGTCACATAAATCCAGTCGTTCTTGAAATAATCGAACTTTCCTTAATTACCACTTCACAAGATTCTCTTCTCGATGGCTATTGGACGCCTATTATCCACTGTACAACTGTCCTCATTCTTTCTCAATTAAATTAAAATTGATTTTGCAGGATAATAGATGCCGGTCCGAAAGGGAACGTTGCCAGATTTATGAACCACTGTTGCCAACCGAATTGCGAAACGCAAAAATGGACGGTAAACGGCGAGACTAGAGTGGGTTTGTTCGCTAACCAGGACATACTGCCGCACACCGAACTGACGTTTAATTATAATTTGGAATGTACGGGTACCGAAAGGAAGGAGTGCAAATGCGGAGCGCCGAATTGCAGCGGTTTCATCGGGCTCAAAGCCAAGCAGGTGAGGATGTCGAGCGATGAGTTTGCTTTCGAATTGGGATTTTATAATGTTTAACGATGTAGTTTCAGGAGGTGAACGAGACGAAGAAGGTGAAAGCGAAGAAAACGAAGCGGAAAAGAAGAAAGGCCGTTAAACAGTTGAATTCTAGCAATTCGAACGTTTGAAATTTGACAAAATGACCGGAAGGAAATGTAAATATCGTGTACAAATAGCTTAAATTAGTTTAGATCTTAACGTTTATTCGTCGATTCAATTTTTGTAGCTATATTGAGTAAATGGAATTAATGATGTGAACTTAGTTTTAGACACGTCGTGCGGTTTTTAATGTAAAAATTATTATTTACGAAATGTTTTTATTTACTTTTTTGAAATAATAATCATTCCGTTGTTTACTTTTATAGAAATAATGTTGTTTATTTAACTGTGTATTCTTTATTTCTAATTCATTCCCTAGCAGCTGTTTATTGTATACCTCCATACACAGATAACCTACACTATAGATGGGAAACTCAATTTTTTTTACTAACGACACCTGTGACGCGCGTCTATACATTAAATACAGAATACTAATCATACTTACAGTGTTCTGCAATTGGCGCCAAAATTTAAAAATCTTGTGTACACAATTATTACTTTTTAAATAAGAATTTCATAATAAATTTAGAGGGAAACCCTTTTAACTGAAATAAACATTTTACTTTATAAATGTAGTTAGTGTAAAATGAGTAGGTCAGTTAAAAAGAATTCCTCTAAATTTATTATGAAATTGTAGATTTGAAGTAGAAAAAATTAAAGAAACAACAACCTTCTATAGCTAAATAGGTATATTCTACAATGGTCTAATTCACAAGATATATTTTTTTAATTTAGGTATTCTTCTTTGATACTCGTCATGGGCCCTTTTAAATAATTCATTACTACCTATTAGAACGGTACCTATTAATAAACAATAATAAGGATAACTAACTGTAACGAATTTCGATAGCATTATTCAACTCACAACACGCACGTAAAAATACAATAAAGACACAAATGTCCGAAGTTAAACCATAAATGGCATAAAATAACCAAAAACTCAAAAACGACAGAAAATAAGAAGGAAGTCGTTAAGTCTGTTTCATACGGGTGTTTTATACAGATAAAAACGCGAATCCGGCCTTAAAGGGCGGAATGGACCAATAGGACCTATGGACTTTACATAGATAACATATTAACTTGACGGGGACTTTACTAGGCCATTCACAGAACATACATAAACAAGAAGGGACATCGCCGTGAGAATTTCGTAGACGTTGTAGAGCGCATCCTGAGAGCACTGAGTGGTACTAAATGGTAACGGAAACTGTAATTTGTAATGGTTGTTGCATAGTAAAAAGGGGCTAGTATAAACGCAGTCGTGTAATACTGGTTTTCTATTCGACTTTTTTCTTTTTCTTGTTCGTATTATCCAATTTCTTGTAAAACTTGTACAATTTATTATACTATTATAATTTATAATAATAATTATATAAAATGTATAAGAATTTTATGTAATTATTAAATATAGAGACATAGTATAAAAAATTGTACAAGTTTTACAAGAAATTGGATAATATCGAAAATAATTACTTTCACAAATAAATTAACGACAAAAACGTTTCATTTTAAAAATATATATTTAAAAACATACAAATTTGCGGATTTAAAATTGGACATTAACTAATTCAATATAATTTAATACCTACATTTATAAACATAAATATAATACACTTAAATAGTACAATATTAAAATAGTTCAACATAATTTTAAATGTAAACCTACGTATTATGAATAATAATTTAGACTTTAAAGTACTTTGGCCTATTGTTGTTGTTGTTGTTTTTATGCGGGCGGTCTTCCCAGCCCCGTGACCACCTAGATCTAATGATCCTCTGTAGTTTCCCGCTGTTTCCCAAGGTCATTGATTCTGCCAGAGGTCGCAAGTATTTGCAAACCTCAGCAGTTCGGATGCCCTTGTGTTTTTGAGATCGCTAGGATCTAATGAGGTCCTTCCCCAGGTATTATACCTGCGCAAGGATAATGCTGGACAGTGACACAGTATGTGTATGCTGTCCTCATCAGCCTCCCCACATAGACGGCATGTTTTCTGCTCTACTATTTTGAGGCGGTATAGGTGCGCTCTGAGTGCTACGTGTCCTGTGAGTAGTCCAAGCGTTTTGCTCAGCCTGTCACGGTCCATAGCCCAGAGCTCGGTTGCCCTTTCTTTTGAGGGTGTTTCCATGAACTGTTTGGATACCCTACAGCCTGTCGAGTTCCTCCATCGAAGGAGATGTTCCCTTTCTAGGAGTTTGTTTAGGTATTGTTTACCTTCTGCAAAGGGCATTCCAACTATCTGCCTACCAGGTTGCTCCATGGCCCCCTCTCTGGCTAGATTATCGGCTACCTCATTGCCTTCTATTCCCTGATGTCCAGGGATCCAAATTAGAGTCACTACATTCTCAGCCCCTAACCTGGCGAGGTTCTGCATGCAGTCCCGTACCACGGCGGAGACCGTGGTGTTTTTCGCCAGTGCCTCTAGGGCAGCGCGGCTATCCGAATAAATATTTATTCGGGAATGTGTGGCTCCATTATTTATGAGATGCTCTGCACATCTCAGTATAGCAAATACTTCGGCTTGGAAGACCGAAGCATGTTCACCCAGGGATATGCTCTCCCTGTAGTTGGTATTTTGCCCGTAGATGCCCGATCCATGGCGGTCCCCACACCCCGAGCCATCGGAGTACCAGTTTTCGCCCTGATGTTCCATCAACGGTTTTTGTTCCTTCCAGTCTTCTCTGGTTGGTATTTTTACCCTATAGGTTTGTTCAATCATAACCTGTTTAGAGGTTCTGTCTTGTCTTAATGTAAAAGGTGTGTTTCGAAGGACATGAATCCTGGTATGTCCAGTTCCATTTTCCTTCCACTCCCCTTGACATTTCATTCTGTATGCTGTCTGCCGGGCGACATTTGTCACTTTTAGGTCCAGGGGTGGAATATTGAGCGCTATTTCTAGCGCGTCAATTGGTGTGGTTCTCATGGCCCCTGTCGCAGCCCGCAGGTAGTTACCTTGCAGGCTTTTTAACAGGTTCCGATTCCCCACCAATTCTACCCTGGGCCACCAGACGACTGCAGCATACAGGAATCTTGGTATTAATACCGTTTGGTATAGCCAAAGAGTTACCCTAGGTTTTAATCCCCAGGTTTTTCCTATGGCTCTTCTACAAGCCCACATTGTGCTGTAGAATTTTTTCCTCTTTGTTTCGAGGTGGGTGTTCCAATTCAGTTTTGTATCTAGGTGGACTCCCAGATATTTGACTGTATTAGAATAAGGGATCTCCACCCCCCAAAGCTGTAACGGCTTTGTTGGTTGGAGTTTGTATTTCCGGGTGAAGATTACTGCTGCTGTCTTTTCTGGGTTTACCATCAAGCCAACAGCAGCGCACCAGTCCTCTACGATTTTCAGGGCATTCATAATGATGTCCCTGAGTGTTGGTAGGAAGTTTCCTCTGGCTATTATGGCTATGTCATCTGCATAGCCGAATACCGAGAGTCCTGCTTCTGTGAGTTTTGCCAGTAGTTCATCCACCACTAAGCACCACAACAGAGGTGAGAGTACTCCCCCCTGCGGGCACCCGCCGGTTGGACGTCCTGTTACCTGGTCGGTTCCCATGCTTGTTGACAGTTTCCTGCCTCTAAGCATGGCCTGCGTCCAGTCAGTGAGGGTTTCGGGTATCCCTCTGCTGACCATTGCTTTTTTTATGGCTACATTAGAGGTGCTGTCAAAAGCCCCTGCAATGTCCATAAATACTCCTATTGCATATCCTTTAGACTCTAGTTGCGCCTCTACCTTTCCCACTAAGTGGTGTAAGGCGGTCTCCGTGGACCTCCCTGCTCTGTACGCGTACTGAGAGGGGGCCAGGGGGCGCGCTGCTAGAGTCCTATGCTTGATATACGTATCCACCAGTCTTTCCAGAGTCTTCAAGATGAAGGAGGAAAGGCTGATGGGACGGAAGTCTTTGGCCAGTAGATGACCGTTTCTTCCCGGCTTTGGTATGAAAGTAATTCTACTTTCACTCCACGCTCTGGGGACGTGTCTGTGGGCTATGCTAGCCCTCAGTATTCTTGTTAACGGGCCTAAAAGGTCCGTGAGTCCTTCCTGTAACAGTATGGGATAGATTCCATCCGGTCCAGGAGCCTTGTATTTGTCGAATGTCCTTACGGCCCACTCGACTCCTTTAGGCTTTACAACCTCTGCCGCCAGAGTCCAATTCCTAGGCTTACGTTGAGCCCCGTATTGTGTCTCCTCGTTTGGTAGGTTGTTGGTGTCTTCTCTGAATCCCGGGAAATGTGTTTCCATCAGTAGATTCAGTGAGTCCTTCATTGTTTCTGTATATTCTCCATCCGGTCTTTTCAAGCATCCCAGGTTTGGAGTGGTTGTTCTGCCGAGTGCTCTGGCCAGTCTCGATACCTCTGATGAGTTCTCTACACTGGCACAGTATTCCCTCCAGCTTTTCTTTTTAGCGGCATTTATAGCCTTGCTATATTCCTTTTGGAGGTGTCTGAACTGCTTCCAGTCCTCCTCTTTTTTTGAATTCTTTGCCTTGTTGAAGGCCCTTCTCACCTCTCTTCGGAGTTTCGCCAGGTGGTTGTCCCACCAGCGTACGCCCCTTGATTGGTTTGTGGGCCTTAGAGGACAGTTGAATTCATAAGACTCCTTGATGGCATCGCTTAGGAACCGCGACGCTTCCTCAAGTTGGTCCCTTGTATTTAGTCTGCGAGGGAATTTTGAGAGTCTCATTTTGAGTTCCTCTCTGTATCCCTCCCAGTTGGTTCTTCTGGGATTTCGCGCCCATTCGGTTTCTGTTTTCTTACAGACGTTCATTCGGATGAGCCTGTGATCAGAGCCTGTAGGTTCGTTATCCACCCTCCAGTCCTGCACCAGCTCCCTTAGTTTACCGGTTACCACGGTGATGTCTATAACCTCCTGTCTTCTGCAGTCCACGAAGGTTGGTTCATTGCCTCTGTTGAGTGTTGTTAGGTCTGTACGCATTAAGAAGTCATGGAGCTTTTCCCCTCTAGGATTGATGTCCGAACTCCCCCACGCAACATGGTGCGAGTTGGCATCAGCCCCGATGAGGAGTTCTAGTCCCCTGCTTCTTGCGTACTCAACCAGACTCTTAACCTCTTTTGGTGGCGCTTCCTCTAGGTCGTAGGGCATGTAAGATGACCCTACTAATACCTCGAGATGCTCGCCATCCTCAGTTGTAATTTTCAGGTGCACGACAGTTAGGTCCCCACAACTGACCTGGGGAACAAAGAGTGCCTTTGCTCCCTTGACTATCACGCATGTCCTGATTTTTTCCTGAGTGGTCGCATGGAACAGGTCCCAGCTACCGTTCAGTCCTTTGATAGCATTACCCACGATCCAAGGTTCCTGGATAAGTGCTATAACTGTTTGCATCTTGGCTAGTCCCTTGGCAATAATTGCCGAGGCACTTTTGCTGTGATGCAAGTTTATTTGTGCTATCTGCAGATTTCGGTTAGCCATTGCTGAGCCAACTTAATCTGCCTTAGCAGTTTTTTTCTCCTCCCCCTCGGTCCCCTTTTGGGGCTTTTCGATCAGCCGAATGGCTGCTCGTTGAAGCCCGCAGTGAGGCCGAAAGTGGAGGTCCTCCAGGCCCTTGAGGTCCAAGTCGCGGATCATGGCAGCAAAGTGCCAAAAAAAAACGATCGCCGCGCCAACTACACGCATCGAGTAAAACTAAATTGAACGTCGAAAATTTCTCATAAGGCTGTCCTGGGCCTGGGGCCATTCACAGAACATACATAAACAAGAAGGGACATCTCCGTGAGAATTTCGTAGACGTTGTAGAGCGCACTCTGAGAGTAGTAGCTGTACTAAATTAATGGGTGTTGCCTAGTAAAAGGGGATATCATGTAGAACTCTACACTAAAATTAGTAATATAGGTTTTTTATTCGATTTTTTCTGACTTTTAATATTATCCAATTTCTTGTAGAACTTGTACAATTTGTTACATTATTATAAAATGTATAGAATTTTGATATAGATAGTAAAATAAATTGTACAAGTTTTACAAGAAATTGGATAATATAAAAAGTAACTACTCTCATAAAATAAGTAAACACAAACACTTCTACTTAAAAATATATTGAAAAATATGTCAAAATTCATTAAATTTAAATAAAATCGCTAAATAAACAAATATTATGGCGGAACCAGAAAAATTCACTACGCGCTGTAAAAACAAGCAATAGAACGAAAGATTTAACTTTAACTTTACACAATTCCTCACTAACAATTCACTAACACTACTATACACAAAACTTATACAACTTACAGGCAATAACAATGCCTTTTAAACTCACTCGAAAACAAACGAAATAAATGAAAAAAAATAACTTTTCGGTTTTAACTTCATCTTGCACTACAAGAGAAAATATGCAGAATCGATGCGAATCAATACAAGACGCCATTATTGTTTTTGAAATACGGCGTTGAGCGGGTTGCTTGCGCTGACCTGAAATAAACTACTGTTGCGCCATCTATCAATAGCGCCGAAACTAAATGAACGTCTAAAATTTCTCATAAGGCTGTCTAGGCCCTGGGGCCATTCACAGAACATACATAAACAAGAAGGGACATCGCCGTGAGAATTTCGTAGACGTTGTAGAGCGCATCCTGAGAGCACTGAGTGGTACTAAATGGTAACGGAAACTGTAATTTGTAATGGTTGTTGCATAGTAAAAAGGGGCTAGTATAAACGCAGTCGTGTAATACTGGTTTTCTATTCGACTTTTTTCTTTTTCTTGTTCGTATTATCCAATTTCTTGTAAAACTTGTACAATTTATTATACTATTATAATTTATAATAATAATTATATAAAATGTATAAGAATTTTATGTAATTATTAAATATAGACACATAGTATAAAAAATTGTACAAGTTTTACAAGAAATTGGATAATATCGAAAATAATTACTTTCACAAATAAATTAACGACAAAAACGTTTCATTTTAAAAATATATATTTAAAAAACATACAAATTTGCGGATTTAAAATTAGATATTAATTAATTCAATATAATTTAATACCTACATATATAAACATAAATATAATACACTTAAATAGTACAATATTAAAATAGTTCATCATAATTTTAAATGTAAACCTACGTATTATGAATAATAATTTAGACTTTAAAGTACTTTGGCCTATTAACAATACAATAAATAATTCACAAACCTTTCTCTGAGAAATCCAGTCATTTTATATCGGTGGTCGGTAGCTCGCCAAACCCAATAGAACTATCTCCATTTTCTGTAACAAAAAAATAAGCAGTTAATATGATAAAAATGATATTTGATGAAATTATGTACGAATGTTAATTATATTTACCTTGAAAAGAAAGCATGACACAGCAATCTTGTCTGATTTCAGACCTTCCGATGATTGGAAATCTGCTTTGGAAAAATGGCGATCGACGCTGCAACAATTTCTAAGTCTTGTAGCAATAGAATGGTAGAATCACGTTGACAATACACAAATTATTCATTTATAAAACTCACAGCAAATACCAAAGCACTTTGTATAATCGATAACTAACAATAGTTGGAAAAAATATTTATTCGGTTGTATTTCAAAATTTCAAAACTCTTCGAACTGCACATGTTCAAAAATCGTTAATAATGATCTACGGCATGTTGCGTGGGTTGCTTGCGCTGTTTCTCAAAAAAAACGATCGCCGCGCCAACTACATGCATCGAGTAAAACTAAATTGAACGTCGAAAATTTCTCATAAGGCTGTCCTGGGCCTGGGGCCATTTTCATACACTGCCATCTATAGCAAAACTTGCGCAGTGGTGTTTCATGGACGCTCGAAACAGGTGGAGCCAGTAGCCACGAGTTCCCATACCCTGCCTCCATACTAATTTGGTGTCTTGAATCTTATCTTTTTTACATCTCGCCAAAATTGACTAATTCAATATTAGTCTCGAAGTCGTATACATATTATTCCATTGAAACTAGGTCTATATTTTTCAAATTTATTTACATACGAAAAATAAATTTTTATTATAATTGGCCGATTTATTGCACCAAATTCGGCATAATTTTTTCATCGTTTTTGGTAGAGCCTTGGCGATTCCTTTTGGACGACAACAAGGATATGGATGTTTGTTGACGAGGATACGTATCACTTCTCGTTAATCGCCGGCGAAATAAGTACCTAAACAAATGTGGGTAAATGCAAAATTTTGTATGCAATATGATCAATTCTATGAGTTGAACAGAACAAAGAAAGATTATTGAAATAACTGTGGTTAGAGTGAGAAATTTGTGAATCCTACAATCACTGTTTTACCTATACAGGGTGTTTTTTAATAACATGCTAATACTGAAGGGGGTGATTATTGAAGCCATTTTAAGGAAAAAAGCTTTATATGAACCTATGTCCTAAACGTATTGAAATATAGGATGAAGTTTTAAGAAAAAAATCAATTTTTTACTGTCATTTCCATGCCGCTTTAAATATTTTCATGAAATTTGATGTACGGCGTTAATGCATTAAAGAGCATTTTTCGACCTAAAAAACATTTTTTTATTTCCAACAGTGACGTCCGTCCTGGACTCGGGCTAAATATTTTTGAGGGTAAAAGTGGTACGCCACTGCTTTCTCTTGAAGTAAAAATTATTTTTGGAGGCCCCGTTCAATTTAGAACAAATTTGATTTTTTGACTTTTTTTGGACGACTCACCATTTGACATAAAAAAATTTAATGTATTCATTTGTATGTACGCTACTGGTGCATTAGCCGCTGTGCAGAAATTAGATAATAAATTTTAGGTTTAGGACATATCTTATAGGTTCATATGAAGTTTTTTTTAATGGGTCTAAGAAACACTCCCTTCAGTATTAGCAAAACACCCTGTATATGAGACTAATGTAATAAGACTTTATTGTACCCATAGACCATATTGCAGTCAAAGTTGCACTTAGATGTATCGCAGATTTGAACCCGATACATAATAATTTAAATGTATTTAAGGAACAAATTTAAATTCCAAATAATAAATCTTTAGATAGATGCCATATAACTTGATAATTATGTCGAATATATTAAATTTTTCACTTAACTTACCGATTGAAATATTTTCTAAAAGCCCCGCTCAAGAAGTAGAGCGCTATGGGATTGGCACAATAATTCACGTACGCCAAGCAAAACCCCGTGATCCTAAAGTAATGCCAGAATGCGTCGTACAAATCCTCGAAATCCGGATAAAAATAAAACAGAAGCATGAAAATGTGACCAGGCGCGAAGCAAACGAAGAACACAGCCACGAAAATCAACACCGTCACTGCCACCTTTCTTCTCGCCCTCATCTAAAACCCGGTTAGGTACATAATAAATTTATATTGCACAGCAACATTTTACCTGCTTTCTCAAACCTTGCACTTCGCCGGGCATGTTCTTCGTGCTGCTGATCAAGTGCATCGCCATGTTCAAGTAGAAGAACCCGATGACCAGCAGGGGTATCAGATAGAGCACCAGGAATTTGAACACTATCATAAACTCGGGGTACCGCTCTTTGAGCCAAGTTCGCGGATAGGGGTAGCACACGTGGAAACGCTCGTTCTCTTCGTTCGGAATGAACTTTATGTGAGATCCCATAGCCGCCGGCAGAGCTATCAGGCTCGATGTAGCCCAAATCATCACCGCTATTACTATGGTAATGCGCGTGGTGCAGCAGTTTCTTCCTGAAGGCACATGAGCGGTGCAGACCTGGCACCTTAGCTGGTTATTATAACATAAGATATTTACCTACCTCCACCGTGGATTTTCTTGAGCGGATCCACCACAGCGAAAAACCTATCTGCTGATAAAGCTGTTAAAGTGAACACTGATACAGCAACGGATAAATCCTTGGCGGATTCGGATATTTTGCAAATCGTTTCTCCCCACGGCCAGTTTTCCATCGTGTAGATAATGGACGTGAAAGGTACACTAGTTACAATCACCAGCAGGTCGGCCAGAGCTAACGAGAAAATGTACCTGCACAAAAACGAAAGATGATAATCCCGGAAACTGGAGAATAGAATGTGCTTACGTGTTAGGTACGTTTCTCATGTGTTTGTGCTTTAAGAATATCATCACCAAAGTACCGTTGCCGATGACTCCGATGAGAAATATCAGGAGGAATACTACTGGTACTACGTAGGTTTCTGGCCTCGTGTCGTAAGGTATTATGTAATCCGATGAATTTAACGTGGCGTTAAATTCAACAGATGAATTCATTTCTCCAGGTGTATCCATTAATCTTTTTAACAATATGTATCTAATATGCCTATTTATAAGGTTTCATGTCCATCTAACTTGGTAAAACATTCTGGAAAATGAATGTTTTTAATTATTTCTGAAGAATCCTGAGATAAACTTATTACCGGAGTTTCAATCCGGTTAGATAACCCTGTTAGTTTTATGCAAATGCCTGTAGCTTAACAAATTGTTCTACAATGTTTGAACGAAACTTGTTTGTTCATTACTGTGCACAATAAATAACCATTTATGGGTATAATTGGGCAAATAAAATAAACGTCATCATTAATTAGTACATAATGAAAGCACTTGGGTTGGTAAATATTCGCTTATAAATTTTGTTATTATCGGCAAATATTTACCTTATAGGGTGTTAGAAACAAGGCATTGTAAAATTTTGGTTATGCATAATAGCTTAAATTTAATGCAACAGGAAAGACTTGTAATTATATCTATTTCGAATCAAATTCTCTCGAGGTATAACTTGAACATATTTTTCGATTCAAATAAAAACTTTTGGGTTGCCTCTTATGAAAGACACACTGTATAGGTACTACCTACTTACTTTAATTAGCTAATTAGACGGTTCCTTTGATTCATTTTTCTCACTTTATGTACATAATGGAGTTTATCAGTATTTATTTATCGTATTTTTTCTGAATCTACATGACTGATTTGATGACTGAATTTCAGTAACAATTTATTCCCCTTATTTTATCCTGAACTTCCTCAAATAAGAATTGGATTTAACTAAACGCAATTTTTGGAATGAAATTTTCTTGTTGAACAATTGCATATTTAATTGCAATAACTGCGAAATTTCGCACCTTCGGTGAGTTTTCAATTAGATTTCAGCTAATTAGCAAATATTTCAAAATTCTATTGAATTCAGTAGATAACATTTCAAAAAAACGGGATACTACACAGATATAAATTTGTGCAAAGAATTTACATCAATGTTTTAAAATTTGTGACAATAATTTTAGTCATATGAAAATGCTATTTAAATTTAGAAATAGAAAAAAATGCAAAATATACCCCCAAATTGGATTAAGAAAGTGAAATACTTACGGAGAAAGTGGATTCCTATTTACCGAAAACACAAGACGGGAGCAAAAAAATATACAAAAAAAATCCCGTCCGTCCGTCGCGAAAACAAATCAAAATCTCAACCGAAAAAAAAAAGCGATCGTCGCCTCCCTCGATATCGATCAATATTTAGAATTTCAATTAGCAAATACAGTGCGAACGCAAAATAAATATCGTAAAATTAGAGCAAACGCGCTAACGAAACCAATTCCATTCGCATTAACCATTTTTCGCTTTGATATCAAACGTGATATTAGGCACCTATTCCTGCTGTGCCGATTTTTAGTTTGGTTTACATTGTACGCCACCTGTTAAAATAAATCTCCTCTTTAATTACATACAGGATGTTATCATCAATTTCATATACACCTTTAAAATTACCTATGGGTGATTTTCTCGAAAGTAAGTAAGCAAATCGCTGTAATTAAGCTTTTAACGAAAACTAGACTTTTCATAAACTGTTAACTAGTTATAAAATAATTTCGTTTATTTATTTATTTATTTATTTATTTATTAACAAAAAATCTTATAAAATTATTTAAAATCGTTCGATCGAATATTTTATTGATTAATTATTGTCTACATACCTACTTATAATACTGATCACCTCTTTGCTTCAAAGAAGTAAAGATTTTTAAAGTAAAAATATTTTTTTCAATATAGTATTAATGCTTCACGCTTAAAATGCTCTTCAACACTTTAAATAATCTTGCGAATTTTAAATTAATTTAAATCGGTAATCGCCTTGGGGGATACATTCGGATCCGCAATTAAATGTTAATTACAAATTCGAATTCCTCGCCCCGACGGAACTCCAATCCCGAACTTATAACGAAGTTGGACTAATCACCCCCTATACCCCAGAAACGCAAAGAAGAAAGGAGAAATACTGTATATAAGCAATCGACATCTCCTCCTATCCTCCCGCGTCGAATTGAGCTTTAGCTAAATGCGAGACGAGACCCTCCGTTTACGGTAAAAGCCTCGGATTAAATCTCCCTATGTGCAGTATCAATCCAGTGGGGTTGTGCCTGACGAAGTACAAGAAAGGCCTGTCGAACTTCAGTCTCGGGACCTCCGGTTTTCTGGCTTGCCTGGGCCTCAGGGGAAGAGGTAATTCGGAGTGCCTCACTCCGGATAAGGCTTCATTACTGCAAAGAAATAGTTATAAATCGATTTAGTTAGTATCTTCATTAAAATTAAAACTCATTGAGAATGCATATTATTCAGAATTTTAAGTAATTTTGGGTGATTATTCAGCAGAAAATCAAGACTGGCTTGGACAACTAGTTAAAAGTTGCAGATTTTTTGGGCTGCACTGTATTCAAAATACAATTTCATCTCTTTCATCACCTAACAGAAATTGTTCTCATTCCAATACATTAAAAAATCTTTTAACTAGGGAACCAAATTTAATGCCGATTTTTTTAAAACATTAGTAAATGCTTGTTAATGGTGTAGCCGAAAAAGTGATAATTCTCCAAATTATCATTAATAAATCTATCAATAATGCATTATTATCGTTAATAATCCAAGAATTTTTCGTTAATTTCAAATGCACAGTCTAAAACGATAGTAAGTGTACCATCAAACATAGCTACTATAAATTCTTATATTTTAGTTCAACCAATAACTTGTACCTTCTGAATCTCCTAACACTGTTGGGATAAATTTCCGAATGGTGATCAGTCCTCTTTTCTGAGCAAGTTGTAAATTGGTTAACTTGTACGACATCCGATAAATAAAGATCATTTGAAATGCCATTCATTCCGACCAAATCGGCCTGTCCCTTCTTGAACAATTCCACGAAACCCATTTGCTTCAACACCTCAGTGGCGTTCACTACACTCCTGTGGTTGATTTTCGGTATTTGCACCTCCAGTCCCGGCCGCGCTATCAAAGACCTCAGCAATCTGGACCAAGCCCCTGGAAAAGAAAACCTCTAGCATCATTAAATCGACATCGGTTAATCGCTATACCTTTTTTGAATGAACTCTCCGCCAAGCTCTTCTCTAATCTGGACAAACCGTCTCCGGGTGTTTGCACGCCTTGCTGTCCGGGCATTACGAAGATTGTGCTGGTCGTGTGGTTTTTGTTGCCTACGGAAACGGCTGTGGCGTCCAAACTGGGCTCGTAACCCGCCAGGAAACCGTATTTGTAGAGCACTGCAGGAATCGGCACCAGCCTTCTTTGCCTTATTGTTGGCAAAACTGTAAAGTGCATTTCCCCGTCTCGATTGTCCGAATACGCGCTGCTGCAGTCTGTCTACAACCAAAATTTAATACACTACAATTGTTTCTCAATTTCATTGCAACATATTCTATTATTAAATCAATTTAACTGCTAAGGAATCTGGCCACAAAGGGATTTTGGATTTGGTGCTTAAGATAGGGTTACAACACAAAAATAAAAAGGTAAACAAACCTGAAAAATGTTGACTCCAAGCGCAAGTAATGGAGGTCTTCCAACCACAGATGTATCAGTGAGAAACTCTGCTATTTTTCCATCGGTGTGCTTCTTCACTTGGAGGTTGGTTCTTCTGCGAACGATGTCCCCGACTTCCTTGAAGTTTATCTCCTCCGCGAACCCGTCGTAGAACGCCTTGACACGCTCCCTGTAGAAAGGCAGGAATTTACCTTTCATCCGGCACATGAACAGCTCCTTAACGAACGAAGCAGTTACCGCACCGGATTCCTCCGCGATCGCCACCGATTCGCCGACGTTCTTCAGCACCAAGTGCGGATTGAAGGTGATCATGTCGTCCAGCTTGAGGATCTCGTTCATCTCGGCCGAGGTCGAGCCCCTGGCGCCGAGGAATATCATCGCCAGCGAGGAGATGGCGCCGAACGGCGACACCACCAGGCTCCGCGCGTGGCTCACCGTGTCGGCGGTTTTCTTCCAAAAATCGAAGGCGAGCTCGTTGTACAGCTGCGAGAATTGCTGGATATCCTTGTCCAAATCGGCGGTGCTCTCTTCCAGTCCGAACCCGTTCAGCGGCTCCGCTCTCAAGTCGATCATCTCCGGCGGGTCCAGGGCTTCCGGGTAAGGCGGCAAAATGCTGGCTGGTGTGCCGAAGGTGGCTTCACTGTGTGGCGCTACTGTTGGTACTAAAGTCCAATTGGGTTCTTTTTTGTTGTCGTTAGGTATAGTGATTTCGGTTGTGCTTGGGGTTGTGCTGGTATTGTCTTTGTATGTGGTCGTGTTATCGTCGCTGGTAATGGTAGTTTCAGTTGAAGAGTCGCTGGGGTCTATTAGAGGGACTTTTACTGTGGCGTTGTTAAATCCTTCGGTTGTAAATGTTGGCGTGTTGTATTCAGTTGTTGTTATTTGTTGTAGTGTTGTGGTGTTGTTGTAATCTTCTGTACCATTTTCTATTTTTGTACTTTTTACTGGAAACTCGTTAGATGTTTTGTTATCGGTTTCGTCGAGATTGTTATCGATTCTATCAATTTCATTAATTTCAGTTGTGGTGTATTGAGTAGAGAATGTCAGGGTAGTACTCTCTACTAGTTTTTCTGTTGTGGTAGAGTTAGTGCTTTCTTCTATATCATTTGCAGTAGTTTTAGTTAAAATCGTTTCTGTTACAGTGTTTGTAGTGTCTTTGTACATTGTAGATTCAGTTTTTTCGGTGAAATCTATAAAATCTACGTTTTCTTTGTACTCAGACTTGCTGTGATCGAAACTATTCATGTTTGGGGTGACCAGTAATTGATGTAAAATCGAGTTGAGACCGTCTAACATGGGCAACAAAGTGGTAGAATCAGATTCGTTTTTAACTGAGGAACAATTGATAGACGATTCTACGGATTTTATGGTTATTTCGACATTATTTTCTGTAGTAGGATTCGAATTTAATGTTGTCATGGTGGTTTCTGTTTCCTTGGTTTCGAAAGAATTATTACTATTATTATTAATTGGCTGAATGGTGAACATAGTACTAGTATCCGGTTCAGTAGGCAAAGCAACGGTACTAACAGGAACGTATTCTTTAGTAGTACTTTCAGTCAAAACTTCTTCTTCAGCTACTGTAGTTTCTGCCGGAGGCGTTGGTGAAGTTGTCGAGCTGGTAGATAAAATCGTAGTAGGTTCTTTAGTAGTCAATGGCACGGTACTAATGGTGCTCGGTTGCTGTTGCGTGGGTTCCACCATGATAGTATCAGGCGTTACGTGAAGAGGCGCTTTCTCGGGAGTAATATCCACTCCGGAGTTACCGAACACTGCCGGCAGGATCATATTCCATGAGTCGGAGACGTCCGGTGTGTCCAATGCGGGAAACGAATCGAACTTAGTGCCGTGTATCTCCATTTCCTCCTTCAGCACGTTCTGAACGTTGCTCAGCACGTCGTTGACTCGTTTCTCCGGTATGTACGCCTCCGCAACGGTGGAATCGTACTCCAGCCCGTCGCTGTCTCCTGTCGCTATTATCCCTTTGATTTCCTCCAGAGACATTAGCCTTCTCACTAAATTACCGCTGTCGTCGAACGTGTAGAATTCGTAGCGGTCCGGGTTTAGCAAGTTTATTGGACTGGCTAATTCCGAGGAGCTGGAAGGTTTCTCTACCGGTTTTCCTACGGTATCTGTAAAGATTGTTTTCGATCCATTTCCTATGTCCATTACTACAGATACTGATGTAACGACACTGCAAGGGTAAATAATAAATAATATTTGGGAAATATTAATACTTAAAGGAAGAAGGATTATAGTAGAATGAATTTTGGTAGTCTTCCTTAATAAAATGAATCATTTAAATATTGCTTTATTTGGAGATATTTTGATAAAAATTCTAGGGTTTAAAAATGTCTGAGTGAGCTAAAAGACCACAGGTCTTGGTCGTTTCTGTTCCAACAAACCGGAATCGTCATTAAATTCATATTTCGCTAAAATGTAGCACGAATGGTAAACGAAAACCAAATACGCAATATTTCTAGACCAACATCGTAACGGTAAAAATCATTTACATCGAAACACAAACGAAACGAATACTACAAATGTAGTTATTTATGGCCTGGTCTTTACATTAGACGAGACATTGAAGCATTTATGTTCGAGTATGAGGTGTTTAAAAATAATTTAAATCTGCATTCGATTAACTGGAGGTTTAATGGAAAAAACTGTTGTTTATGAAGTGTTTTATTAATTCATCGCAGTTTACTTACCTCTGGCCCAAAATTTTTCTCGACAATTTTCCATCTTTCGTTTCGTCTTCGAAGTTTTCGGCTATCACGAAAATATCCGCTCCGATTAGGAAGACGATAAATAACCACATTTCGACGACTTCCTGCAACGAAAAAAGATTGTTTTCTTAAACAATCTATTTATAAAAATTCCTCCATGGACTTAAAACAACTTAATCCTCTTTTATGCAGGGACTTTATTCTAAAAAACTCGTCTGAAATATTTAAAATCGAATATTTCTAAGCTAAAACAAAAACTGAAAATAATTGAATCTACTATTAAGAGGAGGAGAAAGAAAAGTAATATTAGATTGCGGAGAAAATTGCAAATTATAGTACTTTAACTCCTGGAGAGGTAATAACAGTTCATTTCTGATAAAAACGTTCGCCACAAATGAATCATCAAGCCGGCTAAAACCACATCTAAAAATATCAGTTTTAATTCATCTGTGACGGGAGCAATTGCCCAAACTTTGAAGTTCATTCACTTGATTACAAAAAAGTCGGTAAAAACGATTACTTACTTATTCTACATGCCATTGCGAATTCATTGAGCACATGCATAAAAAGGAGCACGAGAAAACGCTTGAATAATTATTAAAACGTTGCCATTAAAGATGGTTTAGAAAATAAGAAATTACAAAAATTTAAAGCATAATTCTCACGGTACATTTTCACATGCGAAAATGAGCAATTATACCCACCATAAACCTTGGTATAAATTTTTAACGTCCGAATTTTACTTCCCAACTCCAAACACAATACGATTTTATGTTGTATTCTAGTTCATCTTCATATATTTGTTCATAGTAAATAAAATTACTCACTATCTTCTACAGAAAAATTAAGAAGTCCTAATGAGATTGCCTAATAGCACACCGACGAAAAGCCCGTTACTTCTAAACTTAAGCAGACATTCTTGAAGCTGTGTGTAGAATTATTAAAAGTGGCAATTATGTAGGTACTTTCAATTGCATGCTTAATTTGTTGAGCTGATGCACAATTCAAATATTGGAATTACTGTGTATTTTGTAAACAAAGTATGTATCTAGCATTAAATTTATCAAGAGAATTTGTGATTAATGCTGATGAAGGGGTTGAAAATGTGGAAATACAAGTCAATAAAAAGATAGGGATAATGTTAATTGAAGTTAATAGGGATCTTAAAAATTGGTTTTCTATTGGGATATTTAGTACTTTTTTTTCAAATTTTATCATTTGATTTTGCTACTAAAAAGTTCCTCTTTTGGGACTCTTTATCTTTGCTTAATTATTGATTAATAATAAATTTTTATTATTTTATGAATTTTTAGGAACTAATATCGTTCCTCATCAACTTAACAACTAGAAATCATTGAACTCTTTAATGTTTCCATTAAAAATCTTTTCAAAATAAATTATTTTAGTAAAAAAAGTCATTGAACTTTTTACAAATCTGCGAATCTTCTCTGTTAGTGATCGAAGATACTGTTAACAAATAAACGAAATATATGTCCATTATGAAATGGAAGCATCCAATTTGGGTGGCGATTGCCGTTAAAAATGCAACTTACTTTTCGAACAAGCTGGATTAAAAAGCCGGTCAAGCCGCACAGAGACGAACGGTCACTCGCGAGACAGCACGCAATCCCGCCTGGGCCACCGTCGATAATCGATTGTATTGTCTCGTCTTCGGCAGAACGAAAACAAGAAGAAGTAGAAGAAGAAGATCGCGCGAACCGTCGAAGATGCGCGACGAAGATGTGCCAGCGCCGGTTCTTCGTGGAGTCAATGTCACCAAAAGAGTGTTGGCCAGTAAGAGAATCAGGTGCTCGGCCTTGACCGGTGAACCGCGTGACGCGCCTCTGCAACTATAACTGTGCAATAAGAGCATCCAGGTCTTCTGAAAGGCCTTTTGATTGTCTATGTTATGTACGTGGCCGAGATTCTCGCCCATTGAAATTCAAATTCTATTTACGATTTTATCGTTATTATTTATTAACCATGAGATATTTATTCATTAACTGTAAGATTACCATTGGCTCGAAAGTTAATTGATATTTCTTCTGCAGGAGGTTCTTACCCAACATTTTAGTTTATAATTAAGGATACCCTGCATCTAAAAAATTGACTCAGAATTTGAACATGACAGGCTATGAATGCTAGATTTTCATTGTTGATATAGAACAAACTGGAATAACTTGAAGATTCAAAAATTTTATCAAAGTTACTGCAGGATTTTCTAACGAAAGTTTATTCATCAACATTTTACATTGGACCAATGAATACCATGCATTGAATAATCTAGAAAATTGACTCAGAATTTGAACATCGAAACCTGTGAATGCTGGATTTTCATTGTTGGTGGAACAAACTGGAATAACTTGAGGATTCAAAAATTTTAACAAAGTTACTGCAGGATTTTCTAACGAAAGCTTATTCATCAACATTTTACTTTGGACTAAAGAATCCTGCATTAAATAATCTAGAAAATTGACTCAGAATTTGAATATGGCAACCTGCGAATGCTAGATTTTCATTGTTGGAAGACAAACTGGAATAACTTGAAGATTCAAAAATTTAATCAAAGTTACTGCAGGATTTTCTAACGAAAGCTCATTCATCAACATTTTACTTTGGACTAAAGAATATCCTGCATTAAATAATCTAGAAAATTAACTCAGAATTTGAAAATAGTTTGTGAGTGTAGGATTTTCTTTTTCAATGGAAACTTGTATACTCTCTTTAGATAATCTGATAATTCTGCTTTCATGGAATTCTAATGATTTTCTGTTATTGATAAAACAAATTAGAGTAACTTTAAAATTAAAACTGGATAGCTTTAAACGCCCTGTATAATAATTCGTATAATCCAGTTATTTACAAAGGCGTTCAATGCCAAACAGCTGCTCGGGCGATTACAATAAAACCCGACTAAATATAAATTCTGGCCTCCCCCACCCGAAAATTCTGGCAATTTTTCGGACATCTAGCACAGTAATTTGTGAGACTTCAGTGCTTTTCTATAAAAAAGAATGTCCTATCAACGGCCGTCCTTTTGGACATGGCGAGGAGATAACAATAAGAAAAAAGTGAGTACGGCTGTTGGAGGCTTGAAAAAACGGTTTTGCGGACTTTTATTGCGTTTGGCTCTCTTCTCTCTACTAAAAGTGCTCTCGTTGCAGTTGCAGCTAAGCTATTTACTTTTTATCTCGGCTATAAATACCTCGCCTATTTTCGCCACTTTGATATTTTACCTACAAACTAAATAATTATGTTGTAACAGGAGATTTCGGAGCGATAATAAATTTATATCAGAAATGCGGTCGAATGTTTACATCTCTTTCAAATAAATAAATTCCCTATTCCATCCCAATTATTTCGATTACTTAATTCTCTAATATTATCACATTTGCTCAATTTTGTTCTAATTCTTTAAGTTATTCTTTATAAAAAAATAATTAAACAATACATTATGTTCCACTATTATATTCACAGTTTTGAGCAGTATGGTCAATTTTATTTTAATTTTAATTCTACACTAAAATCTCCAAGGACAGACAAATGTTTTTTCTCTAGTAATAGTTAAATTTATAGCTGTAGGTATAAAAGTAGCTAATTTCTTTTTAAAAAATATCCATCTACATCTTTATGCTTCTTCTTTTTGAAATATTTTGGCAGAAGTTGCTCCCATAATTTACCCATTTTGACTCCAAACTAACTGCTCAAGAATAATTTATATTTCTAGACATTTACAACATATCACATCTATTCATCTTGATATTTCAACATAGTAATCCTTCTAATAATAGATAAAGATATAATGATAAAAAATCGATTAGTTTTAGTGTATGTTGCGAAATTAATTGAAATTCCTCCGGTTCCATTGCCTTCTTCATTAGGTTTTTTCTTTTGTTTAATATTTACTAAACATATTCACACTAAGCAGAGTAAATTATTAGTACTGTAAGCAAATTTAATACTCAGGTAAACTTTTAATGTGTTAAAATTTTTACCGAAGGCGATTAAATTTTCAAATTTATATACGAATTGCTGGCCTAAAAATAGAGGATTATTTTTAAAACGGTTCGACAAGAAAATACCGATTTTCCAATACGCCGAAAATTCGTCATGCGATCCATCCGCCGAGAGACGAAACTTTTCCTTCGAAATTATTTATTGGCAGGTCGTGTTTTTTTTATAATCCGATCAAGTACAAAACGTACGAGTCAAGGAAAACGTAATAGGTATCGAACGAGCCAAGTTATTTCTGACACAGTATACAGTGCATGTAATGAGAAAATAAAATGAGACGCACACCCGTAGCCTTGTATGTAGTCTTAGAGGTTTCTTGTTAATGCCACAATTACCACTCGAATTGTTCTTTTAAACATCCACCTTATTTTGTATTACATTTTCATTATCTTCTCGTCAAGAATATCATGAGCTGTTACAGCCTCTGTTTTGTTGGGATTAAATATGTATAAGAATTGAAGAAAAATCGTAGTTTCTTAGACATTCTGTAGGCGCAAATTTTCAAGCAATCATAAATTTGAAAGCTGTATAATTTCTGGACATAGCTATAATATTTTATTTACCATCAAGTTACTTCAAGATGGAAGATTGCAAAGCAAAGTGATGAAATTGTCACCGTAAAAACACGAAAGCAGAAACATCCTGCGGAGATGTAGCAAATTCATGTAGCAAAGTGTGCAGGATTCGTAAGTGATTGCCAAGAGAAAATGGTGATGTATCACTATGACTAAAATTATCCTCAAAACTTCCACCATATTTCAACCAAAAATTTACCGACCCAATTGCGCCAGTTATGCGAAACCTGTTGAGCGGCTTGCACTTCTTATTAGCAAGACAATTAAATAAATTTCGATTAGAAATTTCCGTCCGACTTCGGTGCCGCTTCTAAATTTACGCTTCCCCATTGAACGGGCGTTATTTTTAAACTTTATTTACAACAAAAATTGCATCACAAAACAGAAGTGTTTACGCCGTTCGACTATCCGTAGTATCCAGTGCAGTGAAAAATAGCGTGCAATCGAACCGATCGATGGGAAAGACGCATGAAATCCTGCTGGACTTGAAGAGGAGCTCCGCGAACGAGCAATGGGGCTTCAGTCTGGTCGGCGGGTCGGACGTTAAGACGCCTCTCATCGTCACCAAAGTGAGTTTCTGGGTAATTTACGGCTTCGAGGATGCGGATACACTCGCGCCTATACCGACGGATATATGCAGTTGGTGCCAAGAATAATAAAATCTAGTGATTATACAACGTTTTTTTTGTATGCTGTAACGACTGTTGCAGTAAAAATAAAAGTTTGAGGAGTTGAAACAAAAGTGGAGAGAATTGAAAAAATAGCTAATATGTGATGTAATTTAAGTTTGTTGCGATTTTTTTTGCAGGTGGGCTTCGGGTCTCCCGTCGAAGGGAGCCTGCACAGAGGCGACATAATCACCAAAATCGGCAACTACGACGCGCGGGACGTCCGCCACCAGGACGCCCAGAACCTCTTCAGGAACGCCGGTAACAACGTCAGAGTCGTAGTTCAAAGGTACCCAAATCCCCCGTCAAAATAGACCCCCTTTATCGGCTCTATTTGCAGGGAGCATGCACCGCGTAGCACCGGCTCGTCGAGGACGAGCTCGCACAACTACAGCCCTCTGTCGATATCGCCGCATCTGTCTCCGAAGGGCGCCGTCCCGTCGGGATACAGCCCAGGAGGATCGGCTTTGACGCCCTACTACACGACGCCGCTGACGCCCATCGACAATAACTATTTTGAAACTTACGAGTACGATCCGAAGAGAAGAGACGACGATCAACAAGAGACTCATGTCACTAAGCAGGTAAATAGTTCAGGAGAATTATCTCTTTTAAGCAATTTTGTAGTGAATTTTCAAAACCTTTGTGAAAGGTGTAAAACTGGTCCTCTTTTCATAGGTTAAGAAATCAACAACAAAAATTCAACAAAAGAGCGACAAAAATTCAAGGGATTGTTCCTTCGATTATACCAAGAATATTTCGTACTTTGAGGATTTTTGAAAACCCTTTTTATTTCGAAGATACAGGGCGCACAATTTCAGGAAAACCATTTTTGAAATTTTTATAGTTATCGCGGAATTGGTCGAAGTGGACCTCATTCCTGGTACTCTCGTTCCCCAGACTTAAACCCCTTGGATTATTTCCTATTGGACCATCTAAAGCCATTAACTTATACTACTGAAGTAGAAAATATAGAAAACTTGCGACTTCGGATACTTGCTGGGTGTAACTCGATAAGAATCGACCCTGGTGAGAGCTCAGAAGAGTTCAGAATTAAATGAGAAGATTAGATGCAAGCTGGATGTAGTCAACAGATCTTGTAGATTACATTACATAGATTTTTGGTAATAAAATGTTACCAAATACCCAAAAATCGTCAAAGGGCAAAATATTCCTAAAATTCCCCTTGAAGAAACAACCCCTTGAATTTTACTAACCTTATTTAATAAACACCTTCTGTAGAGTACCTAACTATTAATAGGTACTATGTGTATTCCTTTTCCTATTGTTATTGCTGTTTTGTGTTTGTTTCCCTCTGTTATAGCCCTACCGTACTACTCCACTAGTACTTCCCGGTGCCAAAGTGAAACACGAACAAAAACCCACGGAGAGTTACCTCCGTCACCATCCGAATCCTTCGGTTAGGGCTCCTCCGGTTCCTTCGCATCGTTACACAGCGGACTTCGGAGCAGGACCAAAGGTAAAAAAAATTATCAACATCGTAAAAAAAAATTTGAAGGCTCTCGCAATAGTCGCACGTATACAAATTGATTCGCCGATTTGTTAGAGCAGTTATTTTAGGGCTTCGAATATTTGCGCTTGAGTTTTTGATCCAGTAACCTAAATACGACTTAAAAATACACCTAATCGTAAATATAATGTGAATGTTAAATTTCGCGTGCAGAACGCGCAATTTTATTTATAATGATTACTCGAAGGTGGCACTTCAGAATCGCTGCTCTTTGAATTGCGAAACGCTACCTACTCCCGCAATTAATTCTAATCATAAATCACCGTGGAATAATAAATATAATATAAGATATTATCGACGGCGTTATTTTTTCAGATTGTTAACAAACAATTTAATTCCCCGATTAACTTGTACAGCGATACGAACGTAGCTGACACGATGTACAAGCAAACAGGAGTGAAACCGTAAGTAAGAAAATCGACAAGAGGAGTACTTGGAGGGAAAGGATACGCGTAATAACGCATCGATTATTTTTTGTAGACAACCCCGTAGGCAAGTGAAATTCAACCCGTCCGAAAGCGAGACGTACAAAGCGCTGCAGGAGGAGGAATTGGGCGACAACATCCAAGAAGTGACCGTTCCACCGCAAAGTAAAGTGTACACGCCTAACAAGATGGTTTCCGGAAAGGTAAAGGGCAAATAGTTTTATTTTGTGCGATGGCTCGCTTCGCAAGTACGTACCCGCTTACGCTTCTATTTTATATTTATTGTACTAATTCTCATTTTTTGTTCAACGTGTTTCAGTGGAGTTTAGGTAGTTATCGAATCCACCAGTATTTGATTACTTTTTTGTTGATTGCATAACCATTTTGGGTACCGGTCTAGTATGCGGTCTACCAAAAAATTGGCGGTCTATATACATATTTTGTGGTACCGTTATATTTAAATACTTTGACAGGTGTCATATTTTCCAAAACTGAAACTGGTTGTGAACATATTTCACAAAACTTTCACAACTCACCCTGTATAATTCTGATACTTCCGTAATTCTCTATAAATTGAATTACTTGAATTACCTGCTATTCCATACATAATACTAGTAAAATCTTTTCGTTTACCGAATGAAGATAGATATATTTAAGTTTAAATAAATACTGGTACTTCCCCAATACTCGGTAAATTGAATTACCCACATGGTGTATAAATAATACAATACCAGTAATTTTTTTTTTGCTTAATGAAGGGTGAATTTTCCAAATTTTGATGTCATAATTTGTGATGAATACTTTGTATATAATAAATTTGGGTAGACCGCCTACTAAACCAGCACCTAGCACCAATTTTGTAGAAAACAATCGACCGAAAGTTGTATTTATGAGGCACTTTTAAACCCCATCCATACTTTTAATTAATCATCAATGACCACCCTAATATACAGGGTGTTAATTAATTGAGTGCCGATACTTCAGGATGTTAATATTTGGATGATTTTAAGAAGAAAAATTTATAACAATATTTGTCCTAAACCTCTTAGTTTTGGAGCTACAGGAGTTACAGTTAAAAAAAAAACTTTTCAGTCTTAATTTTCTTATTACTCCAGATATGTATGAAATTTCGGGTGTGGACGTCACTGGTATTAGTAGAAATTTAATTTTTATCATAAAAAAAGTGTTTCCATGCATGGTGTGCCCCTACCAAATTTCAACAAAATATCAAAAGCAGTCTCAAATAAACTGGGGAAAAAATTGTATTGGTTTTTATTTTTTTACGCGAAAATGGTGCGTCGTACGAAAGTAAGTCTTTGGACCTAATTTGCTCCGAAATAAATGGGGATTTTAAAAATAATTTTGGCTTTTAGTAAAAGCAGTGGCTTACCATTTTTTGTTCAAACATATTTAGTTCAAACACCGTACGGACGTCACTGGTAAAATTAAAAAAATGTATTAACCAATCCGAATATTCACATCCTGAAGTATCGGAACTCAATTAATTAACACCCTGAATACATATAGAAAAATCAAATTCCATTTTCTGAGACAATTAATTTTCTTTAACTCTGTGGGTATTGAAAGGAATCTCTTTAAGGGGATTTAAATAATCAATTACAAATCTAATTCCAACTTTTGATTTGTACTCACGAACCCAATAAATATTAATTGTATCAATGTTATGGTATGCCTACCTAATTAATGGATTTATAAATTTAAATCTTCTTACAGCTTCTACTAATACTAGGACATTAATTTTTGCGGATTATTAATAAAATCATTATGTACATTTTTTAGAAACCAATTTTGGTCGTGAATCAGAATCCTCAATACACAAACGCCATTGGAAACGATCCCGAAGTAATCCAACAAAGCGGTTCGTTCAAGAGGTTGATGTGGAGCGTCCTTCCATCTAGCCAATATTGAAATTAATTAAAACACGAATCTGGTAACAAAACGATATATTTACCTATAAAATGTAAGATGTCGAAGTGCCCGTCAAATTGATCGGCCGTTTCGCAAACACGTAAGGCCACGTTGGGCGGATGAAATTGACGGGTCATTCGGGTTAATTGCATATCGATTAAAGCTTTACAAACGCTTTAATTCGCCATTATTGTCGTCTCTGTTTTTTTTTGTTTATTTATTAATTTTATTTGAAACGAATTTTATTGAACGAGTATAATCTAGTCGAGTTTATTAAATTTTAGTTCATTGCGCTATAATTGCGGGTTGTCCAATTTATAGATGTAAGTTATCTTTGGAGTGTTGTTTATTTATTCGATATGAAAGTATTTTACTTGTAATATTAATTAAATATATATTTTCTGAAATTAGTTTCGTTTTATTTCTTATGCCAATAGTTCTATTTCAGAAATAAATAAGGGTTGATTCTTATTATTCGGTAAAACCATTCAAATTTTTAAATTCTATGCTACTTCGAGTATGATAGAATCAACCCTAATTTTTACAAGACTTATAGGAATATGCAAACATGTAACAAATACGTGCCCTTGGAAAAATACTTTAGGATATAGAACCAGGGGCGGCTTAGCTATTTAGCTTAATCTTTATATTTCTTGGATGGATTGCTTGGAAGTAATGTATAATAGTAAAAATCGTGCAACAGGCAACGCCACGCGAATAATGCTAGCAATATATAACATAATATAACAATTTATAAATAATTAATCCAACAAATTTGATAGGGGATCATCTTTAGTTTCCACGTTTTCCAGTTTCTTTATTATTGGCTTATTCGTCTTTTCGAACGGTTTAGAAATGGATGCTGAAATGAGTTATAAATTGAGTTTTTTTACACACAGGGTGTTAATTAATTGAGTGCCGATTGCCGATTATTCAGGATGTGAATATTTCGATATATCGAAAATATAAGTTTTCGAGCTACAGGGTGTTACAGTTTTAGAAAAAACTTTTCTTCTTAAAATCATCTAAATATTCACATCCTAAAGTATCCACACTCAATATATTAACACCCTGTATAAAAACATGTAAGGTTAATTTAACTACCTGATCTTTTATCGCTCCTCGATGAAAATAGTTCGTCATCATCATCTTCATCACTAGAACCTTCATCGAACAATGACTTCTTAGTGGCGATCTTTTTCTTATCCGATTTCATCGGTTTTTTTTCCTTGTTTCCCAATTGTTCAAACAGATCATCATCAGATTTATCATCAAACAGACTAACTCTAGTATTCGATTCGGAAACGCTCTTTTTAACAACTTCATCGGATTTTTTAATCGAGGATTTAGGTTTGCTTTTCTTCGAAACCTTGAAGAGATCATCAGTATCCGATTCGCTTTCTGAATTGAACAACTTGTTTGCCTTCTTCGAAATATCAGTATTAGTATTAGTTTCTACTGTTTCAGTCTCCACGTTTTCTATGATTGGCATTGTAACTTCAGGTATTGTAACTTCAGGTATTGTAACTTCGAGTAGATCTAATCAACAAAATCGCGTTTATGATAAGAGTTTAGTGCGAAATGATTATTATTTACCGGATTTTTTTCCTTCTGGTGTTGTTGCTGAGGGTAATTCGTCAGGAGAGTCGAGGTCGTCATTTTCAATTAGAGATTTACGTATTGCCTGCTGTCTAGCTCTTCTTGTAGATGGCCTCCTTTTCGCTGGATTCTTAGCTCTTTCCTGGCAAGTTGAATGGAAATTTATGCGCTGTATATTTAAAACAATTCAAATTACTTACTTTGGTTATGCTGGGAAGAATTTCTATGTGATCGGGAACATCGAATCCAGCGAGTTTCTGCGGCTCGGTTTTACTGGCAATTTTACTCTTACCATCATCAACATCGGCAATTTTACTCTTACCATCATGAGGATCGGCAATTTTACTTTTACCATCATCAGCATCGGCAATTTTAATTTCTGGTGTGGCTGGAGTTTGATTTTCATCGGAATCTTTCGCTTGAGTTTTCGTTAAATGCTTTATTTTCGGCTGAGACAAACCCGGCAACAGCGCGTTGACATTGATGTTCAGTGTTTGTTTCAATTTACCAGGAGAATTGGTCTTCAATCCTGGAATTGGTTTGGCTGGTTTTGGTTTATTGAGTCTCTCGGTTATATCGGCTATTTTATTTGGCTTTCGTACGTCTTTATCTTTGATATCCAATTGGGGATTAGAAGGAGAAGTTTCGGTTTTATTAGATTCACTTGAATTCGCTAAAAAGATTAATTTAATATGTATCGTCTTGCAAAACTCAATTGAATATAGTGTATAAACCAATTCTAACTCTAATTCAGTCAGTGAAATTCATTCCAAGTTTGCTATTTTGATTTCAACAACATTCAATTGACCTAGGAAGCATTTTAGATTAGTGGTACAATCTGGCGCAAAGTGCAAAATAACACAGCATCTCTACAAAATATTTTTACAACATACCTTTTCCGTGGAATCCCTCCGATAGCCCGCCAGGTGTCGTCGTCATTGCATCAACCGATCTCGACTCCGCGTCGTTCTTATCAGCCTTATCGCTAAATATATCGGATGAAGCATCGTTAGCATATGTATCAGATATGTCCTTATCCATTCTGAAATTAGATTAGACTTCTATTAGATCGAATGCTACTTTTTTTCCAACAAAAACAAAAATATTTCCCATTCGCTAGCGCACGCATTGAAACGGAATTTTGGCAGCCGATACCTTCGTAAAATAGGAACGGTTAAAAATAGATCACGCGCCAAACATGAATGATGTTTGTTTTCGCTTTTTCGAGACTTTTATTATATTTGATTTGTGCTTTTGTACATCCTTTATTGCTGATTATGAGTGTTCGTTGAGTCGAGGGGAGGTACTACGATGTCCTGGTGAAAATTGAAAAAAAATACTATAAAATATATCTCACCTAGTATCAGTTTGTGTGGCGATTCCGTCGAAACTGTCGTCGTCATCGTCGGGCGGATCATCGTCGAAGAGGCGCGCTTTGTTCACATTCTCGTCTCTTCGATAGGCAACGAAATCGTCCGTGTCGGAGAATTGATCGGATTTCGTGTCCCAGTCGCCGTCGTCGGGCGGCGGGCTCGAAGCGAACAATCCAATCACCGGACGAGCCGAATTCGATTCCTCTGTTACAGTATTTTCTAATGAGACTTACTTAAAGAACTTGAGCCGTAAATTATCGACATACCTCGCTTGTCGCTCGAATTCTTCGCGAATATTTCCTCTAAACTATCATCGGAATGGTCCATTTTATCCGGAACGAATTGTTTTTCTATAATCGGAGGGTTGGTTGCGGTAATAGTATCTTCCGGTTGCTGGGGTTCTTGGGGCTTGGGTAGATTGGAATCGGATTTTTTGGTAATGGAAGAGAAGAGTGGATCGTCTTCATCTTCATCATCATCGAATAAACTGATTTTTTTACTTGAAATATCATAGGTGTCTGGAATAATAAGGGTAGCATTTTTGAAGAATCCAAAATATTGTTTTTCCATTTTAAGTATTAACAGCACATCAAATTACCTGTTTTTCGCGATGGAACAGTTTCGAAAATTCCTTTCGTATCTACATCAATGTTGTTGTCATTGATTACATCTGAAATGAATTCCTTTTCGGCAACTTGAGCATTATTGGAATGGGAATCTTCCGAATTTTTCGTTTCCTCTGACTTCCCTAATAATTTCGAATCAGATTTTTCAGTCGTGTTGGAAAACATTAAATTATCTTCATCATCGTAATCGAACAAACTATTTTTTTTGGTTTTATTTTCATTGGCACCTAAAAAATAATCAAATTTAAAACGTAATACACAAAATTTCTTTGTTAATCTCACTTATGTTGTTATTGGAACTTTCATCTTCGCTATCGAATAAGCTTATCGCCTTTTTATCGATTTTTTTCTTGTTATAGTCAAATTCTACATTATCATCATCATCATCAAAGAGACTATAATTTTTCGTTTGCTTGGTGTTCGAAAAAATATCATCTTCATCATCTTCATTGTCATCGAAGAGACTGCTTATTTTTTTGTTAACGTTGTTTTTGTTACTATCAAATAGACTTGTAGACGATTCGTTCTTTGGAAAACTGGCCTCTTCCTTTGGCGAATCCTTTTTAGTGTTCGGTTTATTTACATTAGTATCATGCAGTTGAGGTTTGCTGAATATATCTCCAATATCTTTTTCTCCAAATATCGAAACAGCTCCTACTGGTTTCTGAAGATTAAAATATCCTATAATTTTAGGAATACAGAATTCTATTTGTTAGTATACTTTTTTTGGTTGTTCGACGAATTTTTGGCTATTTTCCAAACTAGGCGGTTCTTCATCGAATAGAGGAACAATAGGTTTATTAGGCAGCAGTATCGTAGGTTTATTGGCGGGAATTTTCGTTTTTGGATTGAATAAATCGTCATCGCTACTGTCGCTATCAAACAAACCTTTCGATACCTATAAATGACTGTTAATAAACAGCAAAAATAACAATAACTCTGAGTATAACCTGCGATGATTTCAGCATATCTCTGTTAACCTTTAAATTCGATTCACTTTTAATACCTTCATTGGGCTTTGAAGATTCTTGCCAAAACAACGAATTATTATCTTCATCATCAAAAAGTTGCTTTTTCACTATAGGTTCTTCTGATATAATTTCATCTGAATCATTCAGAGGAGGCGGCTCATCAGCGAACAATCCAGCTGTGGAAACAAATCGACTGATCAAATGCGAATACACAAATTATTTTTAATAATTATACCTGAAAATGGGTCAACCATCTGCTTTTGAATAGGCTTTTTATTAACATTTTCGTCTCTACTTATCACATTATCCAATTTGGCTGCAAGCTGCTCGGCAAAGGTTAAATTAGATACGGGAGCCTTTAAAATAACACACCGTTAATAACAATCGAACCAATTTAAAGTGATGGATCTCGATATTTACTTGAGGAACAGACGAATTAGCATTTTCGCTATCTTCGCTAGATATTGTGGACTCTTGTTTTACTGTTGAATTTGCTATCAAGTCATTATCGTTCATTTTATTTGAGAATTCCAATTCAGAACTCGTTTGTGACCCATTGAACTAGAAAAAATAAGTTTATAATTTATTTAATTAGACAGTTGGTGGGTATATATTACCAAGTCTTTGGGTAGATCTTCATCTGAGCAACTTCCACTGTAGATTTCTGAAGATTCGTTCGAGTCCAAGTCGTCATCTTCATCTTTAATGTACCAATTCTTGTACCATTCATCTGAGCCGATCAGAGGTGGAAGTTGCCGGTCTTCGTAAATATCCTTCTCTTTCAATACGAAACTATAATTTTGCATAACTTATTGTTAATTTGTAATGAGTATTTTAAACACTTACCTTTTTTCGAGCTCGTCTTCGCTATCACTCCCAGAAATTTCTAACGTTTCATAGTACTCATCGAGGAGTTTAATTTCATCTGTTAATGATATATCGCTCTCATTGTCTTCTGGTTTTGTGGACGTTTCATCGTCCACGTCTTTACTATCGAGCGCTTCATCATCATCGTACACTCTGCTCTCTATGAACTGGGTGTTTTTCAAATTTTGGAATTCATTCTGGCATATATCTAGCTTAAGACTAACTTCATCTAAACCATGCAATAGGTTATTAACGTTATCATTAAGAATATCAGCTTTGCTTAGCAGATTCTGAAAGGTAGAGTTGGTATAACAAAATTATTACATATTTTTTTAGGTAACTTACGTTTGCAAATGATTTAATTGTATTCAATAAAGCGACATCGCCAGCTAATGACCAGTTATCGGAATGTTTTATTATCTCTTCTGTTGACCATTGTTTACTTGTATTTTCGCTCATTTTGATTAATTATTAATAAAACCGCTATTACCTATTCTTATTTACATTATTTTTCTTTTTCGAAATGGAAATGAATTGTCACTGTCAATGTCAAATAGACATTTGACATCATATTTCTTCTGATTCTCATTAAAACCATTTACATTGTAGTAGGACATTAGCTAAATTTATGTCAATTGTCAATGAGTTCAATTTTATCTTCTTTTTTCGAATATAGAATAAAAATAAAAAAGTGTCAAAAAAATAAAGTTGCCGCGCTTTAGTTCCGATCTCTGTTACTAAAACCGAATTAATTTGTTTTAAAACTTGTTAATTGTTCACTATTCATTATTTTTCTGCCAATTTAATCTTAAGACAATTACCGAAGCAATAACATGGGGGTAAGTACAACATTTAAGTCGATTGCACTCGTTCCTAAACTAACTGATTTTCCAGCGAAAATCGGCATCGAGCAGCGCTAAGAGCAAAGAAAAACGTTTGCAAAGAAAGGACGAACAAATTCGAATAAGCCAGGCGATGGCAGTCGTAGCGGCAGCTAACAAACTAGCAGATCCTCTAGAACCATTCCCGGTCTTCAGGAAATTCAACAAAAACGGAATTTCAGCCGAATTGTACGTGAAAAAAGTAACCGATTTGGATCAGAGTTTAAAAGACTGGGCATTTGGCCTGACTAAAAAGAATATGCAACAGAAGTAAGTTCTACAAAGCGATTAGTATTAAACTTAACGTAACGGTGTGGTAACGAGATACATTCTATTATAGGTACGAACAGTGTTCTTGGGGCTGGAGTGACACGAAAAAATTAGATGAATTAACTGACGAAGCAGCTTGGTACCTCGTAGCTGCAAGTTTGGATGGAAAACCGCTTGGTTTCGCTCACTTTCGGTTCGATTTGGACGAAACTCTCGAAGTTCTTTACTGGTAAGAGACTTGTTACGAAGAGAAAAATAGAAAGGTCCACGAGTAAATTGCATCTCAACACTGGTAGATAATAAAATGTGATTTTGATTGTGTAAAATCCTGTTGTAACTGTTCGATTTCCTTTCAGTTACGAATTACAATTAGAACCGGGTTTCCAGAGGAACGGTTTGGGCAAGTTCATGATGCAAATATTGGAATTGGTAGCTTTTAAAAATAATATGCGGAAAGTGGTTTTAACTGTGCTGAAGAACAACCAGCATTCGAAATTCTTCAAAGCTCTCAAGTATGTATTTTTAATCTTCTTATTTTCCTCAACATTGTGTTTTCATTATACAGGGTGTCCCGCATAAGAATCGACAAAGAACAGGGGCTTATAGGGGAGTCTAAAAAACCTTCTTTAATCCAACTTTAACTTGGTACAACCAATTTTTGCAAGGCGATTTTTAGTAACATTGATTGTGTACATGATTTTTTTTTAGTTTTTTATCAAAACAGCGATAATTTTAAAAGACAGAAAGAAAAAAAAGTTTTAAAATGAAATTACCTATAAAATTAACTAATATTTTTTTTAATTATTCATCAGGTAAAAAAATCTGTAACATTTTAAGGGAGCATCGTCCCTGATGAACCCTTTAATTTAGATCAATTGATCTCTTCTAATTATAGATTAGAATGTAACTTAGTATTAAGTTAACTTAGGTTAAGCAACATGTTTTGGGCTCTCCTACTTGACCCTGCTCTGTCGATTTTTATGCGGGACACCCTGTATAAATTAAAAATAAAAATATGCAGTTTAATTACATTTGTTATTAATTTTTTTAGCTATAATTTCGACGAATCGTCTCCATTAGACGACGATGAAGAATCCTTCCCTTATGAAATTTTAAGTAAAGCTAACAAGAGATTACAACCACCGGCAACATCTGCGAAAATTCACGGCTCAAATCATTGTTGCTCCGGCCACGACCATCATCACTAAGTTTATTTTCGACTTCAATAATTTATAATACCGATTGACTTAAGTATATGTAATAAAATATTTTTAACATGCGTAATATTTATGCGATTGTAATCGAATGGGATAATAAGAATGAAACAAGCAGGAAATTAGTTCTAGCAATCAAAAGAAGGAGGTGCTTAACGATGCATTTATTTCCTACTTGTTTTATTTATTTTTAATAAATTTTACAATTGAATTTTTAATTATGTGTTAAGTTTTAGTGTTAGAGTAGTTTTAAGTGTAGTCGTGTAGACGGAATGGTACGAAAAAGTGGTTATAAGAAATTAATTTTTTAAATATAGAATGATTGATAGAAAACGTGTAACCCACATATTCCATAAAAAACCTATAACTCGTAAAAGTAGATTATATAGGTAACAAACGTTACCATGTGCATGCTCAAATTATCGATTCGGCCTTTATTCCCAATTTAAAATGACAATCGCTTCTAAAAGATAGTTTTTCCGATTACATTTTTCTATATATTCCTCGTATAGACGTCAACACGAAAGTCGAGCTAATAAGTCATCCCATTCCTAAAATCAGCGGCGGTTCTTCATGAATAACCCTCATTTATTCGCCCAGCTCATCTGAAATTACTAATGTAATCGCTGTTCCTAGTTATGATTAATGATTATATCAACCCTTCAAATCCATTTCCTTAACATCCGGCAGCGGGATTGTTATTAAATTAGTTGATTGGAAATTTGGGCGAAGGCGCCGTCGCTGGTTCACTAAAGGGTTGAATGTGAAAACCACCCTCGAGTCGACCCCCCGGTCTCCGGTCGGTACCCGACACCGGCCGCTCTCATTATTAGGTTAGTGAAACGTATCGGAATTTCGGCCACTTTGTTTAGGAATTTCGCCGAATACAGTGCAGTGAGTTTTTCTATAATTCCCTTACATGTTATTTGTTACATTTCAGTTGTTAAAACGTAGTATTTTAGATGTTGTTTTTGTAATGCATGCTTTTAAACCGAGTTAAGAGAAGTTGAAGTATTTAAAAAAATAATTTCATTACAGTATACAATTGTGCATGAACTTCATTATTTACATCTTTCTTTCAAATAAATTGAATCCACAGTAATTTCCAATTATATTAGCTAGTACTAAAGAGAATGTTGGTGGACGAGTCAGTTCAAACGAACAGGGAAATGGAAAGGAAAACCTTCGAGGAACGCGTATTCAAGGAAGGAATGGAGCTGTGGATGCGACAGAAGGAACACGAACTGAAGAGAAGGAATCAAGAAAGAAAAGAGGTAAAAAACAACATTAATTTAACTACTCTACGAGCGCATTTCTTAATGTCCCTTAGATGAAGGAAATGCTGGAAAACTATTGGCCTTGGGGAAACAGAAACGACTCGAGACCTCGAGGACTCAGAAATCTCAGACTCGAAGAATTGTTTCCTAATAAAGACTATATTAACGTACGTACTAAAAATTTAATTTTATTCTACAATCTACAATAGTATTGTATAGGCAAAAAGACACGTCGGGGTCCTCGATTTGGGCCGGCAAGGAGGGGGAGCCCCGATTTTCAGCAACGGCAACAAACTGACCAAAACCCACGAAGACCCAGCGCTGCGATTCCAATTCGGTAGCAAGGATCTCAGAAAGTGCGTAGACAATAATCTCAGATATAAAACGAATCGACAACAACAGCAGGAATACAAGAAGGAATTAGGTCGGCTTATACTTTAACTAATAACATTCATTTAAACAAGATTCTATTGAGTAGGTTTTTTCTGTATACAGATAAATTAGTCGAAGAGAAGAGACACAAGCGATTGGCGGAAAAAGACGAGGAAAAGCGATTCCAAGAGGAACGAGTAAGTGCCCTTCGCTGCTTCGGTTATTTAATTACTGTATGTATCGTTTTTTGGGTTAGTCAAAGAAGGCTTACCTTTGGGGACAGCCCGGCCCTGGCGGAAAACCGTGGAGAAAACCTAACGCGATAGGTCGACAATTTTATCAGTCATTGGTACGGCTACACGTACGTGTAGCATCCGCAACGGGCTGGTCACGAGCCGATTTATTTTTATTCGGTGAATCCCCTAAAAGCTTTAATGTTTTCACCCAGTTTTCTGCAATATTTCGCTGGTCAGAGTGATTCCCCGGATGAATTGCTATCGAAATTCTTGTGGCCAGCCTAGTACATAGATAATCAGGGTTGTTCGTTAGAATTTATTGAGTAATATGACCTAATTTTAGTGTGTTTATAATGAGTACTAATCGAGAACAACTCTGTCTATAGTTTTTAGTATGTACCTATTTTAAAACGCAGGGTATTTTATAGGGTTTGCTAATAATTGGAAAATATTAATAGACGTTTTAATTAGATACCTACAAAATTTACGGGAGCTGGTTTACTAAACATGTGTTTTACTTACCCTGTTTTTTACAAAAGTTTCCACACGCCTACCTAGTTTTCCGCTTACAACATACGCTGAAGTAATTAACTTAACTTAACTATTTAATTTCGATATTTTTTGTAGGGATGGTCCGATGAAAGAACCCTTAAAAATATTCAATCTCATGAACCACAAGAAACCAAATACCAATCAAATGAAATTAAAAATAGATGTGACAAGATATCCAACGAAAATTCATCCAATAAACCATCTTCAAGGTTATTGGAAACGTGTTTTTCCTAAACAGTTTTTTACATAAACTCGTGTAACTTTCAGATTAGCTCCATCCACGTATCACAAGAAGAACTTCATCCCCGTTGGCAGGAATCGAAAACTCTCTCCCTTATCGCATAGTAAGGACGACGGTGTAGAGTTGGTGACTTTATTAGCCAAGGATCGAAAGTATCCTCCCAGGATTCCTTTGTGCAGTTCTGATATAACGTCTGAGAAGAAAATGGGCAACGGGTTAGTATTATTTATAATCTTTCTCAGTGCAATTCTCATTCTCATTTTTGCTCGTATAAAATTTTCTAAACCTTTTCAGAACGCTAAGAATCTGGAACAGACAAGGATCGGCCTACTTGAGAGCACTAGGAGAGCAAATGACGAGTAAACAGGAAAAAATTAAGGTAGGTACATTGAAATTTTATCATATTCAATGGATCCGAAAAGTGATTTTAATGTATTTGTTCATTTAAAGGAATTTAAAGCTAATGAATTGGAAAAAAGCAAACAACACTTCTCCACATGGTCTGGATTTTGGGGAAGGCCTGGCAATGGAGCTCCCCTTTCGGATCTCAGGAAGAGGTGCTTGGATAACATGCTGTATCCAAAAATGACTCCTATAGGTGTTCATTAGAAACTTCCAGTATTTGTGGGATAATTGAAGTTAGTTTGCTGTAGATTGTAAATATAAATTGTACTTAATTAAACGAATTATGCGTTAGTTAAATTGCAATAAAAACGATTACACTTCGAGTTATTAGTGTTTATAATGATTGTTGTAAATTGAAATTTTTTAATCCAATTTTTGGAATTTTGTGAGAAAATAATTTAGGTGTTATAATTCCAATTGAAATACAAAAAAGCCAACTAAAATTAGCTAAGCATGTATTAAATCACATGAAATTGTTATAATTCTTCACAACAGGCTTTTATCTTACAATAAATTCTAAAATTCTAAACTTTTTACAAATGATGTGTTTTACGTTTTTTTATTCATAGCAAACGCTTTTACAAAGAACCAGAGAGATGTAATATAAAACACCATTATCAAACACAATGTTGAAATGAACAGATGGCGATCCAAATGATGTATTCGCGTTTCAAACGCAATTTTAATTGCAAAGTTTGGTATTACTGTAGACGAGAAACAACTCGGATTCTGTGAAACTATGTGAATATTTAGACGAACTACATAAAAAAATAAAAACTCGCTGAATTCCTATGTATGTACATTTTGTTTACACGTATTTTCTCCAAAGAAAAATGAATCGGATGATTTTATACAATTTGTGTTTTTTAACTTTCGTTAAATTTTTTATTGTTCCGGTGAAACTGCGTTGATCGATCGTATCTCGACGACTTGGCCTGTTTACCGTGGTTCCAAGGCTTCAGCTGGCGCAGCTCCTTTTCCAAAAGGGCATCTTCTTCCACCGCTTGCGCCTCGGTCTTCGGCGAAATTATCGATACTGCTATATAAGCTCTGGGATTTTTGCTTGTATTGTCTGGTTTTCCTAAAAAAATAATAATCAATTACTGTAACTGCAGTGAGATGGAGTTGACAAGAGGAAAAAATCCTTATTTTTAATGATGAAGAAGAAAAGTTATAAAATCATCAGATTCCAGCTGTTAATATGTCAAACTCATTTTTTAGTAGGATTTTAAATAAATCATGATTTTTCTTCGTAAAATTAAAAATTCAGCTTTTTTTTCTCTTGTGAACCTTTTCCAGGGACACACTGTATACTCTTGTTTTGCTATTTTTTGATGAATTTTTGATGAATATGGAAATATTTTAATTGTAATTTATCAGGAAAGCATACTGTTCTGTAGGCTCAAACATTACTACAGCAAAAACAGTAATTTACTAAGAAATTATTCTTGTATTAGTGCATTTTATACGGAATAAATTACATAAAAAAATATTGTAATAATTGTTTTATATTGACTTCTTCTTTCTTACCGGTGACTCGATGATATGTGAAGTTCTTCGGATATGTTGGTTTATTCGGTTTCTTTTTGAAGTTTTCCGAACTTTGCTTGCCTTGCGATCGATTTTCGTTTATTGTTGCATACGTACTATTTACACTTTGTACATTTTCCTCGAGATCGAAAATCGGCCACTGCTTTTCCGTGCTTTTCTTTGCCTCGTACTTCTCCGTCGTAGTTAAAAAAATTCTCTTCACATTATTTTCGCCGATATTGTTCTCAGATTCGTTTGATAAAGCTCTCAGCTTTGTCACGACGTTTATGGACGTTTTAAGATCCTGATCTATTGTTTCTGAAAGAATAAAGGGAATGTAAATAGTAAATTTAATTCGCTAAATTTTATGTAGATAGTATAATTAACATTTAATAAAAGTTCTGCGGTAATGACGAATTATTTCACGAATTACGCCTATATTACCGGAATGAGAATTGAAATTAATGGGTTTTGTTATGTTTATGGTCAAACTATAACGTTAATGTTATAATCAATATCGGCATTTTCCCTTAAATCGCTTCACAAAGCGAGTTTCCGTCGATTTAATCTACATAAAAAATAAAAAAAAAAGTCGCAAAGCTTAGCGGTAGATTTAGGTAGGTACCTACATGCCATACGCTATTTTTAAATTTATGTACACGTAGGTACATTAAGGACAAATATAATTTACTTTTAAAGATTCTATTCGACACGTAAGGTAGCAATTTAAAGGCGATTATTTATTAATTTACAATTTTTCTAAATTGCCTAGATATGGTACAGAACGTGCGCTAGCCTCACAAATAATTAGTACCAGATATTTCGGCGAAACCTGTGCGGATTCACATGCATAATTAACATTTCCGGACAAGTCCTCATCAAATTTTCGCTTCCGGCAAATTAAAGCAGCGTACACCAATTATGCACTGATGTATCCATTAGCCCCAGCTCTTTTATAATTCACGATTCAAAAGAAGTTTTTGAACTGCGGTTTCCCATTTGTTTTGATGCAAATTGGATTGTTTATTATTATATGTAGGATGTTTACAAAGCTATTAATCCATTACGGTTACATGGAGTTTGCATGCTAAATCCGATGTTCGTAACATTGGCAGGTATTATAGTAATCGTATCAAAAGCCGAATGGTTCTATACGGTGGTCCATTAAAAATTGCAATATTTAGCTCTATTTTGGGACACCACAGGTGTGCATGAAAATATGGTGCAATATAGCGAACTTCTCTAAAAAATTTCAATCAGGCATGACGGATCCTGTATGAACAATACCTAGACAAAGTAACAGTAATTAATTCACGCTGATGCTTATCCAGCTTGTCATTGCCTTCACCGCGCGAAACTGTATTCGACAAACTGATATTTAATTCATAGTGACTAGCCAAGTTTCATCCTTCTTTCGAGAGTTTTCCAAAGATTGTCGCGGACCCGAAAGTTTGGTGTCGTTTCTTTCGAATTTGACTTTGCATAATTGAACGCGGCGAGCGAAATAACTGAAATAAAGAGCCGGAGGTCGCTTCTATATTTTATCCGGCTTAATTACCTTCTTCGCAAAACGCTCTAATAATGTAATACTCACGTAATAAGTTGTGTACTTTGTACCACTGATCCGGATGAGAGGCGATCCTGACCATTAACTCGAGCAGGAGCTCGCTGGCGTTGAGTCTTTCCGGAACGATCTGGAAAATGTCGGATTTAAAAAATAAAGTTAGAAGTTAGAAGAATATAATATTTTGCGGCGCTCTATTTTAACTTAATCTCTAAGTTGCTCGGGACGGCGTACACAAAGATATTTTGAGATAAAGCCACTGTCGAATAATGGATTCAGGGAAGATGCTCCCGATACTTTGAAAGTTTCCTCACAAACCTGCAATTCTGAAAAGAAAACTCAACAAAACCTGCAAAAATAACGAATTTATGGCCGGCATGGTTCATTGTCGAAACCGCCATTCGGGACGGCGAAGCGATAACTTCGAGGCGCGAGTGTTGCGAATAAATATCGGGCGAACGCGGTCCGAAATTTGCGACGCGGCGCTCGTTACGCCCGCCCAACTTTCATAATATGCAGACGACGATGAAAATCGCCTCGACAGCGTATGCACTGCAAGTACGTGCGCTTTTTGCGCGTTCTTTTCCGCCCGAAAATTTCGGACCGCCACTTCGTAGGATACAGGCCGCGCGTCCAACTTTCCCACTTTCGGCTTTTCGACGATATCGTAATAGCCGGTCGCGTTAATTAGAAATTCCGGGGAAATTTCGGATGTGCCGGCGTGATTTGTCGATGCAGGCGAATGGTTTTATTAGTACCTACCTACTTATTTGATGGAAAAAATGATATGAAGTTTGGTGAGCGCGATTTGCTTGTTCTAAGTGCTGAAAGTTTTCCAAAAATTTTATTAAAAATAGACCAGTGTTTAATATAATGAAATTGATGATAGTTCTGCAGAAACGAAACGTTTGAGACAAAAAATAATGGCATTTTCCTTTAATAGATAAAGATTCTATAGATAAAGATCCTTTAAAGAAAGATTCTATATGTGAATCAAAGATTGTAGATACCGCCAAGTTACTCTTTCTGACATGTTTGTGAGATGAAGAATTTCGAAACTTTAAAAAGAGTTTATTTATATTATTTATTTATAAGTTTATTTATATTATTTTTAGCGTATATTTATACCTATTAGAAGACTAAAGGTCTATGGGAAAAGAAAGGAACTGTTTTCAAAATAATTTTACCAACGGTTTCGTCTGAAAAAAAGCAAAAGGTTTGCTAAATTTTGTATGAAATAGAATAGCAACTCATATCTTATGAATTACTAATTTTATTAGTAGTTTTGCATTTGTAAATATGCTTTAACTTTTCAATTTCTTAAAACAAACATAGTTTCTCTCCTCTACTAAAAATTGAACGGTGAACGTTTTATTCATCGAAAATTCATCAAATCTCGGACAATTTCAAACGCCATAACAATTTTTCGAAATGTATGATGCCGATTAGTTCAATTATACCGCTTTTCAGGTCAACCAACGCTTTTAAATTGCTTTTAGCAACCTTTTCCTAAAGGAACCTTTTACCTGTATTATGACACCATTTGATTTTAGGAATAAGATTAAAGGACACTTTATCCTAAACCTTCCTCTTGTTAGAGGATACATTAACACTTTATTATGAAATCGACCCTTTCAGTTTTTCGAGGTACAAAAATAAAGCGACAAAAACATTGTTATTTAAAATAACAAATCAATTTAAAATATGTTTGCTCCAGTATAATATCCTCCCAATTGTGCAACTTTTTCCCATTTAACCATTGCGGATCCCCACGCTATTCATCCTTATCCGGGGCACATTGTATTATGATACACATGAGTTTTGTTGAAAATAAAGCAGCGTTCGGAAAATTTTCATATGCCTATAGGCCGGCGTTATCCTCGTAAGTATGCGTATAAATCAATAAAATGCCCAATGCTGGCCTGCAGAGAAACGTTATAACGTTGTAATTTGGTTTATGTAATAATTTCCATCTGTTCCCCTTTGTAATGGATTCTACATGCTGTATAATATCACCTTGTATACAGACGAATTTAATAGACCACATCAAAACCTTCCTGCGGATCGGCGTTATCCCAGCTGACACCCCGGTTTTAATGCAATTTAACACGATGCGTTCCTATCCGTGAAATCTATATTAATGACGCTACTCGTTGTCAAGATTAATGTATTTAATATTTTTTAATTACTAACGTAATTTAAGAAATTTCCCTATGGTATGTTACTCCATAGTTACAGGTATTCAATTATTAAGTACAAGTAAATTTGATCGTTTCTCTTTATTATCAAAGGAAACATAAAATGCTGCAACGTTCATATAGGATGAAACTACATTGTTGTAAATGCATGTCAGGGAATTCCCTATTACATTTCGTAGACATGTTTTGCCGTAATTGAACATGCATATTCCCTTTATTGTGCGCTTAGCGTCAGTTAAGGTATTATTGCACTAAAGAGTTAGCAACTAAACCACACTGTAATTGGCGGGTCGGTCCGATACAGTTTTACGTACTAATATAAATTCGTCGATGTGACGATGCATTAATTAATTTTTTCCTGCGACTTTTCCAATTCCTATAGTATAAAAGTAGATAATAAATATTCATGCAGCCATTCAAAAACTTTATTATTGCGAGGAAAAAACATCCTACGTGCCTGACTGCGAATTAATTATTGTCATCGCGCGAAATGTAAAATATGAATTCGGAGAAGGCTTGAATACTAAAATGCGGAACTAAGAGGTCGGGAATGGGATGCTTCTGAAAAATCAAGTGCAAGCTTGTTCACCTTCGGTTTCATTAATTGCACCACAGAAGTGCTATTAATCAATAAAAAGTCTGTGCAATAAGTCTATGTGTGTAGTATGTATATTGGTTTAAAAAACTAGAGAAGGAACTAAGTTATAGGTTGTATATTGTTGTAAGAAAATAAAAAAATGGTGCATAAGCTTGTTCGATCGCAGGACGTCTAAAACATAATCAAAAAAATTCGTCCCTGGTAATAGAATTCGTCACTTCCTCCATTTTTCACCGTTTCCATGCCGTTACCTCCGCAGCGAAACGCTCAGTCAAATTTTCCCAATTTAGTGCATACTTCTAAAAAGAAATATATCGTCGAGAGGAAGAATGACTACATTTTTTTATCGCACACGTCTCACGTGACGTGATGAGTCGAAAACGTCGCATTTTTATCCAAACTTTTATTTTTCATTTTCCTGCAAGCGCCAAACTAAAGAAAGTATTCTCTCGAATCATGCGAACCTGCAAAGCTGCACGGGGGCTCGGGGAGATTCCCAAACGAGCGCAATAAGAGGAATAATAATAAAAGACCCTTTGGGTTATTTCCACGGAGTTTTGTACTTTCAATAGTTAGGCGAGTTTTACTCTGAAACAACACAATATCTACCTATCCACTTAAAGCTACTATTTTTTATTTATATAATATCTTTGTACACCTAATTTAACTTCTACAAGATGATGTAAATGTTAAAAAGTTTTTGTAGACTTCATTTACATATAAAACACCCTGTACAATTAATTAAAGTACAATAACGTAGTGTAGAAATTTAAGTTATTCAGGACACCCTGTTGAAAAAATCGACCAGCAGTTTGCCAGCTCGACATGGCTCAATTTTATCGCATCTTCGAGATTTCATCCGGGGCGTTCTGTTGGGTAAACAATCGCCCGATGCGATGAAAATGAGAGAGTGGAATTTTTTACGGTAGAATTTTTTTTTTCATACACCTTCGTTGCAAACGGGACGAATTCAATGGGAAACGAGAGCTGTTAAAGGGGAGCCGATCTCCCGCACAAAAGGAGAAACGTTATTCCTGGGAGAAGTACCTAAATCGAATCGGCGCAACAACAAGAAGGATTTCTTTAATGTTGAAATTAAGCAATTCGATAAAAGCGGAAAAGAATTACCCCGGCTCGTAAACGATAGAGTAGATAGTCTTGTTGGATTCGGATTTACTAGATTTCTATATGTATGTTTGTCTGTCTGTCGTGAGCGAGGATGTATGTTTGTAACGTATTGATTCGGTATTGCATTATTCAATTGAACCTTCAGGCCCAACCTTATTGATAAATATTTTCAAACTGTGAACCTTCTAAATTTCTAACAATTATACAGAACTAGCATTTTATGAGATACAAAGTATGTCATTTTCCTTCATGTAACGCTATCGGTTTTAGGCCAGTTCATTATTACAAGATGTTGACGTACTTTGATATATTATACATCTTTAGAACTCGCTTTTATAAATACTTTGCAATGCTAATTCAGCATTCTGCGGAGACAAGTTACTTACTGTGTGTCGTTTTTAGTTTTTTTAGATATTTTCTTTGTTAGAATTTTCCGCCTTAATTACAAGCTAAAGTCGGAGTAGAAATGGCGTTGGGTATGTAAGAGAGTGAATATGCTGGTAACAATGCTGAATTAACCTTTCAAAAGTTTTGAGTGTCTGCTAGGCTGAGATCAAAAATAGTCGGAAACAAAGAATAAAATCTTGATGAATTTAATTAGGTTGAACGTTAATAAATTAGCCTACAAACTATTAATTAATATTTAATAAGTACTTATGCCTCAAATAAAAAGTTTCCTAACAAAGTAAGACCATTAAATTAAGGGAAAAAAAGTTAAATTCCTTTAATGAATTAATTATTCCCGCTCTTGTTGATACGTTCATTCAGCTAGTTAATTAATGAAGCCGGCTCTTGAAAATATTAATTTCAAAACTCATTAATTCGTTTTAAATTTACCCCGGTCTTTTGCATAACCGGAGTGCGAGTAAACAAGTATAATTTGTTAATATTCAAAAAAGGACCGTATTTAGAATTCTTATTTGCACGTGCTTTGCAAATTCAAACCAATTAATCAATTAACTAAGTCACGCGTAAATAACACAATGTGTGAGTATATTTGCGGTTGTAAATTACCATATTGCAAAATGATTCCAATCAAAATATCAATATGTATTCAATATCTATGTATGTATGTAAGTCTCATTGTTAGTTAAAATATATGATTAATTAATTAGTATATTTAAGATATATTCACGTTTTTATTCATATACATATGTAGGTATTGTATTTATTCAAAATATATTAACTTTCAAATAACATTCACAAATTTATTTTTAGAATGACTAATTATTGAGGACTTGCGATAATCCGTAAATGGTCATTTTACTTCAGATAAATCAAATTTATTGCATAATTAAATTTTGTATTTTGTATTTTGTATTATTGAGAACTAAATAATATTACATTTCTTGATTGATAAGGAAATACTTTTACTTTTACTTACAAAGTCGTACGAACTTTATGAACACATTAAATATTTTTGAGAGTATTTTAACAATAAAATAAAATTGATACGCCCATGAGACCAATCTTTACGAATATCGAATCGACTTTTATGGTAATTTGGGACTAGAAAACTATAAATATTCTCACGATTGCGATTAGTTTACAGCAGATAAAATTTTCTTTTACATAACATAACTTAGGTAATCTACAAAAGTAATCGATTGTGTTTAATCAAAATGTTCAAATTACTATTCCTGACTTTGTGTGTTTTAGTAGCTTATTCAAATGCTGGTAAGTACTTACAATAATCAATTAATTAATTATCAATTCTACCTTTCCCACATTTTATTACATTTTTTGCTGTTATTATACATATTTAATTAATTCTGTAATTTAAGAATCTGTTACCGAATGTAAATTGACCAGTGGTCAAGTTGTAAAAGTAGGCGAAGAAGTTCCCGAAATTGGAACATGCAATATAGTCACTTGCCACAAAGATGGAAGTATTTCCGCCTTAACGTAAGTAACTATAACTTATTTATCATCTTTTATTCCTAATAAATAATTCAAATAAAATACTTCTGAATGTTATAAATAGCTGAGACTGAGACAGATGGTGTGTATGTTTATTGAAATGTTTTTTTTTATTTTCTTTAAGCCTTGGTTGAATTATTCAAATTATATATTTTTATAAATATGGTACATACTGATAGATTTTATTTTAGATGTCCTGCATTCAAAGTGGCACCGCCCTGTTATACTAAAAAGGGAGACCCCACCAAATTGTACCCGGATTGTTGCGACTCGCCAAAATGCCCTTAATTGTGTAATTAAAAATATCTAATCATTGTATGTAATAATTAATTGAATTCATTCATCATAAAAAATTTTGAATAAATTTTGCAAAATTAACGCCTATATATTATTTTTTAAATCTAATTTTATTCTTACACGTTATTACAAACTCGCCCTTTTATCATTTTTATTCCATTTATATTTACTATATATACATATTGATAACTTTGTAAATAAAAATAGATATATTCACGATAACAGTCGATTGACAAAACGACTCCGGTTTCGGCGTTTCCACGGCAAATAAACCGCAAAATTCAACAATTTATCCGCGATTTTCAATATCGAACGCTCTGCTACGTTTCTCAACCCCAATACATTACTGAAACCTCAATAATTGCCCCTAGGTCAGCGGCGATTCCATTCGCAAATCGATCAGAGCGCACTCATTCGCCCATGAAGTTATAACATTTGACAGCGAAATCCCTTGAAAAGGATACGTCGATTTCCAATATTGTTGCCAATAAGGGACTCAATTGAGTATGCACGACCGATCGCATCGTCCGGCGATAAGATAAGATTGAAAGTTTTGATAAGGGAAGAGGGCCGGCAGGGGGGCAGGTTGTTTTAAAAAAACATATCGAATCGGCAAGAAACGAAGCGTATACCCTTGTTGAATAAACAAAGGGTTCATGCACAAAGGGCGATGGAAGTTGATGAAGGTGAGTGTTTGTTGTCCGAAGGGAATACAAGGGAACGGCGACATGTCTTGCTCGAAAGGTTGTCGAAACTCGCGCTTCTGGTTTTTTGATGTTGTTGACATAGTTTCATACATTATATATTCAAAATGATGAATTAATGTATAATGTAGGGTAAGATTATACACTTATGTATTAGGGTAATTGGCGATTTTGATTTGAACATCACGGAGATGTCAGGTCTTGACGCCTAAAGTATTTCATCAATTGATGCAATTCAGTAGAATAATTCTAAAGATTTTAGAATATATGTTCTAACGTTTTATCTAACACCCTTTTGAAACAAATTTTTCAACACATTTTTGTGAATCATCTCTCGGGAAAAATAATTGCTTCACGGCACTCGAGATCAATCCTGCACAAATAAATTTCAACAGATCCACCTCCGGCCATCGGGAATGCACAAAATCTACTCTAGTCAAATAAAAAAAAAGAAGTCGGCGACAACTCACCTTCGGCTTCTGCGTCGTAACCTCCGGATCGACTCTCGTTACCTCATATCTGGAATTGTTATTGATTAGCCCCATCAGGAATTCATAGCTTCGCTTTTCTCGGACTTTCGTATGGATATCGCGATTGTTCATGGCCTCATGCGAGTCCGGGGTTCCGGACGCTTCCATCGACGAATCGTTCGACGACTTCATCTCGCCGTCCAGACGCTGAAAATCGTCAGGATTACAATTTCATTTCGTTTATGCGATGAAATGTTGACGTTTCGAAAGCATTCGACGGGCGATGAGCCGCGTTTGATCCGCATTTTTATGCGTCTCGTGTTTGAATGTGTTAACTGCGCGAATAAAATGTATTCGGGAAGATCGAGGACGTTATCGGAAAACTTTCCTAATGGAAGTTGCCTTAGTTGCGTAAGTTTAAAGGCCCTAATTATCCTAAAGCAGCGGATAAATTCACATCGGCTCGTAATTCGGTTACATAATCTCGTTAAAGTGATTTTCCGGAATGGCCTGTTACGGTTAAATTGGATAACGTACGATTAATTTTACATCAGTAACCGTCATAGAGGCTACATCATGGGATTATCTCTTCAGTACGCCTGTCTTTTGTTAATAAATTAATCTCTATAGAGCAAAATTTCATTCGATCGGGCTTTACATTGCACCAACCCGTAGACCGGTTATAGACTAAATTAGTTATTACAATGCGCCTTTGTAAAGCCTTTTTACCCCACGAATCCTGAAAAGTTAGTCAACCCAACTTGCATGTTTGGTATAAATAAATGTAAAATGCGATATAAAACATCGTCGAGAGAATTGTATGACGGTAGAGCCCTTTTCTCTTTTGTACAACATTTTCTTTCCCATCATCATCATGATTTATTCAATTTAAGTTTCTCTCCTAAAATAAATTTGATCGTGAGCAAGTTATACAATTTCTTTGATGACTTTTTACGCGTCGACGCCTGTTTCTAATCCTAAGGCGTTCAATTTTTTGGTAAGCGCCTTTCCGGCGCGGATTACGCTCGCTTTGCATAAAGGAGAAAGGATAACGGGCCCCCTAATCAGGGGGTATCTCGAATACCGCATAATAAGATACCTATTTAAGTATGTCGACCGCCGTCGCTCGAGCTTTCACGCCGTGAAAAGCTTCTTCTTGCAATATTCAAGAAGTTCGCTGATAGGGTTAGTTTTCAATAACGTTTGGTTTGTGAAATGCGGTGGAAATTTATCACCACTGTGAACTTGAAGATTCGTAATAATGTATGTACCTACATATATTTTTATTCACCCTACTATTGAATATTCCTTGCTTAATGCTATATCCCATTATGTTACCTCATTGTTCATCACTTTATAAATAACTGATTTTTCGCTGATGGAATAAATCTCGAGTACGAAATCTTCTGCATTTGCTGAGCGAATATCATTCTCAACGACCGCTTAACACACAAATGCCAAGCACATATACTCAAGACGCGAACTATTCTCGAGGCGAATGCACTCCTCATGTAAATTACATGGCCCTTTAGCTATAAATATCTGACGCTCTCACTTCGTCTGTCCGATTACGGCGTTTTAATGAAAATTGATTATTCCCTCGGTATTAATTAACAAGTAACCTCACTTTGTGGAACTTTTGATAATCCATCACCACAGGATCAGCGGATTTAGTATTTTATTTTAAATGCCGCCCTGTCGCCTTGACGCTTCCCTTTTATAAATTAAAATCCGGAAATCTTAAATCCGTGCCTTCTAATTTAATTACTATTTTTATTACTACTATGTAGAGGATTTCAACTCCGAAGAACTTTAGGATATACTATAGAAAAATTTAATTGTACAGCTTTAAAGTTTTATGAGGTAAGGTACTACTTTCTTGCATAATAAAAAATTGCCATACATTAACTTGTTTTACTTTTAGAAAGTAATACACATTCAATAGCACTTATGTACACCTAATAAGTCAGATTCAAAACGTTAAAGAAACGCATCGTTAGCTCTTGCACAGTGTCGATTATTGCTTTCAACTTTTACAGGAGGGGCGGCGTCGCGGCGGCGGCGGCGTCGCCGTCTCGAGAGGACCCAACTGCACCGCTTGTAAACGCTATAAGTGTTCCACCGGTTGGCTCCACATAAAATTTCAAATGTTTAACAACTTTATCGACACAACGAAGTACGGTTTTAATACTCCCGAGATACAGGGTTTCCGAAGTTTACTGGCATTCGTTTTGCTGTAACCGGAACGAATTCTACCGGAGGGAGGAATATCCGTTGATATTAAAAAGCAGGTAATAGCGAGAAAATTGCAGTGGAAAACAGCGTGCTGTAAATTATTACGACGTATAAGTCCTATAATTTGTATTCTGTAGTTCAAACGGGAAAATAAATACATATCGTAAATGGATTTTAATCCTAAATTCCGAATCAGTTATACGATAGAATTTTATGGTTGTAATCCAGTTAGCAATTGCTGCCGTTGCCCATTTTATTTCCTTATCTGACTCCACACGCTGATCGGAATATAAATCAAGAATGAATATGTGAGAAATGCATTGTTAGTTCTTTTATAGTTGAATATTGTACTTTACGGTCGATCTTACGGATCGTTAAATGTATAAACTTTTCTACTTTTGAGACCGAATAAAAATTCAGGTGAAGGCAATCGAAACCTCGCATAACTAACTATTCCAAACTAAATGGCACATACTTTATTGTAAACACATCTCGACTCAAAGCCGGCATTAAAGGAAATTTACTCGACGAATACGAGAAGTTTCATTTCTTCGCAAATGTGGAAGAATTCATTTTAAAATTAGCATAATGGTATAAAGTTTGCGAGTGGTCTGTGCGCGTTCGAACCGTCTCGTCTTGGCAATTTAAACTTTTCTGTCAACTGCTTTTTGTTTGCGGTACTTAAATAGCGTTTATCGTTTGTCGTTTCCTTTATATCTCTTTTTATTACTCCAAGGGATTTATTCTAAATGCTCGAGTCAATCAATACGTGCTTATATCTTAACATTTAACTCTAATTATTTCTCAGAATAATCTCTAGTTGTACAGAAACTCCAAAATTCCTCCAAAATTCCTAAGAGTTATAATACACAAGTAACACAATAACACTGAATACAGCTTCATATTAATCATATTTACGACTTTATCCTTCCAAATATGTCTCATTTTAATATCTTGAACATTTCCCCTACGAGATACGTATGCTAATAGGCACCATACTCGCCATTCGGAAGTTTTCCCGCTTTTCTGTGTTTCTCCTCTTCGAGGAAAAAGAGAAACTTTGGGAAGTAAATCGATTAACAGACTGCCGTAATGGAATTTAGAACTAGTTGAAGACGGGATTCGGGATCACGTCCCAAGGAAGCACTTAGACTTTGCTACAACCGATCGACACGATTATTTTGCGTTTTGGTTGCGATTGTGAAGGGAGCGGAGAAAAATGTATTTTCCGACCTCGCGCTGGAAGATACGATCTGCCGAAAATGGAACGATTTATGTGTTTATTTCGGCTGCGCTGCGTAGATACCATTCAAGGATTTCTAATTTGATGATAAAGGAAGTATAAATAACTGAAATAAGATTGTAGTTGCGGGGAATGTTATGTTATGTAACTTTTTTAATTAAAATAGCTTTTATGTTGGTATCTTTATGATTCAAAAATTATAGAAGACTTGGATGTTCCTGTATGTTTTTGTGGTGTAAAATAAACCAATGTTAATTTACTTAGCGAGAAGTTACAGTATATGTAGGATCCATAAAATACTGAAATTTGCGAAAAAAATACAGCTTCCATGTAGACACGCCACTATACTATGCAAACATAAATTTCATTTCCCTTGAATATTCAACAAGAATCGATTTTCCGGCCTACATTTCCTTAAAAGCTAATTCGATAAGTTTTAAATATTTTATGGATATCTTACCCCAGAGTTTTTTTTTTTTTTTTTTTTTTTTTTTTTTTTTTTTTTTTTTTTTTTTTTATGCACACGACTCGGGAAAAGACGAAGCTTATAACGCCTGTTCAGGCGCCCCGAGGCGTTTTTAGTAGGTAATTGTTAATGTTGGTCTTAAACCTCTGAAGGTCGTAACCAACTGGGAACACTTCTGATGGTAGTGTGTTCCATAGTGTCGCGGTTCTGTACAGAAATGGCAGTATTTCACAGCCGTTTAGGCCGGCTCAAGATTTTCCAACTTTTGCTTTTTTTAGAACGACTAGTTTACAAAAAACTTAATAACCATACCATAGTAGAAAATGGAATTCATAATTATACATCTGTACATTTGATGAATGTAGATATTTTGGATGAGTAAATGACTTTCTTAGTTTGATAGATTGGGGCTCTTAGGAAGATAATTCATTTTCTTGGGTATCTTGAATATCAGCTTCCTGGGTAGATAAACGATCTCTTTAGGTGGATAATCGACTTCCTTAGCTTAGCTAGCACTTAGCTAGACAAGTGACTCCTAACTCATTAAAATATACAAAGCAATTATATTTATACCCAAATACAGCATTTTCCTAAAAAAAATCTCAACCATTTGCATAATTACCATCAAACATTATGGATGATATAAAAATTTGCCCTTTAGGCAATTTAATTTTTTACATGCCTCCAATGACGAAGCTTTTAACTAAATTCGTGCACAAAACAGGCCGAGTTCATTGTTTCGGTACGCGGTTAAAACAGGATTAGGCGGAACAAAGATGCTTCTGTTGGATGTTTTCAAATAATAATTCGAAAGATACATCCTCTTTTAATAAAGGAAGCGAACGCGATTAACTCGCGAAATGCGCTTCAACATACACGCACTGTTTGCTATTCACATCGAATTCGGTCCATATAACTTTCGGGCAAGTGGATTAAATAGAAACAATGAATATTCAAAATACAGCTGACATCTCTCCCTATCCATCTTCCCCGTACTACGTTGAAATATACTAGCCAGCGCGCCGGGAGAAATAAATGATTCTATTTTAAATCTGGAGTATGAAATATCGCCGCACAGATTTTCTCTTCTCCGCATGCCGAATGCGCAAAGAATAGCGAAACCGTTTTTAATTTATTCCTTTATTTCGCTATTTCTTATAGGGCGCATTTCATTGTGTATAAATGTAAATTATCGCCTATACACCCGTCCAATCTATTCATATTCTTTTACTTAAAATCTCACGTTACACCGTTTTTTAAAAG